GACGCAGCTTTTTGCTCTGAACCCTCAAAGTGGCAGCTTGGTCACAGCGGGCAGGATAGACCGGGAGAAGCTCTGTGCTCAGAGTGTGCAGTGTCTAGTGAGTTTTAACATCTTGGTAGAGGATAAAATGAAGCTTTTCCCTGTTGAAGTGGAAATAATTGATATTAATGACAACGCTCCCCAATTTCAGTTAGATGAAGTGGAATTTAAAATGAACGAAATAACCACTCCAGGTACCAGGATCCCTCTACCTTTTGGGCAAGACCTTGATGTGGGTGTGAATTCACTACAGAGCTACCAGCTCAGCTCCAATCCTCATTTCTCCCTGGATGTGCAAAAGGGAGCTGATGGATCCCAACAACCAGAGATGGTGCTGCAGAGTCCCCTGGATAGGGAAGAAGAAGTTGTGCACCACCTCCTCCTCACAGCCTCTGATGGGGGCAATCCAGTCCGTTCAGGAACCCTCCGCATTCATGTTCAGGTGGTAGATGCAAATGACAACCCTCCAGCATTTACTCAAGCACAGTACCACATGAGTGTCCCAGAGAATGTGCCGCTGGGTACTCAGCTGCTTATGGTCAAAGCTACTGACCCAGATGAAGGAGCCAATGGGGAAGTAACATACTCATTTCACAATATAGACCACAAAATAGCCCAGATATTTCAGTTGAATTCTTACACAGGAGAAATATCCAATAAAGAAGCCCTGGATTTTGAAGAATACAAAATTTATTCAATGGAAATTCAGGCTCAGGATGGTGCAGGCCTCATGGCCAGAGCTAAGGTGCTGGTCAAAGTTCTGGACATAAATGATAATGCCCCAGAGGTGACCATGACCTCTGTCACCACTTCAGTCCCAGAAGACTTTCCTCCTGGAGCTATAATTGCTCTTATCAGTGTGCATGACCAGGACTCTGGAGACAATGGTAACACTACATGTTCCATTCCTGGAAATCTACCCTTTAAATTAGAAAAGTTGGATGATAATTATTACCATTTAGTGACAGAAAGAACTCTGGACAGAGAAATTACCTCCAGGTACAACATCACAGTAACAGCAACAGATCAGGGAACTCCAGCTCTATCTACTGAAACCCACATTTCACTGCAAGTGACAGATATCAATGACAATCCCCCTGTTTTTCCCCAGGACTCCTACTCTACCTTCATTCTGGAAAACAATCCCCGAGGTGCCTCCCTCTTCTCTGCAAAAGCCCATGATGCCGACAGCAATGAGAATGCACTAGTCACTTACTCCTTGGTGGAGGACACCATCCAGGGGGCGCCTCTGTCTTCGTATGTTTCCATCAACTCAGACACTGGCGTTTTATATGCCTTGCGATCCTTCGACTATGAGCAGTTCCGGGACCTTCAACTGAGAGTGATGGCTTGTGACAGCGGGGACCCGCCTCTCAGCAGCAATGTGTCGCTGAGCCTGTTTGTGCTGGACCAGAACGACAACGCTCCCGAAATCCTGTACCCCGCCCTCCCCACCGACGGTTCCACAGGCGTGGAGCTGGCGCCCCGCTCCGCAGAGCCCGGCTACCTGGTCACCAAGGTGGTGGCGGTGGACAGAGACTCGGGCCAGAACGCCTGGCTGTCCTACCGCCTGCTCAAGGCGAGCGAGCCAGGGCTCTTCGCGGTGGGGCTGCACACGGGCGAGGTGCGCACGGCGCGGGCCCTGCTGGACAGAGACGCGCTCAAGCAGAGCCTGGTGGTGGCGGTGCAGGACCACGGCCAGCCCCCTCTCTCGGCCACCGTCACGCTCACCGTGGCCGTGGCCGACAACATCCCGGACGTCCTGGCCGACCTGGGCAGCATCAGGACCCCCGCCGACCCGGACGATTCGGACCTCACGCTGTATCTGGTGGTGGCGGTGGCGGCAGTCTCGTGCGTCTTCCTGGCCTTTGTCATCGTGCTGCTGGCGCTCAGGCTGAGGCGCTGGCACGCGTCGCGTCTGCTCCAGGCTTCCGGAGGCGGGCTGGTGGGCGTGCCGGCCTCGCACTTTGTGGGCGTGGACGGGGTGCGGGCTTTCCTGCAGACCTATTCCCACGAGGTCTCCCTGACCGCGGACTCGCGGGAGAGTCACGTGATCTTCCCCCAGCCCAACTACGCGGACACGCTCATCAGCCAGGAGAGCTGTGGGAAAAGCGAGCCTCTTTTGGTAACTCAGGATTTACTTGAAGACAGAAAGGAAACATTTTCTCAGGTAAACTTTTTGTAAATTTATCTAGGTAAAAAGAATTACTGAGTTTACTTACTGTCACTCTTTACTACTAACAGTTCTATTTCCCACATATTTTTGTAGATTTCTATTTACAGATTCTGGGAAATTATTAAATGTTTATATCCCAGTATAATTATAATTGCTTTTTCATAGAAAAGGAGACTGTAAATAACTATAATGTAGGTGGTTGGGATGAAGAGTATGTGTGAGGTGCTATCTTGGTTGTGGAAAGAGCATCGCATCAGAAACAAGAAGATATGACTTATAATATTTTCTTGCTTTCCTCTGGCCAAATAATTTAATTCTTCTTGTTTTACCATTCTCTTATCTGGCAAGGATAAGGTTTAACTAGAAAAGATCCACCAATTTTTTTTTTAAGGTTTTATTTATTTTTGACAGAGAGAGTGTGTGTACAAGCAGGGGAAGCAGCAGGCAGAGGGAGAGGGAGGAGCAGGCTTCCCGCTGAGCAAGGAGCCCCATGTGGGGCTCAATCACAGGACCCTGGGATCATTACCTGAGCTGAAGGCAGACGCTTAACTATCTGAGCCACCCAGAGCTCAGACGCTTAACTATCAGATCCACCAATATTTATGTGACTAATAATGTTTTCCAATTTCTCTCAGTTATAAATACTAATTTATCCCTAAATTTAATATAAATGTCATCTGGCAAGGCCTGTTTTAACTGGGGACATTTGAAGAGGTAAAGGTTGTCTAAAGTATTCTTTTAGTTGTGTTAGGATTAAATTATAGGAATATATATAGGTTGTGATTTTTTTGTTGAATATCTTAGCCCTTTGTTTCATCTTTTATTTTGAGATATTTTATGTATTCTGAAGAATACATTAGATGTTTAAGTAACTTATGAAATGAGGTAATAAAATGAATGACAGAAAATTTACTATGCAACTTGAGAAGTAGTTTCAAAGCCTCCTGAGTTGTATATTATGCCTATAATGGAAGCGACTAACAAAAACCAAGTATATAGTCCATTTTAATGTGTGTGTTAACTCTTCTCAAGACATGTATCATAAGGGAGTAAGTCCATGCTTTGACAAACTTACTCTACTCCAATAAATTAAAGAGATATACAAACAATAAAAAGAAGAAATAGAAAGCATGGTAAGGCACAAATAACAGATAAAATATATACGTGGGCCAAAGATGGAACAGAAAGTGATGGGCCAGGATAAAGCTGTGGGAATTCCAGTCTTGGCTTAGATGCAGGCATTGACGGTCAGGAGGTTGTTCCAGCACTGTAACAGGGACAAAGTGCTTCAGGCTAAACAAGGAACCCGAGCCAGACTTACTACAGACTTACTACTTAAATCTAAAATAAGCAGTTTGGCCCCTCAGCTAGCTAAAACAGGGAGAACTTGCATTAAAATGCTGCCTACAAATTCCTGTGGTCCTGACTTTTTGCAACCTGCAGACCAAAGTAGAGAAGTGGATACAGATGCTGGCTTGAGAAAATGAACAATAAGTCTCTTAGACATGAGCTGTAATATTCACAGTACTATTGCTGCACACCATTAAGACCTACTTATGGCCTAGGACCTGCAATAAAAACAATTTCAAAACCATAAGAGACAAAACCCTCAACCCAGGAGGGAGGGAGAGGGAGAGAAAGTAGAAGAGAGAGAGCAATTAAGAAACTCTTCCACTTAAAATAAATCTACAAACCAAAATGTTGAAACATTGTCTTCTGGAGTTATTGTTGCTAATGAGATACTTTCAACAAATTGTCATTATCTTTAAGGTATCTCTGTTTTCTGTCTGATGGTTTTTAAAAAATTTCTCTCATCCTTGCTATATGTCTAAGTGTTGATTTTTTATTTTTATTTTCTGTTTGGAGTACATTCTCAATTACATAAGTTATTTCATGGGGCACCTGGGTAGCTCAGTTGGTTAAGCATCCACTCTTGGTTTCAGCTCAGGTCATGACCTCAGGGTCCTGGGATGGATCCCTCTGGTGAGCTCCACGCTCAGCGGGGAGTCTGCTTGAGGATTCTCTCTCTCCCTCTCCTTCTGCCCCTCCCCGTGTGCATGTGCTTTCTCTCTCTCACACAAATAAATAAATCATCAGCTATTTCAATTCTGGATTTTCTCAGCTCCTATTAATTTAAAATTTTGCTTTTATGCATATATAAATGAGCTAAGTTTACCTATTAAAATACAGAGATTACCAAGTTGGATGATTTTTTAAATCTATCTATATTCTGCCAACAAGATACATGCTTAAAACAAAATTACACTGAAATAGTGAAAATAAAAATATATATGTACACACACAAAAGAAAGCAGTCATGTCAATTTTAATATAACAGCAAAGTAGTGTTTAAGACAACAAACATTAATGGTGATTTTTTTTAATGAACTGATCATAGTTACAAAGAAACAGACAAACAAAAAGATATAAAAAAAATAAGCTCCCATCACTGAACAATATAGCTTTGAAAATAATACCAGGAGATTTAAACTTAATTCCATAAGAAATACTATACCCCACAGCCCAGAATTACTAAGCATACAGAAAATTTGAACAACAGAATCTATAAGCTTGATCTAATAAATCTGTACAGAATCCTATGCACAACAAATACAGAATAGCCATTCTTTACATGAATATATGGAATCTACAGCAATTTACTACATAGTCATCACAAAAACAGGAGCAAATTTCAAAGTACCAATAATCTACATGCCTTATAACATGTACTTAATTCACAAAGCTGGGGTGGGGAAAATAGGGAGAGGTAGGTAAAAGGGTACAAACTTTCAGCAGTAAGATGAATAAGGCCTGGGGTGCCTGGGTGGCTCAGTCATTAAGCGTCTGCCTTTGGCTCAGGTCATGATCCCAGGGTCCTAGGTTGGAGTCCCACATCGGGCTCCCTGCTCGGTGAGCCTCCTTCTCCCTCTCCCTCTGCCTGCCTGTCTGCCTGCTTGTGATCTCTCTCTCTGTCAAATAAATAAAGAAGATCTTTAGAAAAAAAGAAGAAGAAAGCCTGAGTATCTACTGTATAACATGGAGACTACAGTTGATAATATTGTATTGTATTGTATAATAGAAATTTCTTCAGAGAGAACTTCAGTGTTCTCACACATACAAAGAAGTAAATATTTGAGGTGATGGATGTGTTAATTAAATCAATAGGGGGAATCCTTTCACAATGTATGCATATATGATATCATTACATTGTACACTTTAAATATCTTACAATTTTATTTATTAATTATACCTCAATAAAGCTGAAAAATTACAAAGCAAACATTTAAAAATAGTAAAAGGAAACAAAAAAGAAGTTTGGACACTTAAATCTATACCCCTAAATTACTCTTGGATTTAAAAAAATCACAATGGAAATAAGAACTATATAGAAAGGAACAAAAATTAAAATATTATTTAAAACTCTGGAATACAGGGACACCTGGCTGGCTCAATCAGTTGAACATGCAACTCTTGATCTCAGGGTCATGAGTTCGAGCCCCATGTTGGATGTGGAGCCTACTAGAATAAAATAAATAAAATAAGATAAAATAAAATAAAATAAAATAAAATAAAATATAAAAAAATAGAATAATAAAAAAATAAAATAAAATTGTGGAATACAGCTAAAAGAGTACCTAGGGGTAAATTTATAGACAAATAAAATAAATGAGAGCAAAACTAATTATTTAAAATAAGTGAATTTAGCAAGACACTCAAGAAACAAGGCAAACAAAAACCATTGTATCAGCATAAACTTTAAAAAATAATGGGAAAAATAACAAAGCTAAGAGTATAAATTATTAATATACAAACAAGGAAGAATTCTGATGATGAAGCAATTAAAAGCAGATAATAAAAGTCATACTGAGACCAGTGGGGAGAAATTAAAATTCTGTCAAGTCCAATGCTAGGACTAATATAGAATAGGCAGATGGCATGACTAAAATTCTTTTTAAAGATTCTACAAGAAAACCCCAAATTCTGATTAAAAACAAAGACTTGGACAAGAAGAAAGAAAACAACTTAATTCAAAGCAAGAAGCACGAGTAGGAAATAATATACAGAGTAAAACCAGCTATTGTCAAAAACAAAGAACAGGTAAGTCTTTAGATAGCTGCAGTAAGGGATATTGAACAGTTATTTAATGAGACTTGAAAGCATCAAAACGATGTTGATGAAAAGATTTTTAAAATCTAAAAAAGTAGAGGCCCTACTAGAAAACAAGGTGAGTTGATACCACTTGTTTCCAATTTTTTCCATTCTCAGAGGAATGGATAAAAGCTAAAATGAAAAAAATACAACAAGGAAGAAACCAAAAGATAAACAGACTGAAGTGAGACCAGAAGTGGGCAATTTCATTTAAGAATGTTGATTTAAAATCTTAATTAAGATATTATCAAACCTTATCTACCATATATTTAGAAATAATATTTATAACTTATGACTAAGTAGGGTTTATTTTCGGAATGCAAGGATATTCCAATATAAGAAAATCTAATAATGCAAAACTCCATATTAAGAGATTAAAGATAAAAAGCTACATATTCATTTAAATAGAGGCATAATAAAGCTCTTGAGAATATTCAACACATGATTAAAATCATTTAGCTAAATAGGAATTGAAGGAAACATCCTTAACCTGATAGAGTACCTATCAAAAACGTATATGACTACCAAAGGAGTCTACAGATTCAGTGCAATCCCTATCAAAATCCCAATGATTTTTTTGGCAGAAATAGAAAAAAAATCCATTCTAAAATTCATATGAAGTAGCAAGAAAAAGAAGAACAGGGGTGCCTGAGTGGCTCAGTCAGTTAAGCATCTGCCTTCGGCTCAGGTCATGATCTCAGGGTCCTGGGATCAAGCCCCAGGTCAGGCTCCCTTCTCAGTGGGGGGTCTACTTCGCCCTCTCCCTCTGACCTTCCTCTTTGCTTGTGCTCTCTCTCTCAAATAAACAAAATCTTTAAAAAGAAAAAGAACAAAGAACAATCCCCTTCACTTTCCTTAATGTTCCATGTGGCCTTTCACCTCCAAGCATTTGTACTGAAGTTCTAGAACACTACTCCAGACTCTTCTTCACCCATTCCTACCCTTCCGGAGTCATCTTCAATAATGTCTTGGAAAAGTTCTGACCCCTGGATCTAGGTTGGATACCCTTCTTATGTACCTCTTTCCATTGCCCAGTGTTTCCCACCTTTGTAGCAGTTAACATATTCTATTAAAATACTCTATTTAGTTTTCTGTGTCCTCGCCTATCCTGTAAGCTGCCTCAGAACAAGGACTGTGTTCATCAGGTTCACCATTTCTTTCTCCAGCATCAATCAGGCAAAGTGCCAGGTATATAATAGTCATCTAATTAAGTGTCTGATAATTCAATTTTTTAAAATACAGATGTTGAAGTTAAATTCTAAGGCACCAAGCACAGAAATGCAAAATATGTGACCTTAGAAGATAATGTAGCTAATGTTCTAAAGTTGATCTTACTGCCTTTGAATATAAAATAAGAAGTTGGAGATGTTTGGAGCAAGGGCATCAGTAGCCTTGATGAATGCCTTGAGTGTTCAGTAGTAATACTTTCCTAGCAACTACTACTAGCAACTACTATACTATTTGTATACACATTCTTATTAATTCTGAGAAAAAGACTCCTGACTTGAAAGAGCTACTTCTAAGGTATCTTAAAACTAAGATTCGTCAAAGCAACTTGAAAGTCACAAAGCTAACAAGCAAGAAATAACTTGGGTTTGCCTTAGAGGGTGCAGAAATTACTTAGGCCTCTGAGCGTCGCTGCTGACCACCTTAGAAGTAAAAGCCTGCAAGACAATCAGTCCAACATTCCGGTTCCCACAACAAAAAGGGCTGGGCATTTGGCCCCCAAGCTTCCGGACGGAAAAAAAAAAAAAAATCAGTTCAGCAGCTTAAAGTTCTGTCTACAGTGACCTGGGTCCTGTGAATGCTGGTCCCCTCAGACCCTGAGGAATAAAGACTGGAATCTCGCACTGGATGCTGGAAGTTGCCTGGGAGAGAAGATTGTAGCAGAAGAAATGGCGGTTCTGCAAAAGTTGCCACAGTGCAGAAGGCTTATCCGGCTCTGCTTTCTTTTGGTCGTCTTGTGGGAGGTCGGAGCCGGGCAGATGCACTATTCTGTGCCAGAAGAGATTGACAAAGGCTCCTTCGTGGGTGACATCGCCAAGGACCTGGGGCTGGAGCCCCCTGCACTGGCAGAGCGTGGAGTCCGCATCATCTCCAGAGGTAGGTCGCAGCTTTTTGCTATGAATCTGAGAAGTGGCAGCTTGGTCACCGCAGGCAGGATAGACCGGGAGGAGCTCTGCGCTCAGAGCACGCGGTGTCTGGTGAATTTTAACATACTCCTGGAAGACAAATTGAACATTTATTCAGTAGAGGTGGAAATAAGAGATATTAACGATAATGCCCCTCGCTTTGGAGTAGAGGAACTAGAGCTAAAAATAAGTGAAATGACTACGCCAGGATTCCGAATTCCCCTAAAGAGTGCGCATGATGCGGACGTAGGAGAAAACACCCTTCAGAAGTACGAACTGAACCCAAATGACCACTTCTCCCTGGATGTGCGAAGCGGAGTGGATGGGAACAAGCACCCTGAGCTGGTGCTGGAGCGCGCCCTGGACCGTGAGGAAAAAGCCATTCACTACCTCCTCCTTGTGGCTTTGGATGGGGGCAGTCCGGTCCGATCTGGCACCTCCCGCATCTGTGTGACCGTCCTGGATGTGAACGACAATGCCCCTATATTTACACAGCCCGAGTACCGTGTAAGTGTTCCTGAGAATATGCCCGTAGGCACCCGGATACTCACAGTGACCGCCACTGACACAGATGAGGGATACAATGCCCAAGTGGCATATTTTCAAGAGAAAACCCTGGGAGAAACCCCAGAGGTATTTGAGCTTGAGTCGACATCTGGAGATATAACAATCACAAAGAGTCTAGATTTTGAGGATGCCAAAGTCCATGAAATTGATATTGAAGCTCAGGATGGTCCGGGCCTTCTGACCAGGACAAAGGTTATTGTGACAGTTCTGGATGTGAATGACAATGCCCCAGAATTTTACATGACATCTGCTACTAGCTCAATTCCTGAAGACTCTCCCCCAGGAACCATAATTGCACTTTTCAATGTACATGACAGAGACTCTGGGCAGAATGCATTTATCACATGTTCGCTCCCTGAGAACCTTCCTTTCAAGTTAGAAAGATCAGTGGACAATTACCACCGACTGGTTACAACCAGAGCCCTTGATAGGGAACAGTTTTCCTTTTATAACGTCACTGTGACTGCTAAAGATGGAGGGAAACCATCTCTGTCCAAGGATGCTTACATTTTGTTGCAGGTGGCAGACATCAATGACAACCCACCCACCTTCCCCCACATGTCCTACTCTGCCTACATTCCTGAAAACAACCCCAGAGGTGCCTCCATCATTTCTGTGGTGGCCCATGACCCTGACAGTGACGATAATGCCCATGTAACTTATTCTTTGACTGAAGACACTCTTCAGGGTGCACCCCTGTCCTCTTATATCTCCATCAACTCTGACACCGGTATCGTGTATGCGTTGCGCTCCTTTGACTATGAGCAGTTCCAGGATTTGCAGCTGTGGTTGACTGCGTGGGACAATGGGAACCCGCCCCTCAGCAGCAACGTGTCATTGAGCATATTCGTGCTGGACCAGAACGACAATGCGCCTGAAATCCTGTACCCCGCCCTCCCCACCGACGGTTCCACAGGTGTGGAGCTGGCGCCCCGCTCCGCAGAGCCCGGCTACCTGGTCACCAAGGTGGTGGCGGTGGACCGAGACTCGGGCCAGAACGCCTGGCTGTCCTACCGCCTGCTCAAGGCGAGCGAGCCAGGGCTCTTCGCGGTGGGGCTGCACACGGGCGAGGTGCGCACGGCGCGGGCCCTGCTGGACAGAGACGCGCTCAAGCAGAGCCTGGTGGTGGCGGTGCAGGACCACGGCCAGCCCCCTCTCTCGGCCACCGTCACGCTCACCGTGGCCGTGGCCGACAACATCCCGGACGTCCTGGCCGACCTGGGCAGCATCAGGACCCCCGCCGACCCGGACGATTCGGACCTCACGCTGTATCTGGTGGTGGCGGTGGCGGCAGTCTCGTGCGTCTTCCTGGCCTTTGTCATCGTGCTGCTGGCGCTCAGGCTGAGGCGCTGGCACGCGTCGCGTCTGCTCCAGGCTTCCGGAGGCGGGCTGGTGGGCGTGCCGGCCTCGCACTTTGTGGGCGTGGACGGGGTGCGGGCTTTCCTGCAGACCTATTCCCACGAGGTCTCCCTGACCGCGGACTCGCGGGAGAGTCACGTGATCTTCCCCCAGCCCAACTACGCGGACACGCTCATCAGCCAGGAGAGCTGTGAGAAAAAGGATTTTCTATCAGCACCGCAGTCTTTACTTGAAGATAAAGAAGAAACATTTTCTCAGGTAAATTCCCTTCACAATATACTTAGTAGCTATTACTAAAATAAACATTTATTTACTTAGCTGCCTCCATTGTTTACCACATCTTTTCTATTTCTCATATTTCCTTGTGAATATATCAATTCTTAGGAAATGAGTCCTGGTGAACTATTTCTCAATAGTTCTAAGTGCTCACACCCTGTAAGGGGAAGAGGGGCTAGAATCATTGTATCATGAGTATAAATCAGGAGTTAGTATGGGGTGAATATTATTTAGGTCATCAAAGAACATTCCATTAGGAACTGGTATATCTGGTTTCTCATACTTTCTTTCCCATCCCTGGAGAAATCATCTCATCTACCTGGGTCAGTAATTCTTTCTGTCTTAAAAATACGAAGGTTGAGGGGCCCCTGGCTGGCTCAGTCAGTGAACCATGGGAGTCTTGATCTTGGCGGGTCATGAGTTTGAGCCCTATGTTGGGGGTAGAGTTTACTTTTTAAAAAATAAAATAAAAAGATATTTTTTAAAAATGAAAGTTGAATTTTATGTTTACTCAAATGCTTTAAAATTCATGGTTTTTGTTTTATATTTTAATCTATGAGTAATGAAACACGTTAGTTTCTTCTCACTCAATTTTAATATTTTTCCTTCAGTTTGGCAGTGAGGTTCTTCATTTTATTTGATTTGTATGACCTTCCCTATTTAAAAAATGGAAATTTAGAAATAAATATGCTTCACTGTGTTTTAGGAAGGTATGTCTTGGTATCTCAGCTTAGCTAAAAATCCTAATGACTTCTAAAGTAGTTGTTGCTTAACAGCTACTACTTCAAAGTGATTGAATTATTGTTTGCTCTATAATAAATGGATAGTGTAATAGTAAATATGTTTCTCTTTGATGTTTTTATTTTTTCATATCTGGAAACCACATGTACTTCCAAACATTAAAAATAATATATATCCTCAAGGGATTCAGAGACCATATCAAATAATTGTCCCTAAAAATGCTCCTTATACATTTCTCCTCTCAAAGATTCCTAACCATAGCAGTTTTAAAAATATTTCCAGTCCCTCACCTAATCTTAGTCTCCCTCACAACCACTGTCTTCCTTCCTTATTCCTTTTTTCAAGTTAGCTTTTAGTATGTTCGTTATGTTTTTAATAATGAAGAACAAAGACTACACTAATATTCTATATAACTGGGATCATTTTAAATTTTGATTTGGAAGTAATCATATACTAACCGAGTCTTATGTTTAATGGTATTATCATCTTTCAAGGTGCTGTGATTTTTTATTATACTTAAGGGCATTTGAGGAGAGCTGATCTAAGCCAATGTGTCTCTTGTGTTTTATTACTATTACATAATTCTCTAGGAGATAAAACTGAAACTTATTGTGGAATAATACATCATAACATCTTTACTTCTAGGTAATAAATAAAGTATAGACTGAGAAAAATTAAAGACAGAGTTCCTTATAGTGTTTATACTATCTCTTCATAAGAATAAATGCCTTATGGATAAGTTTATAACAGTACATGCTTGAAATGACAAATATATTTCTATTTCTGTGCTTGGAGAGAAAAACAAATACAGAGAAAGCATTTCTGGAACACAAAACAAAAGTTTATCCCTACTAGTTTCAGTTTGGGTTTTTAAAAAACACCCTCACTCTAGATTTAGGCAAAGTGAACTACTTCCAGTACCCTGAAGTTCTTTGGTTTCTCTCTCACATCTAGACATTGCCATACCGTTCTCTTTCACATCCAGGCCTTTTCCCTGATTCACTCCTGTCATGTTTCTTGGGAGAGCCTTTGCTAACCTCCAAGGCCAGGTTGGAGGCCCTCCCATCACCTTTGGCTTCACCCATTTTGGTAGCTTTCTCAATGCACTGGAATTCCTTGTTTGATTGTATCTTCATAGCTTTGGGGCGAGGGAGTGGTTATGTTCATATCATTTACCTTAAATCCCCACATATCGTCTAACATCCAATTATATTTTTAATGAATGGGTTAAATTAAAATATTGAAACTAAGATGTCAGGCTATCAATGACAAACTTTGATAAATATAATTATAAATATGGCTGATTTTTTTTTGTGGTTTTTAAATTTTGAACATTTCAAAACAGTAACTCCAGCATATTTAAAGCAATATTAGTGGTGTTAAGGTTAGAGCATGGCTTCCCAAGGAAGTTGAAGTTACATACTTTAACATATAGCAATTCAGCTGTGGGAAATAAACACCAGTCCCATTACCTCTGATAAAGATGATTTCAGGTGTTGGGAAACTTAAAAATTACTAACTTGGGTTTGTCTGAGAGGGTGCAGTAAACCATTAGGCCTCTGAGTGTCGCTGTTGACCATTCAAGGAGGAAAACGGAGCTTGAGCGCTAGTCCACCATTTCCTTGTTCCTAAAAAGCAAAGAACCAGTCAGTCGGATTCCAGAAGATCCGAGGCTGCTACAAAGCTCAGTTTGTCAGTCAACCAGCTCTGTGACACATAAATTAGGACCAAAGAAGCCTTAGTTCCTTGAGAAAAAATAAGATTTGAGTCCGTCGTGGGCACTTGGAACCGAATTCACAGAAAATAATTCACCAAAGAGGAAATGACAAAATATCTGAGATTCAAACACCACAGAGGACTGACCCTGCTGTGCATGCTTCTGGGGACGCTGTGCAAGACTGGATCCGGGCAGATCCACTACTCAGTGCAGGAGGAGCTGGACAAAGGCTCCTTTGTGGGCAACATCTCCAAGAACCTGGAACTCGAGCCCTGGGAGCTGGCGGAGCATGGAGTCCGCATCGTCTCCAGAGGTAGGATGCAGCTCTTTGCTTTGAACCTGCAAAGCGGCAGCTTGGTCACGGCAGGCAGGATAGACCGGGAGGAGCTCTGCGCTCAGAGCGCACTGTGTCTGGTAAAATTTAACATCCTGGTTGAAGACAAATTGAAAATTTTTGAAGTAGAAATAGAAATTAAAGACATTAATGATAATGCTCCTGATTTTCTAACAGAGGAATTGTTAATAAAAATTGGTGAACTAACGGCTCCTGGAACTCGATTTCCACTTAAGACTGCATTTGACCCAGATGTGGGCATGAACTCCCTTCAGAACTACCACCTCAGCCCCAATGACTACTTTTCCCTGGCTGTGAAGCATGTCTCTGATGGGGCCAAGTACCCAGAGCTGGTGCTGGAGAGGGCTCTGGACCGTGAGCAAAAGAAAGTTCACCAGCTTGTCCTCATTGCTTCTGATGGTGGAAACCCTGTCCTCTCTGGCAACTTATGCATCCAAGTGGTAGTTCTGGATGCAAATGACAACCCACCAGTATTTACTCAACCTGAATATCAAGTAAGTGTTCCGGAGAACTTGCCAGTGGGTACCACGCTGCTCACAGTGAATGCCACTGACCCTGATGAAGGATTCAATGCTCAAGTGTCCTATATTCTAGATAAAATGCCTGGGAACATCGCTCAGATGTTTGATCTCAATTCAATGACTGGAGATATATCAATTTTAAAAAGTCTAGATTATGAGGATGCTACATTCTATGAAATTAAAATTGAAGCACAAGATGGACCTGGTCTCCTTTCAAGAGCTAAGATATTAGTCACAGTTCTGGATGTGAATGACAACGCCCCAGAAATTATTATCACTTCTCTTACTGGATCAGTCCCAGAAGAGGCTACTGCTGGAAGAGAAATTGCCCTTATCAATGTACACGACCGGGATTCTGGGCAAAATGGGCAAGTCACAGTTTTTGTCCTGGGAAATATGCCATTTAATTTAGAAAAATCAATAGACCAATATTACCGCTTAGTGACAGCCAGATCTCTAGACCGTGAACAGGTGTCTGAATATAACATCACTCTCAGAGCCACAGATGGAGGAAATCCCCCACTGTCCACGAGTACTCATATCACTCTGCGTGTTGCAGACATCAATGACAACCCGCCTGCCTTCAGTCAGTCCTCCTACTCTGCCTACATTCCTGAAAACAACCTCAGGGGAGCTTCCATCTTCTGTGTGACCGCCCAGGATCCTGACAGCATCCACAATGCCCACATCACTTATGCACTGACTGAGGATACTATCCAGGGAGCGCCTCTCTCCACCTATGTCTCCATCAATTCTGACACCGGTGTCCTGTATGCGCTCCGTTCCTTTGATTATGAGCAGGTTAGAGACCTACAGCTATTGGTGACAGCCAGTGACAGTGGGAACCCTCCACTCAGCAGCAACGTGTCACTGAGCTTGTTTGTGCTGGACCAGAATGACAATGCGCCTGAAATCCTGTACCCCACCCTCCCCACCGATGGTTCCACAGGCGTGGAGCTGGCGCCCCGCTCTGCAGAGCCCGGCTACCTGGTCACCAAGGTGGTGGCGGTGGACAGAGACTCAGGCCAGAACGCCTGGCTGTCCTACCGCCTGCTCAAGGCGAGCGAGCCAGGGCTCTTCGCGGTGGGGCTGCACACGGGCGAGGTGCGCACGGCGCGGGCCCTGCTGGACAGAGACGCGCTCAAGCAGAGCCTGGTGGTGGCGGTGCAGGACCACGGCCAGCCCCCTCTCTCGGCCACCGTCACGCTCACCGTGGCCGTGGCCGACAACATCCCGGACGTCCTGGCCGACCTGGGCAGCATCAGGACCCCCGCCGACCCGGACGATTCGGACCTCACGCTGTATCTGGTGGTGGCGGTGGCGGCAGTCTCGTGCGTCTTCCTGGCCTTTGTCATCGTGCTGCTGGCGCTCAGGCTGAGGCGCTGGCACGCGTCGCGTCTGCTCCAGGCTTCCGGAGGCGGGCTGGTGGGCGTGCCGGCCTCGCACTTTGTGGGCGTGGACGGGGTGCGGGCTTTCCTGCAGACCTATTCCCACGAGGTCTCCCTGACCGCGGACTCGCGGGAGAGTCACGTGATCTTCCCCCAGCCCAACTACGCGGACACGCTCATCAGCCAGGAGAGCTGTGAGAAAAGTGAGTCCTTCCTGGTATCTCAAGATTTACTGGAAACGAAAGGAGACCCTAGCCTACTTCAGGTAAGTTTATTTCTTTCTTGGAATACTATGAAGAACAATTATGCCAGTGTGGCTAATATAAAGATTTAATGCACATTTATTTGAAAATAAAACAATGTGGTAGTCCTTAGTTCTGTTGCTTAAGTATCTGTTTCTTCTTCTGGGCCTATGGTAGAGCTGATCTTCCTGACCTGGTTATGACTGAATGGGCCTAAGTAACCAGTTCTGGCCAATATATTGTAAATGCAAGTAATATGTGCCTCTCTCTGGAGGAAGCTCCTGTTGGCATTGTAAGAATTTCCAGATCTCTAAGTTATTTTTTGAAATTGTGACTGTTGCTTCTACCTGAGTGCTTGAACAACTATATCAAGAGAAGATCTCTGTGGTTGTCATACATTGGTGTGTATACCTGTGATAAATAGACTTTTTTTCATTTTAACTTCTTGTGATTTGAAATTTGTCACTCCAACCTACTTAGCTTATCCTGACTGATATAAATAAAAATATAAATATTAGGTATTTTAGGCTCCTATAAAATGATGCTTGCTCTTTCCAAGCCAGGCCACACTCTTTTCATCTCAATGACATAAAAACTGTTGAGTAAAAATATATACAGCTTGGTCAAGTGGTTTTACCTGGCCTGTATTCCCTACTGTGTATACCTAAAGTATGTGTGGGTGTATGTGTGCATTCATATTGATTTCAGCCTTTTGTCTGAAGGTGGGGAGGTCAATTGCCTAAACTGATATGAGTCTTGGAGGGACATTTCTCGTCCTTTGAGAAGGATTTTAAAAAATGCAAGGAGATATGTCTCAGCCTCAGCAGGACATTTCCAGATCAGCTACTCCAACAATAAAATAGAGTCCTACAACTTTCTTGAGCCAGAAATTGTTGGCCCATTTTGAAATTTATGAAATTATTTTCACCTATGAAATCACCTCAGAGTCTCATCCAAAATGAGACCAAAATATATTTCATTAGATTTCAAATAAAGGAACATCTCTCTCCCTCAATATATTAGAAAGAGATATATTCAAGAGTGTGAGATGCAGGGCTTGAGCAAAATAACTGAGATCAGGGAAAGGTGTATTTTCACTCAAACATGCAAATACATCACAGAAAAAAGGCACATGATCTTCAAAATGTCTTCTTTAAGGAAAAATCTTTATGATGTGATAAAGTGATATTATTATCACTTTCCCCATAATGAGAAAAATTACTAAATGGGTAGTGCCGGGGAATTTTAGATGCTCAAAGCGAATTTTCTAAGAATCTTGATAAAACAAAGCCTAAATGTTGTCAAAGTGTACAGAGAGTACAAAGGCAGTACAATTTCCATCTACTTGTATAGATAATGAAAGGTCTCAGACATTCCATTTCACTAAAAAGGATTTTCTTAAGGATGGGCAAGAATTCATTACAATAGAAAGGGGAACAGCAAAAGGAACAGAAAATATAAATTCATGACGTAGAGAAAACAATGAAAATAATGTCTTAGGAAAACAGATAATAGTCTGTTCTGACTGGAGTGTAAATGTGAGTATGTATTATTCTACTGCAAAACAGTAGAATAAATCATTACATTGGTATCTAATTTGGTAGTGCATTTGAAATAAAGGTATTTGTTTTAGTTACCCAAGATGAGTTCAAAATTACAGGTTAAGTTCCAAAATTGAGTATCTAAGAACTCTCAACACCTCTCCAAGATTTACCAGTGATCAAGTCAAATTCATTATACTTATTAATGGTATAAATCAGCTGGAGCTGAGTATTGGCATTATGGAGTATTGCATATACATTCATATAGTAAAAAGCACTGATTTCATAAAAATAAATATAGCATTCACAAGATTGAGCTGTATAAAAGCATGTGTACTAAATTGGTCACTTTTTAAAAAGATTTTATTTATTTATTTGACAGAGAGAGACACAGCGAGAGAGGGAACACAAGCAGGGGGAGTGGGAGAGGGAGAAGAGGGCTTCCCACGGAGCAGGGAGCCTGATGCAGGACTCGATCCCAGGACCCTGGGATCATGACCAGAGCCAAAGGCAGATGCTTAATGACTGAGCCATCCAGGTGCCCCTAAATTGGTCACTTTAACAAAATATCAGGCTGTGCTGTACTTAATGGGAATATTTCCTATGCTTTTAAAAAATGAGCAATACATTAAATAAGTCTAGGGCTTTATTCACTCTTTTTTTGCAGACTGTATCTTTGGAAAGTATTACTGAATTGATAAAGTATTTATGGAGAGAGTTAAAATACTGTATTAGGGAGGTTCTGGATTTTACAAAAATGTAAAGATCACAGTTCACTAAAATGTGGATAAAAAGCCAGTAACTTATTTGGTTACATCCATACTAGCCATGCCAGTGTTCATAAATACAGTGAAATAATTGATATTTTTGCCCCCCAAACTGAAAAACTAGTTGTAAGCCTGGTGAAATTTTTTAATGCAAAAAAGAATGTAAAATGATAGCAACGCTTATGAAATGATAAAAAGTAGAACATATCAAATTTAGAGGGAAAATATGAATACTTGGTTTTTCCAACAATTAGACAAGGTACATAAAGATTCAAGAGCTTACACGTTGAGGGTAAATGGCTGGACAATATGCAGTTCTCCCAGACAACCTCCGGGCGCCGCTGTTGACCAAAGGGAAGAAAGGTTCTCAATTCTGCGGGAGAGTTGGGCAGTGTTTTCCAGCTTTGACCTGCGCACATCAAAACGCGGAGGCGGCGTCTGTGCACCCACCAACGCCAGTCCTACGCTCAAATCACAAAAGTCCAGGTGCTGGCACTGATTTTTTTTTAAACATCCCAGAGACATCCTGAAAAGAAGCTTCCCAGGAAGTTCAAAAAATGCAAAGAAGCTCCAGAAAAGCTGAACCGATGAAAATTCAGGTACTGTTTCTCTTCCTGCTGTCTTTGTTGTGGGGGGCTATCTCCCAGCAAATCCAATACGCTATTCCGGAGGAGCTGGCCAGGGGCTTGCGGGTGGGGAACCTCGCCAAGGACCTGAAGCTCAGTGTCCAGGAGTTGTCAGCTCGAAAACTGCGGGTTAGTGCAGAGAATTTCTTCAGTGTGAGTGCAGAGAGTGGGGATTTGTTAGTGAACGGTAGGATAGATCGAGAGGAAATTTGTGGGAGGAAATCTGAGTGTGCACTAGAATTTGAAATGGTTGCTGAAAATCCAATGAATGTTTTCCACGTGATTGTTGCAATCCAAGATATTAACGACAATGCACCGCGTTTCACCGCAAAAGGCATTGACTTGGAAATCTGCGAGTCAGCCTTACCAGGTGTAAAATTCCCTCTGGATTCTGCACAAGATGCAGATGTAGAAAGTAACTCACTGAAGATATACACTATCAACTCCAGTGAACACTTCTCTGTGACAACGAAGGAAAGTCCTGATGGAAGTAAATACCCAGAATTACTGCTGGAAAAACCTCTGGACAGAGAACAGCAGAGCTCCCACCAGTTAATCCTGACCGCCATGGACGGTGGAGACCCTCCACTAAGTGGCACCACCCAGGTCCGGATTCAGGTCACTGATGCCAATGATAATGCTCCAGTGTTCAGCCAGGAAACGTACAGAGTTAGCCTCCAAGAAAATGTGCCCTCGGGGACCTCTGTGCTCCAAGTGATGGCCAGTGACCAGGACGAGGGTGTTAATGCAGAGATCACCTATGCCTTCCTCAGTGCCCCAACAAGTACCAGCCTCCTCTTCAATCTCAATCCAAATACTGGTGACATTACAACCAATGGTACATTGGACTTTGAAAAGACAAGCAGATATATGTTGGTTGTAGAAGCCAAGGATGGAGGGGTGCACACGGCTCACTGTAATGTTCAGATTGAAATTGTTGATGAGAATGACAATGCCCCAGAGGTCACATTGATGTCCTATTCTAACCAGATTCCCGAGGACTCAGACCTTGGGACTGTAATAGCCCTCTTTAAAGTGAGAGACCGGGACTCTGGGCAAAATGGTCTGGTGACGTGCTATATTCAGGAAGACATTCCCTTCAAATTAGAATCCACCTCCAAGAATTATTACAAGCTGGTGATTGACAGTGCCCTAGATAGGGAGCAGATGGCGGAGTACAATGTCACCATCACAGCCACTGACAAGGGCAAGCCCTCCCTATTCTCCAGTACAAGCGTCACCCTACACATCAGCGATGTCAACGACAACGCGCCGGTTTTCGAACAGCCTTCTTACGTGGTCCATGTGGCTGAGAACAATCCTCCTGGAGCATCCATCGCACAAGTCAGCGCCTCGGACCCCGACCTGGGGCCCAACGGCCGCGTCTCCTACTCCATCGTGGCCAGCGACCTGGAGCCACGCGCGCTGGCGTCCTACGTGTCCGTGAGCGCGCAGAGCGGGGTGGTGTTCGCGCAGCGCGCCTTCGACCACGAGCAGCTGCGCGCCTTCGAGCTGACCCTGCAGGCGCGCGACCAGGGCTCGCCCGCGCTCCGCGCCAACGTGAGCCTGCGCGTGTTGGTGGGCGACCGCAACGACAACGCGCCCCGGGTGCTGTACCCGGCGCTGGGGCCCGACGGCTCGGCGCTCTTCGACACGGTGCCGCGCGCCGCGCAGCCCGGCTACCTGGTCACCAAGGTGGTGGCGGTGGACGCCGACTCGGGACACAATGCCTGGCTGTCGTACCACGTGCTGCAGGCCAGCGAGCCGGGACTCTTCAGCCTGGGGCTGCGCACGGGCGAGGTGCGCACGGCGCGCGCTTTGGGCGACAGGGACGCGGCCCGCCAGCGCCTGCTGGTCGCTGTGCGGGATGGGGGACAGCCGCCCCTCTCGGCCACAGCCACGCTGCTCCTGGTTTTCGCCGACAGCCTACAAGAAGTGCCGCCAGATGTCAGCGACCGCCCGGCGCCCTCTGACCCCCAGGCTGAGCTGCAGTTTTACCTGGTGGTGGCTTTGGCCCTGATCTCGGTGCTCTTCCTCCTCGCGGTGATTCTGGCGGTTGCCCTGCGCCTGCGACGCTCCTCCCACCCCGCTGCCTGGGGCTGCTTTCGCCGGGATCTCAGTTCCAAGTCCGGACCTGGGGTTCTCCCCAGTTACAGTGAAGGGACTTTGCCCTATTCCTATAATCTGTGCGTGGCCTCACGATTAGCTAAGACAGAGTTTACTTTTTCCAACCTGAAACCAGAAATGGCTCCTCCTCGGGATCTCCTTTGTGACGATCCTTCTGTGGATGTATGTGTCAGCAATGAAGACCCCCAAATCGTTTATGATTCGTCTTTTGCCTCTCACGTGAGTTTCTGCAAACCTGCTTTTATTCTTTTTTATTGTTCATTTTTCTAGTGATGGTAGTAGAAGAGGTGTATTGGATGGGTGGAGATTGGTGTCTTGATTGCTCAGTAGTCTTAGTAGTTACCAAATTAATACCTCTTAATCTGTACTGTTGACGATTTTGTATGATAAGAAAATATTGCTAAAGGGAGCTTGTTCTTGGAAGTCGCTACCTTTAGTAATAACACTGCCTTTCTTAGTTGACGTGTGATACTATTTTCAGGCTTTATTCTTAATATATGTGCTGCCAAAGGGAGCACTTCAAGCTTTATAAATGTACTGACAGTTCTTTCTGCTTAAGTTAATGTTCATCTTCATCAAATATAGTTTTTTATCTTTTTGCTGCCATGTGTATTTTTAATTGAGCCTTCAATAATTAAGTCTCTTAGCACTTCTTTGCCTTATCACATGTAGCAAAGACTGATTTGGATCATAACCTTGGGTCAATTTTATTTGCACTCTATAATCTCATTCAAAAATAACTTTCTGGGCACCTGGCTGGCTCCGTCGGTAGAGCATGTGAATCTTGATCTCCAGGTTGTGGGTTTGAACCCCACATTGGATGTAGAAATTACTTAAAAATAAGATCTTTAGGGGCACCTGGGTGGCTTAGTCGATTAAGCGTCTGCCTTCTGCTCAGGTCATGATCCCAGAGTCCTGGGATCAAGCCCCGCGTCGGACTGTCTGCTAGGTGGGGAGCCTGCTTCTCCCTCTGTCTGCTGCTGCCCCTGCTTGTGCTCTTTCTCGCTGTCAAATAAATTTAAAAACAATCTTTATAAAAATAAGATCTATTTTTAAACAAATAATCTTAACCATTCTTAAATAATTTATTTTTATACTCTTTCTACTTTTTGACTGTTATAATTAGGAATGTAATGAACCTTTTTTTGAAGATTTTGTTTATTTATTTGACAGAGAGAGACACAGCGAGACAGGGAACACAAGCAGGGGGAGTGGGAGAGGGAGAAGCAGGCTTCCCGTGGAGCAGGGAGCCCGATGCGGGGCTCGATCCCAGGACCCTGGGACCATGACCTGAGCCGAAGGCAGACACCCAATGACTGAGCCACCCAGAAACTTTTTGTATATAAGGCCTCTTCTGTGTTTTTTTTTAAGTATAGGTTTCTGAGAAGTGAGTTAAAGTTTTTCAAAACATCTCATTTTACCTCCCAATCCCCAGCAATTTGTGTCTCCTTTGAGGATAGTGAAAATTACCTTTACTCTGCTCTTCAAAGTCTGATGATTTTACTATTCTGAATAAATAATGGACTTTCTTGTCTGATTAAAACTTATGAGTAACTTCTAGAAGCTAATTATTATGTGAGGAATCATCTAAAGAACTGGCTATTTGCTGTTTCATATTAAATTTTCTAAGATTAGTTAATTACTCAAAGTATTCATGTATGAGAAAACTGAAACATGCAGTGATAATATTTATACAACTCCTAAAAATTTTCCTTTTAGTGGTTATTTCTAAAATCAAACCTAAAGTAAATTTATAAATGATAGTAAAATAATACCTTCTGAATGTGTCCTTATGTGAAAAAAGTTACTGAATATTGCCTGCTTTTTACAGACAAAGCTTCAGTTTAACTTTTCTATCTTCTTTATTATTAATTTTTAATATCAGAGTTTCCCATTGTTTTAGGGCTTTGCAGTTGTATTAGTAATGCACTCATAAACATTGAAAAACTGAGGGTCTACTCTATGAAAGTTGCTGTTCTAAAGTTTGAGGACACACTGTGAACATGATAGTCACAAACATAGCCTGTGACCTAAAACCTTGTGTATACAAAATTAATGAACAAATTAGCTTCCCAAACCTATTATCGTATTTGCCAAGCCCATTTGCACAGGGGTAAGACTAGCTCTTGAACAGTAGATGTTTTCTTACAAGAGAATTGAAAAGTTACCCCAGATTCTAAAGGGTCAACCCATGTGAGGGAACTTGTTTCTGCATAGGTAAGGACCTAGAGCTCAGACCTCCAACTTCCCTGATCTGACACTGTTTTTTCACCTATCTATTCTTTCATTCGTCAAGTTCATCCTTGTTTCTGGGGAGGATAAATGTGTCCCTCACACAATGCACTGCACTGAAAATGGCCTATGAAAATAAATAATGGAAAAACTTAAAAGAGAAAAAAAATCTTAGGAAAAAATCATATTTTCTTTGAAAATAAATTACTTTGGAAGATTTATTGTACAGTAAGCTTTGGATTATGCCTGGATTTTCATTGCAAATAAAACAACAGGAGCTAGAATTTTATTCTTTTTTTTTTTTAAAGATTTTATTTGTTTATTTGACAGCGAGACACGGTGAGAGAGGGAACACAAGCAGGGGGAGTGGGAGAGGGAGAAGAAGGCTTCCTGCGGAGCAGGGAGCCCGATGCGGGGCTCGATCCCAGGACCCTGAGATCATGACCTGAGCCGAAGGCAGATGCTTAACAACTGAGCCACCCAGGCACCCCTAGAATTTTATTCTTTTGGGAAAAATAGGTTATGGAAAAGAAATGGTATAAACAGGTAGTGCTTTTCTTCACCAAGAATAGATTGCAGTAACAGGTTAGGACTCTGAGTGTCGCTGTTCACCAATCAGGGGAAACATAACCAGGAATTTAAACCGGACCACAAGATCTCTGCATCACAAAGCACTAGCCCTGTGGTTTTAGGAAAGCTCAAGACTGGACCCCAGAACTCCAACGTTCAACGGTGAAAGCGCAAAATCTTGGACCCGGAAGATCCTGGGGATTCTCTGGTCTCCACTGAGGGAACACCTAGGCGGAAGCTATTCTGCTGCGGGTCGGTAATGGCGGCTTCTCCTTATCGCCTAGAATGCAGCCGGCTGGTCGGGATCTGCGTTCTCCTGGGGGCCCTGTGGAAAATCCAGGCCGAACAGATTCGCTACTCAGTGCCTGAGGAGCTGGAGAAAGGCTCTTATGTGGGCAGTATCGCCAAGGACCTGGGATTGGAGCCCCGGGAACTGTCAGAGCGCGGAGTCCGCATCGTCTCCAGAGGTAGGAGGCAGCTCTTTGCTCTGAACCCGCGAAGCGGCAGCTTGGTCACCGCGGGCAGGATAGACCGGGAAGAGCTCTGTGACAGATCTCCAAAGTGTGTAGTAAGCCTGGAGATTCTTCTGGAGGACAAAGTGAAGATTTTTGGAGTAGAAGTGGAAATTATTGATGTTAATGATAACGTGCCCAGCTTTGGGACAGAGCAAAGGGAAATAAAAGTTGCTGAAAATGAAAGTCCTGGGACAAGATTTCCTCTTCCTGAAGCTTTTGATCCAGATGTTGGGGTAAACTCCCTGCAGGGTTACCAGCTCAGCTCCAATGTTCACTTCTCCCTAGACGTGCAAAGCGGAGCGGATGGCATTAAGTACCCTGAGCTGGTGCTGGAGCTTTCCCTAGACCGAGAAGAAGAGGCGGTTCACCACCTCCTTCTCACCGCCTTTGATGGAGGTGACCTGGCTCACTCTGGCACTGTCAAGATTCATGTAACACTTATGGATACCAATGACAATGCTCCCGTATTCACTCAGCCAGAGTACCATGTGAAGGTTCCAGAGAACGTGCCAGTGGGGTACCGGCTACTCACTGTAAAAGCCACTGATCCAGATGAAGGAGCCAATGGAGAAGTAACCTATTCTTTCCGCAAAGTGAGAGATAAAATGTCCCAACTATTCCAGTTGAATTCTTTGACTGGGGACATAACAATATTGGGGGATCTAGATTATGAAGACTCTGGATTCTATAATATAGATGTAGAAGCCCATGATGGACCTGGTCTCCGAGCCAGAAGTAAGGTACTGGTGACAGTTCTGGATGTAAATGACAATGCTCCAGAAGTCACTGTTACGTCTCTCACCAGCTCTATCCAAGAAACTTCTTCCCCAGGTACAGTAATTGCACTTTTCAATGTGCACGACAGTGATTCAGGAGAGAATGGCCTTGTCACATGTTCTATTCTGGATAATCTGCCATTCACACTTGAAAAGACCTATGGAAATTATCATCGACTGTTGACACGCAGAACGCTGGATAGGGAAGAAGTTTCAGAATATAACATCACAGTAACTGCCACTGATCATGGAACTCCACCACTGTCTACAGAAACTCATATCTCACTGAAGGTGACAGATATCAATGACAACCCACCTGCTTTCCCTCATGCTTCCTACTCTGCCTACATTCCTGAAAACAACCCCAGAGGAGCCTCCATTTTATCTATATCTGCCCAGGATCCTGACAGCACCGAGAATGCCAGAGTCACATACTCCTTGGCTGAGGACACACTCCATGGAAAGCCTCTTTCTTCCTATGTTTCCATCAACTCTGATACTGGTGTCCTGTATGCACTGTGCTCCTTCGACTTTGAGCAGGTTAGAGACCTGGAACTATTAGTCACAGCCAGCGACAGTGGGGACCCTCCACTCAGCAGCAATGTGTCTGTCAGCATATTCGTGCTGGACCAGAATGACAACGTGCCAGAGATCCTGTACCCCACCATCCCCACCGACGGTTCCACCGGTGTGGAGTTGGCGCCCCGCTCTGCAGAGCCCGGCTACCTGGTCACCAAGGTGGTGGCGGTGGACAGAGACTCGGGCCAGAACGCCTGGCTGTCCTACCGCCTGCTCAAGGCGAGCGAGCCAGGGCTCTTCGCGGTGGGGCTGCACACGGGCGAGGTGCGCACGGCGCGGGCCCTGCTGGACAGAGACGCGCTCAAGCAGAGCCTGGTGGTGGCGGTGCAGGACCACGGCCAGCCCCCTCTCTCGGCCACCGTCACGCTCACCGTGGCCGTGGCCGACAACATCCCGGACGTCCTGGCCGACCTGGGCAGCATCAGGACCCCCGCCGACCCGGACGATTCGGACCTCACGCTGTATCTGGTGGTGGCGGTGGCGGCAGTCTCGTGCGTCTTCCTGGCCTTTGTCATCGTGCTGCTGGCGCTCAGGCTGAGGCGCTGGCACGCGTCGCGTCTGCTCCAGGCTTCCGGAGGCGGGCTGGTGGGCGTGCCGGCCTCGCACTTTGTGGGCGTGGACGGGGTGCGGGCTTTCCTGCAGACCTATTCCCACGAGGTCTCCCTGACCGCGGACTCGCGGGAGAGTCACGTGATCTTCCCCCAGCCCAACTACGCGGACACGCTCATCAGCCAGGAGAGCTGTGGGAAAAGCGAGCCTCTTCTGATAACTCAGAATTTACTTGAAACAAAAGCAGACGCTAGTCTTCATCAGGTGAGTCGATCTTGCCACAACAAAACATAGGCAGAGAGCTATATAAACGTCTCCAATTGTATAAGATAATAACATATTAGGTAATATATGAAGTAAAGACTCTTCTTTTTTAGTATTCTATTACTTTAAAGGGGGAGGGGCATGGGGCCCCTAGGTGACTCAGTTGGTTAAGCGTCTGCCTTAGGCTCAGGTCATGATCCCAGGGTCTGGGATCTATCCCACGTTAGGTTCTCTACTCAACGGGGAGCCTGCTTCTCCCTTTCCCTCTGCCTACTGCTTCCTCTGCTTGTGCTCTCTCTCTCTGTGTCAAATAAACAAAATCTATAAAAATAAATAAATAATAGGGGCGCCTGGGTGGCTCAGTCGTTAAGCGTCTGCCTTCGGCTCAGGTCATGGTCCCAGGGTCCTGGGATCAAGCCCCGCATTGGGCTCCCTGCTCAGTGGGAAGCCTGCTTCTTCCTCTCCCACTCCCCCTGCTTGTGTTCCCTCTCTCGCTGTGTCTCTGTCAAATAAATAAAATCTTTAATAAATAAATAAATAAATAATAAAGGGGAGGGGCAGATGATCCCTCAAGAATAATCAATAGCAGTTACTACTCTTAAAAGTTTATTATCGGGGTGCCTGGGTGGCTCAGTCGTTAAGCGTCTGCCTTCGGCTCAGGTCATGATCCCAGGGTCCTGGGATCGAGCCCCGCATCGGGCTCCCTGCTCAGCGGGAAGCCTGCTTCTCCCTCTCCCGCTCCCCCTGCTTGTGTTCCCTCTCTCGCTGTGTCTCTCTCTGTCAAATAAATAAATAAAATCTTTAAAAAAAAAGTTTATTATCATTTGTAGTCTTCATTTAGTTACAGTTTCAGCAACACTCTCTTAATTTTATACCTCTGTCTCTCTTCTTTAAGTGCCATTTTCACTTAGGCATTAGTGAAAGGATAGATTAGAACTGTGAAATGCAGGACATTTGGCTGCTCAGTGGGTAGAACATGTGACTTGATCTTGGGGTCATGAGTTCGAGCCCCTATGTTGGGTGTAGAGATTATTTTATTTTTTATTTTTTTAAGTAGGCTCCACACCCATCGTGAAGCCCAAGACAGGGCTAGAACTCATGATCCTGAGGACAAGACCAGAGCTGAAATCAAGAGTCAGATGCTTAACCAACTGAGCCACCCACGTACTCTAGAGAATGACTTAAAAAGAAGAAGAAGAAGAACTGAAATGAAAGGCAATTGTGTAAAATCATATTATTCTGTCTTATGAAGCTCTTATTGATTCTAGACTATTTTTAAATGCCTGCTTTTTTACACTTTGCTTGAAGTTTTCTTTTTTTCCTTGAAAAGGTATTTTCCATTATAATTAAACAGTGGCAATTTATAAAGACCGGAGAAAATATTAACTTTTAGATATAATTTTAACAGGGATAGCTTCTCAACTGGATTGGTGTATTTCAAGTATTTTGTTGTTGCAGTTTGTGAGATGCATCAGCAGTCACTATGTATGATTCCTTTGTGCACTTCTGTGATTACCAAAAATATTGCCCATTTTATTTCATTCATCTTTAAGTAGGTGGAAGGAGTAATTTTAATAATTCCTAAATTTTCTATTATGGCATCACTATGAGATCCTTCTCAATTTCTAAGGAAAACAGTTTTCAAAATCTTAACCTTTTTCATCATGAGAGTCACTTATAAAGGTTGGGTAACTTGGATTCTGAATTGATATGATTTATGCTACTTATGAAGTAGGCCTCATCCCTATTCCTGAAAATTGCTCTCAGTTAGCTCTGAGGTGGCTCTGGGATGATCTGATATGGGGGAAATATTTTGTATGCAAGGGATATGCAACACTTTTGTTCCTTGTGCTTTCCTTTCGTTCTGTGAGTTAACTAAGAATTCATGAATGTCTAGGGTTACACAAATTAGTGCTTTTTAGATACCTGGGAATTGTAGCAGTAGATTGTGGACTATGCCTCAATTCAACTTAAGAGGGAGCATTTTAGGGGCGCCTGGGTGGCTCAGTTGGTTAAGCGACTGCCTTCGGCTCAGGTCATGATCCTGGAGTCCCTGGATCGAGTCCCTGGATCGAGTCCCTGGATCGAGTCCCGCATCGGGCTCCCTGCTCGGCAGGGAGTCTGCTTCTTCCTCTGACCCTCCTCCCTCTCATGTGCTCTCTCTCTCTCATTCTCTCTGTCTCAAATAAATAAATAAAATCTTAAAAAAAAAAAGAAGGAGGATTTTAGTTTCTAAATGCTTTAGTCTTTGTGGGAAACTGTGTTGCGATACATAGAAAAACAGACTGTCATGTGATGCAATTAGCTGTCATGGGGAAAGGAGAGAGGAAATAATATTGAGAGAGATTCTAAGGAGAGATTATTTAAAGTACTGAAGCTTTAAAATAAAATTTGGAAATACCAGTTGGCCTGAAACTGTGTCAGGCATGTTTGGATGTGGCATTAGGAATACATTCCTGGGGGTGCCTGGGTGGCTCAGTCGTTAAGCGTCTGCCTTCAGCCTAGGTCATGATCTCAGGGTCCTGGAATCAAGCCCCGCATGGGACTCCCTGCTCTGAGGGAGGTCTGCTTCTCCCTCTCCCACTCCCCCTGCTTGTATTCCCTCTCTTTCTGTGTCTCTCTTTGTCAAATAAATAAAATCTTAAAAAAAAAAAAAAGAATACATTCCAGAATCAGAGTGATACATATTTTAAATGTCTAGGAGAGCAGTAGTTTTTACCCTAATATCACACTGAAAATGTACTTTTGTTTGAATGCACACTGGGTTTCTTTTAGAAAATAGTATTTCTGGTTAAGTAAATTATTGTGCAACAATATGATGGAAGAAATAAATGGGAAAGCTCTTTATCTACTGATATGAAATAATTTCAAGATATAATGAGTGAAAAAAGCAAGATGCAGAACATAGTATATTGTATACTTACATTTACGTATTAAAGGGGGGAGAACATTTATAAAAATCTGCACTATACAAAACATATCTCTGGAATGGTACACACAAAAAATCTAACACTTATTTCTCCTGAGAGAAATGTGTTATTGAAAGCAGAGAGGAGGCAGTATGCTGTATGTGCCTTTTCAGTTTGGAGCTATATGAATATATACCATTTTAAAAACAAATAGTCTCTGTAAATTCAGAAAAGAAGTATTTTCTCAAAACATTTACAAGCAATTGGTGCACTTCCACGAGAAAACCTCTGGGTGTCGCTGTAGGTCAAAAAAGTGAGAGAAGATGCATTTGGGAGCCTCTTAGAGGGTAACTTCCTGCTCAAACCAGCCACTTAAGAGGAGACCAGTAAAGATTCGGATACAGAAAACAAAAGCAGGAAGAGAGACCCTACCCAGGCTTTTGCCATCCACGGAGGGCTTACTTCTCCTCCCGACCAAAAAGCAGAGCCACCGTGGAGACAGACAGGATGAGGCTGAGCGCAGAGAGGAGCAGCCCAGCGAGATGGCGGCAGGTATTGTTGGCTTTCCTGCTGTCTTTGTTACGAGGGGCTCTCCCGAATCAAATCCGCTATTCAATTCCCGAAGAGCTGGCCCAAAACTCGGTGGTAGGAAACCTCGCCAAGGATCTGGGGCTCAGTGTGCAGGACTTGCCAGCCCGGAAGCTGCGGGTTAGCGCGGAGAAAGAATATTTCACTGTAAACCCTGAGAGTGGGGACTTAATTGTGAGTGACAGAATAGACCGAGAGCAGATATGCGGAAAGAAGCCTCTGTGTATTCTGGATTTTGATACTGTCGCTGAAAACCCACTAAATATTTTCCATGTAGCAGTAATAGTGCAAGATATAAATGACAACACCCCACTATTCAAACAGAGTAAGATTGAATTAAAAATTGTAGAATCCACCAAGCCAGGTAAAACATTTCCACTAGACCCGGCCCTGGATTCAGATGCTGGTCCGAATTCACTGCAAAGATACCATCTTAATGACAATGAGCACTTTGATCTAGCAGAGAAACAAACTGCAGATGGACGTAAATATCCTGAGTTGGTTCTGAAACATTCTTTAGACAGAGAAGAACAGAATTTCCATCAATTGGTTCTAACAGCCGTGGATGGTGGGGACCCACCCCAAAGTGGCACCACCCAGATCCAAATTCAAGTGACCGATGCTAACGATAACCCCCCAGTGTTCGTCCAGGATATATACAAGGTCAGCTTGCAGGAAGGTGTGCCCCCGGGGTTCTCTGTACTTCAAGTAACTGCTACTGACCAGGACGAGGGTGTCAATGCAGAGATCACCTACTCCTTTCATAATGTGGACGAACTAGTGGAACAGTTCTTTAACTTAGATAAAAGAACAGGAGAAATCACGACAAAGGGTGGTTTTGATTTTGAAATTGCTAATAGTTACACTTTCAGTGTAGAAGCAAAAGATCCTGGAGATCTAGCAGCCCACTGCAGTATCCAAGTTGAAATTCTCGATGAGAATGATTGTGCACCTGAAGTGATTATCACTTCAGTATTTACTCCCCTACCAGAAGATTCACCACCAGGAACTGTGATTGCCTTGATAAAAACAAGAGATAGAGACTCTGGAGAAAATGGAGAAGTTTACTGTCGCATCTCGGGAAACGCTGAGTTTATACTGAAATCTTACTCGAAGAACTATTACAAGCTAGTGACAGATGGGCCGCTGGACCGGGAGGAGATTCCGGAATACAACATCACAGTATTGGCCACCGACAGGGGAAAGCCGCCCCTCTCCTCTAGTATAAGCATCACTCTGCAGATCGCAGATGTCAACGACAACGCGCCAGTTTTCGAACAGGCTTTCTATTTGGTCCACATTGCCGAGAACAACCCTCCGGGTGCCTCCATCGCCCAAGTCAGCGCCTCCGACCCCGACCTGGGGCCCAACGGCCGCGTCTCCTACTCCATCGTGGCCAGCGACCTGGAGCCACGCGCGCTGGCGTCCTACGTGTCCGTGAGCGCGCAGAGCGGGGTGGTGTTCGCGCAGCGCGCCTTCGACCACGAGCAGCTGCGCGCCTTCGAGCTGACCCTGCAGGCGCGCGACCAGGGCTCGCCCGCGCTCCGCGCCAACGTGAGCCTGCGCGTGTTGGTGGGCGACCGCAACGACAACGCGCCCCGGGTGCTGTACCCGGCGCTGGGGCCCGACGGCTCGGCGCTCTTCGACACGGTGCCGCGCGCCGCGCAGCCCGGCTACCTGGTCACCAAGGTGGTGGCGGTGGACGCCGACTCGGGACACAATGCCTGGCTGTCGTACCACGTGCTGCAGGCCAGCGAGCCGGGACTCTTCAGCCTGGGGCTGCGCACGGGCGAGGTGCGCACGGCGCGCGCTTTGGGCGACAGGGACGCGGCCCGCCAGCGCCTGCTGGTCGCTGTGCGGGATGGGGGACAGCCGCCCCTCTCGGCCACAGCCACGCTGCTCCTGGTTTTCGCCGACAGCCTACAAGAAGTGCCGCCAGATGTCAGCGACCGCCCGGCGCCCTCTGACCCCCAGGCTGAGCTGCAGTTTTACCTGGTGGTGGCTTTGGCCTTGATCTCGGTGCTCTTCCTCCTCGCGGTGATTCTGGCGGTTGCCCTGCGCCTGGGACGCTCCTCCAGCCCTGCCTCCTGGAGCTGCTTTCAGCCTGGTCTGTGTGTCAAGTCAGGACCTGTGGTTCCTCCCAACTACAGCGAAGGGACTTTGCCCTATTCCTACAATCTGTGCGTTGCCTCACAATCAGCTAAGACAGAGTTTAATTTTCTTAATATCACCCCGGAAGTGACTCCCTCTCAGGATCTCCTCTGTGAAGATGCCTCTTGGGTACCAAATACAAATCATGAAGGCGCTGGGGTCCCATTTACATCAGATATTATTTTAAAGGTGAGCTTTAATTAACTTGACTTATTTTCACTTTGGGTGTCAGTGTTTGTTAACAAATCACCAAACTGGGGTTTAAGTCTCAACTTCATATTTTGTCTTGCGGGTTCAATTTAGGCAGTTTTCTGCCTTAATTATCTTATCATATCTAATCAAACTTTGACATGTTTTCTGTCTGATATATGAGATTTATCTGTCCATACTTTCAAGCCTGTAATACATGAAATACTTATCTTTCTTCATCTTTATATTCCTTTCCTCTGAAATTTCATTACTATTGGGACCTTAAGCTATTCCTTTCACCTTCAGGGTCTTTATTACTCAAATTTTAGTTTTACTTCCTCTTAGAATCATAGCACTTCAGAGTAGTTGCTAGTTTGGGAAAACTGGGAACCAGAAAAGAAAAAAAAAAAATTACCCAGTGTCATGGCTTGCCAACAGCAGGGCATGGGTAGGACTGAATTGTAGACCAGCATTCTAAGTGACTTTTCAAGCCAAGTGTGTTGATATCTCAGATCTGATTTTAAAGGATGGGCAACATTTGAGGTCTGCAGTGTCTGTTTTGTGACTGTATTTATTAAATGGGAGAAATCTTTCTCATTTATAGTAACAGATTGCTTTTGTGAAAAATTGTTCATTGAAAAAATTTTGCAAACTGTACTCACATTGTTTACTTAAAACTTTCTTTTTTGAATTTTCTAATTATAGATATAAAATATCTTCATTTTCTTTCTTTTCCTATGAAGGTGTCATTAGGTAAAAATTGCTTTGCTCACTTAATGGACTCTCTGTAATGTCCTCTTTTCCCAATCGTGAGACTTTTTTTCCCTGCTACCATATAGAGGTGATAACATTAAATATCTCTCTCAGTATTGGAAAGCCACTCAGTGCCTGCTCACTAAGTATGTGGACATGTTTTTCTGCATAGGTGATGAACTAAAGCCCTTTCCTTCAGTCACTATACTGATTTCTCCAAAAGTCTGTCACTGTAAAATGCCTAACTCCAGTTTAGTCATGGTAATAGGAAAATATAGATAGTGTATAGTTATCCCAACTCAAAGTCTTAGTCTGATATAGTGTAACTGCCAAATTCTTGGTGTGAAAATCTGGGAACTTTCTCAAAGACCTCACAAGAAGCAAAATGGCCCCTTTATTTTTTCTTTTATGACAACTAATACAATTTGCTTGAGTCAGTAGGTCTTTTTGCAAAAGTGCAATGGGAGCTAGGTTTGTTTTCTTGACATTCTTATGCCCAATGGGCACATTTTCATAAATATATCCTAATAAAAAGATGAAATTTTAAAACCTACAAAATTAAGAATTCCAATATCCTAATTTAATGCACTTGATGTAGGTAAGAGGTAAATAAAGGACATAGGCTCAGTGGCACTTAACTAAAACTTTTCTAAAGAAATAAAAATCTAATAATTATATTGATCTCAAGGTTTGTTGAAGACTTTTGCTATTTCAGAATTAAATATAGGGGCGCCTGGGTGGCTCAGTCTTTGGGTGTCTGCCTTCAGCTCAGGTCATGATCCCAGGGTTTTGGGATCGAGCCCGGCCTCGGGCTCCCTGCCTAGCAGGAAGCGTGCTTCTCCCTCTCCTACTCCCCCTGCTTGTGTTCCCTCTCTCGCTGTGTCTCTCTCTGTCAAATAAATAAATAATTTTTTAAAAAAAACAAAAAAGAATGAAATATAAACAATGTCACTTGATAATAGGTTAAAGATACAGCAAAATTATTAGAAATAAAATATAATTAAACGTTTATGAAGTAAAACATAATTGGTGTAGTAACTGCTTAGGACTCTGAGCGTCGCTGTTCACCAAAGTAGAAAAGCTGCTTGTGGTTACGACCTAACTCTCTGCTCCTTCCGCACCAAACAAACAAAAAAAAGACCAGAGAAGTTTAGGGGAATAGGCTTGCATTTCTGTCAAGTAATGTGTTCCCTTTGGCTTGAAAGAAATAAGGAAACAGCAGGCTGGAATTAGGACTAAGAAAACTGGTCGGAGAGAAAGCAATGGCGGATCAACTGAGGGGTTGGCGCTGCATAGAGCCGCTCTTGCTCTTCCTGCTCCTGGAAACACTATGGGGAGCCAGAGCCGGGCAGATCCGCTACTCGGTGCTGGAGGAGCTGGACAAAGGCTCCTTCGTGGGAAACATCGCCAAGGACCTGGGGCTGGAGCCCCGGGAGCTGGCGGAGCGCGGAGTCCGCATCGTCTCCAGAGGTAGGACGCAGCTTTTTGCTCTGAACCCGCAAAGCGGCAGCTTGGTCACCACGGGCAGGATAGACCGGGAGGAGCTCTGTGCTCAGAGCGCGCCGTGTCTGGTGAGTTTTAACATCTTGGTTGAGAATAACATGAAAATGTATGGAGTAGAAATAGAAATAATAGATATTAATGATAACTTTCCGCGTTTCCGGGATGAGGAAGTAAAAGTAAAAGTTAATGAAAATGCAGCTACTGGAACGCGATTAGTGCTTCCCTTCGCTCGGGATGCGGATGTGAGTGTGAACTCCCTTCAGAGTTATCAGCTCAGTCGCAATATGCATTTCTCTCTGGACGAGAAAAGCGGAGCTGATGGACAAAAATATCCGGAGCTGGTACTGGAACGGCCCTTGGACCGCGAGAAAGTAGCTGTCCACGACCTCTTTCTCACAGCTTTAGATGGCGGAGACCCCGTACTCTCTAGTACTATGCACATACGTGTGATGGTCCTTGACGCCAACGATAACGCGCCCTTGTTCACTCGATCCGAGTACAGAGTGAGTGTACCAGAGAACATACCGGTAGGGACTCGGCTGCTTACGCTAACCGCTACGGATCCAGATGAGGGAATAAATGGGGAATTAACTTACTCTTTTCGCAATGAAGAAGACAAAATTTCAGGAACTTTCAAACTTGATTCGAACCTGGGTGAAATCTCAACTCTGCAATCACTGGATTATGAAGAATCCAGGTTCTACCTCATGGAAGTGGTAGCTCAGGATGGAGGTGCTCTTCTGGCCAGTGCTAAGGTGCTGATCACAGTACAGGACGTGAATGACAATGCCCCAGAAGTGATCCTCACCTCTCTTGCTAGTTCCATCTCTGAAGACTGTCCTCCTGGAACCATAATTGCACTGTTTAGTGTACATGATGGTGATTCTGGAGAGAATGGCGAGATTCTATGTTCTATCCCCAGGAACTTGCCTTTTAAATTGGAAAAGTCAGTTGATAATTACTATCACTTATTGACAACGAAAGGCCTGGACAGAGAAGAGATCTCAGATTATAACATCACAGTCAGTGTCATTGATCGTGGAAACCCACCCTTGTCTACAGAAAGCCACATCTCCCTAACTGTGGCAGACATCAATGACAACCCTCCCATCTTCCCTCATACCTCATACTCCACCTACATCCTGGAAAACAATCCCAGAGGCATCTCAATCTTATCTGTGACTGCGCATGACCCTGACAGCGGCAACAATGCCAAGGTCACTTACTCTCTGGCTGAGGACACATTTCAAGGAATGCCTCTATCCTCCTATGTCTCCATTAATTCCAACACAGGCATCCTGTATGCTCTGAGCTCTTTTGACTATGAGCAGGTTAAAGACCTGCAGCTGTGGGTAATGGCCAGTGACAGTGGAGACCTTCCCCTTAGAAGCAACATGTCACTGAGCCTGTTCGTGCTGGATCAGAATGACAATGCCCCTGAAATCCTTTACCCCAGCATTCCCACGGATGGCTCCACAGGTGTGGAGCTGGCGCCCCGCTCCGCAGAGCCCGGCTACCTGGTCACCAAGGTGGTGGCGGTGGACAAAGACTCTGGCCAGAACGCCTGGCTGTCCTACCGCCTGCTCAAGGCGAGCGAGCCAGGGCTCTTCGCGGTGGGGCTGCACACGGGCGAGGTGCGCACGGCGCGGGCCCTGCTGGACAGAGACGCGCTCAAGCAGAGCCTGGTGGTGGCGGTGCAGGACCACGGCCAGCCCCCTCTCTCGGCCACCGTCACGCTCACCGTGGCCGTGGCCGACAACATCCCGGACGTCCTGGCCGACCTGGGCAGCATCAGGACCCCCGCCGACCCGGACGATTCGGACCTCACGCTGTATCTGGTGGTGGCGGTGGCGGCAGTCTCGTGCGTCTTCCTGGCCTTTGTCATCGTGCTGCTGGCGCTCAGGCTGAGGCGCTGGCACGCGTCGCGTCTGCTCCAGGCTTCCGGAGGCGGGCTGGTGGGCGTGCCGGCCTCGCACTTTGTGGGCGTGGACGGGGTGCGGGCTTTCCTGCAGACCTATTCCCACGAGGTCTCCCTGACCGCGGACTCGCGGGAGAGTCACGTGATCTTCCCCCAGCCCAACTACGCGGACACGCTCATCAGTCAGGAGAGCTGTGGGAAAAGCGAGCCTCTTCTGATATATGAGAAGATAAATGTAAATGAAGAACTAGGAGTTGTTCAGGTGAGATTTCTTTTTCAGTATGGTTGCTTGTAGCTTTTTTCATTTGTTTCCTTAATCATTTCTCTACCACATTCAAAATTGGTTAATCATGTAAATACTGAATCATTGTATGTTTCATTTAGAGATTAACTTGATTTAATTGGATGATGGTGTCTCCATTTGTTTTCAAGTTGTAGTTTGTGTTTAATGTCTTCTTTTCTCAATACGTGAAATTTTTAGACAATCTAGCTGATATCCATAGGCTTAAAAGAAAGTAGTTAAACATAATCACTTAACCCAAAGACTATCTTATACTAGAACTGTTACTATGTTAGTAAAGAGTTGTTTGATTAGTACAAGTTGTTCGAGATATAATGTTCTATTTTGGATATTTGTGTAAACGCCAATGGTGAATGTGTTTTGGAAAGGATGGTATGCAGCACTGATATTTTAGTATACCTGCTGTTTGCATAAGGAAATAATTTACAGTATTTTAATGAATCAGTGCAAGAATATCGAAAACTTCTACATGATAAAAATCAAAAAAACAGATTAAATTTATAGTCTGTGACATTCTCAAGTCTGGGAACTTTGGGTTAACCTATGTAATTACTAGACATGCATATTTGTTGAGATAAGAAATCAGTGTTCTTTATTTGGGGCACCCAGGTGGCTCAGTCAGTTAAGTGTGGGACTCTTGATTTGGGCTCAGGTCATGGTCCTTGGGGTCGTGGGATGGAGTCCCGCATGGGTTTCCTCTCTCAGCGCGGAGTCTGCTTGAGGTTTCTCTCCCTATCCCTCTGCCCCTCACACCCCCACCCCCACAAGCTCTCTCTCTCTAAAAATAAATAAATAAATCTTAAAAAACTGTACTTTATTCTGTGATGCAGTTTAAAATCTCCAAAAAATTAGATTCTGCTACATTCATTAAATACAAATATACCCTACACCTGGCACTTCTGGTTGCAGATAACTTCTTCACTTTTCGGAATCAGTATCTATTTGAATGTTTGCACCTATGCATGTGTTGGTACAATTCTGCTTTATTACTAGAGTCTAAGATTTGTACTTGGAAAATCAACATAAAAATTGTTTGAAATTTTAAAATTCATTTCTCAGGGATATGCTTTTCTTTCTTTCTTTCTTTTTTTTTTTTTTAAAGATTTTTTATTTATTTATTTGTCAGAGAGAGACAGAACACAAGCAGGGGGAGTGGGAGAGGGAGAAGCAGGCTTCCTGCTGAGCAGGGAGCCTGATGCGGGGCTCGATCCCAGGACCCTGGGATCATGACCTGAGCTGAAGGCAGATGCTTAACAACTGAGCCACCCAGGCGCCCCAGGGATATGCTTTTCTTAAATTAATAATTTTTCATAATGAAATGCAGGTCTCTGGGTCTCAAATTCTTGGGTGTGCATTGTGTAATGGAAGAACTGCCCTCTTTGTTTTTCGCATCTGATTTACTGAAGATGATTTTCAGATGCTTCTCCTTAATATTTTCAATCTTTCAAATATTGTACTTTCAACAACTTCATCAGCTGCAAAGTGTGACTAAATGGGAGAAATAGCAATAAAATACTATGATGGGATGGTAGGCTACATTACGTGACCAAACAAATGGTTTATTGTTACATGTGGGAACCTATGAGCACTTGGTTTTTGTTTTTTAAATAATTACTTCAAGGGGATCCAATATTTATATATTGAAGGGGATCCAAGTATATTTATATACGGATAATTCTGATTGCAGTTTAAATTGTGCAGATTCACTGAATAGTGAATGCATCCAAAGAGTAATGAGAATCTGTATGATGGAGACTGATAACATTCCCTCCTACTTGAAAACTTACTTTTCCATGATATTTTATAACAAATATTATTTTTTCATTACATTTTAAAGAAAAGGTATACATTTTGGATATATTTCCCAAGTTAATTTTTTCATGCAATGGAAAATACCTCTTAAACCTCTATAAACTCAACAGACTTTATGTAATGAAATGCTTGATATAACACTCTGAGTGTATATACTATATATACTGTCTAATCGTTTAAATATTTGGATCTTTAGTTTCACATGGGCTCTGAAAAGATAACTCTCCTGTACTAATTTAAGTGTTCACACCATGTTGGAAAAGCACTTGTTCAGTCATGTTTTGGAGAGAAGTCTTAAGTCTATGTTTTTTGTGTTTGTATGAAGTAGAGATGTCAATGAGTTTCTTTCTAGAATCCTAAATACAATGAGTAGTTTAAGATGTCTAATACTATTACACTATGGGTTCAACATTGCTACACACCTGCTAAGTTTTAGAATTACAATGTATTGTATAGGTTAAAAAAAGTTCCTTTATGAAGATTTCTAGTTTGGAAATGGAATTAAAACTTTAAGTCACTGGGACACCTGGGTGGCTCAGTCGGTTAAGCATCTGCCTTCAGCTGAGGTCATGATCCCAGGTCCTGCATGCTTCTCCCTCTGCCTACTGCCCCCCTGTTTGTGCACTCTGTGTCTCTCTCTCACAAATAAATAAAATCTTAAAAAAAAAAAACCTGTAAGACACCTATCAGAAACATGAAAATCGACATGGGAAGAATGTCAGTAACAAAAGGGTGATGATCTGTTAGTAACCTGGGGACAACATAGATTACTTTCTTTAGAATATATAATTATAAGGACTCATACTTCATCCCCCAAATTCAAATAACTCACCATTGCTAAGTGGCTTGAGAAGAAACAGTACAGTTAAAGACAGTGGCAATGTAGTGTGGAAAAAATAAAATCAGTGGAATAGTTTTAAAATCATGGTCATTTCAAAGTAGACACTTGGAAACTAAGGAAAAAGTTTCTTGCTTCTTACTGTACTTTTTTATAAGGACAACCAATCTCTTTGCTTACTTATCTATTTTGGGGGTAAAGTGATAATGATAATATAGAAGGAAGTGAAACACGGGATAAAACTAAAAGCTACGAGATTTGTCATGTTTATAAGTTAGAAGAAAATAAACAAGTGGAATAACCATACATATCAAGCTGATATTTCAAGAATTTTCATATTACACTTTCTACCATCACCACCACCACTACTTTCATTTGTGTCATTTTCTACATATCATTTCATTTGGTCTTCAGTTTTACTAAGGAACACAGGGAAGAAAATATCATGACCATTTTATTAAAATGGAAATGAAAACCACGATGATGCCAATAAACATCTTCAAGCAAGTTACCTCTGCTCTTTGAAGAGTAAAAATCACTTGTTATAGGTGGATAAAGTTCAAGTTCAAATAAAATGACCTCCAGATCGACGATACAGTGAATATTTAAAATGTTAAAATCCTTGTAAAATGGGAAGAATAAGTATCTGTGTCAGGACACGGTAGAATTTTCTTTTAACCCACTCCTTATTTGGAGCGCATTTAGTAACCACTACTGCAGTTCTGCAGCCGAGACGCGGGGTGCCGCTGTTGGCTAGTACTGAGCGTAGTATCAGCTTCTCCCGACGCAAAGGAATCTCCCCCCCCCACCCCCACCGCGGAACAGCGGTAACTGGGCACTCTCTCTCCGGTTCTTTCTGCCGCCGAGATATGTCAGAGAATCTGCCTGCCAAGACAAATCAAGGAGTTGCTCCTGCTCAGAGAATTCTTGGGATTATTTAGCGATCGTAGCTCTTCGGAATCAGAAAGGCAAAGTCGCAGAAAGCGGGATGGGAGACCGCTTGGGACAGAAGGGCCCGGCTGGGCGGAGACGAATGCCCTTTCTCTTTTTGCTGTCTTTGTTCAGCCCGGTGCTCCCGGAACAGATCCGCTACACTATTCCTGAGGAGCTGGCCATGGGCTCACTCGTGGGGAACCTCGCCAAGGATCTGGGGCTTGGCGTGGGAGAATTGCCTACCCGAAACCTGCGGATTAGTGCACAGAAGAAATTCTTTACAGTGAGTACTGAGAACGGGGACTTACTTGTGAGCGACCGTATAGACCGAGAGCAGATTTGTGGCAAGAAGTCAACGTGTGTTCTAGAATTCGAAATGGTCGCTGAAAAGCCTTTGAACTTCTTTCATATAAGTGTGGTAATTCAGGATGTCAATGACAACCCACCGACCTTTAGCCGAAATATCACTGAACTGGAAATCAGTGAACTGGCCCTAACTGGAGCCACTTTTTCCCTGGAATCCGCGCAAGATTCAGATGTAGGTGTCAATTCCCTGCAGCAATACTACCTCAACCCAAACCCGCACTTTTCTTTGATTCAGAAGGAGAACCCAGATGGCAGTAGGTACCCAGAACTGGTAGTGAAGACTCCCCTGGACAGGGAAGAGCAGTCTTACCACCACCTGGTCCTCACCGCTGTGGATGGGGGGGACCCATCTAGAAGCTGCACTACCCAGATAAGGGTGGTTGTGGCAGATGCAAATGATAACCCACCAGTGTTCACCCAGGATGTGTACAGGGCCAGTGTTCGAGAGAACCTACCAGTGGGCTCCTCTGTACTAAGTGTGATGGCCACTGACTTGGACGAGGGGGTCAATGCTGAGATCACATATGCTTTCATCAACATTGGTAATGTAGTGAGACAGCTGTTCAAGCTGGACAATAAAACAGGGGAACTCACCACTGGTGGAGAACTGGACTTTGAAGAGAGAGAGAGCTACACAATTGGGGTGGAAGCAAAGGATGGTGGACGACACACTGCGCACTGTAAAATACAAATAGATATTTTGGATGAAAATGACAATGCCCCTGAGGTAACCCTGGATTCTGAATCTAAACATATTCAAGAAGATGCTGAGCTGGGGACTGTTGTTGCCCTGATCAAAACACGTGACCTAGATTCTGAATTTAATGGGGAAGTTTTCTGCCAACTAAAAGGAAAGTTCCCATTTAAAATAGTTCAAGATACAAAAAATACATACAAGTTGGTCACAGATGGAGCCCTAGATCGAGAACAGACTCCAGAATACAACATCACCATCACAGTCACAGATAGGGGAAATCCGCCTCTCTCCTCCAACAGAAGTGTCACCTTGAACATCATCGATGTCAATGACAACGCGCCAGTTTTCGAACAGCCTTCTTACGTGGTCCATGTGGCTGAGAACAATCCTCCTGGAGCATCCATCGCACAAGTCAGCGCCTCGGACCCCGACCTGGGGCCCAACGGCCGCGTCTCCTACTCCATCGTGGCCAGCGACCTGGAGCCACGCGCGCTGGCGTCCTACGTGTCCGTGAGCGCGCAGAGCGGGGTGGTGTTCGCGCAGCGCGCCTTCGACCACGAGCAGCTGCGCGCCTTCGAGCTGACCCTGCAGGCGCGCGACCAGGGCTCGCCCGCGCTCCGCGCCAACGTGAGCCTGCGCGTGTTGGTGGGCGACCGCAACGACAACGCGCCCCGGGTGCTGTACCCGGCGCTGGGGCCCGACGGCTCGGCGCTCTTCGACACGGTGCCGCGCGCCGCGCAGCCCGGCTACCTGGTCACCAAGGTGGTGGCGGTGGACGCCGACTCGGGACACAATGCCTGGCTGTCGTACCACGTGCTGCAGGCCAGCGAGCCGGGACTCTTCAGCCTGGGGCTGCGCACGGGCGAGGTGCGCACGGCGCGCGCTTTGGGCGACAGGGACGCGGCCCGCCAGCGCCTGCTGGTCGCTGTGCGGGATGGGGGACAGCCGCCCCTCTCGGCCACAGCCACGCTGCTCCTGGTTTTCGCCGACAGCCTACAAGAAGTGCCGCCAGATGTCAGCGACCGCCCGGCGCCCTCTGACCCCCAGGCTGAGCTGCAGTTTTACCTGGTGGTGGCTTTGGCCCTGATCTCGGTGCTCTTCCTCCTCGCGGTGATTCTGGCGGTTGCCCTGCGCCTGGGACGCTCCTCCAGCCCTGCCTCCTGGAGCTGCTTTCAGACTAATGTCTGCTCCAAGACCGAATCTGGGGTTCTCCCCAACTTCAGCGAAGGAACTTTGCCTTATTCTTACAATCTATGTGCTGCCTCACATTCCTCAAAGACTGAGTTTAAATTTCTCAATATAAAGCCTGAAAATGTCCCACAACAAGATCTTCTGTGTAATGAAGCCTCTTGGTTTGAAAGTACCAGTAATGAAGATCCCCAAATGACTTCTAATTCAGTCAGTTTGCAACAGGTGAGTTACTTCAAAACCCATTATTTCCATAATCGTAACTAGATGTCAATAATTATTATAGACGTAAAAACTAGATGTCAATAATTATTATAGACGTAAAACATATGCAGACTAAGTATGACTTGATTTTATCGTGTTTTGTTGATTTTTCTGGTCATTGCTTGGGGGGGTTGTTAGAATTTTTTGTTCATTTATCTGTTGCAGTCTTTCATGGAAAGTGGCCTTGTGATGGTCTTGAAATTTTTGTTAAATCTAAAGCCATATATCCTGAAACATTTTTGATACATTAGTATCACATTCTCATTGGGAAACATATTATCATATAATTAAACATAAATGTAGGCAATTAAGTGGTTTACCTAGTCTCAATGCAGTTAATCCTAAACTATGTTTTGTATATAATATATGAATATAAATTTTTGTCATTGTAGCCAATATATTTTCACTTCCTTTTCATGTTTTTTATTTTTTTTAACTTTTTTTTATTCATTTAAGTAATCTCTACACCCAACAGGAGACTCAAACTCATGACCCCAAGGTCAAAAGTTGCAGTCTCCGAGGTGCCTGGGTGGCTCAAGTTGATTAAGCATCTGCCTTTGGCTCAGCTCATGATCTCTGGGTCCTGGGACAGTTCATGATCTCTGGGTCATGGGATAGAGCTCCGCGTTGGGCTCCCTGCTCAGCGAGGAGTCTGTTTCTCCCTCTGCCCTTCCCCTCTCTCATGCTCTCTCTCAAGTAAATAAATAATATCTTTAGAAAAAATAATCTTAAGATTTGCAGTCTCCTCTGAGCCAGCCAAGCACCCCCCTTTTCATTTTTTAAAAGTTACACAGAGATATTGCCTAAGTTAGGTCATTTATTCTCCGTGTTAATAAAATAGATAATGACATCCAAAAATGGCAATACTTACAACCAGCAGTAGGTGGGTTGGTTCCAAATGTGTTGTTGTTGGTGTCCTTATTGGAAATGGGACAAATAAGAGAGACTTTTAACTATAGAGAACAAATTGAGGGTTGCTGGAGGGGAGGTGGGCAGGGGGATGGACTAAATGGGTGATGGGTATTAAGGAGGGCACTTGTTGTGATGAGCCCTGGGTGTTACATGTAAATGATGAATCACTAAATTTTACTCCTGAAACTAATATTACACTATATGTTAACTAACTACAATTTAAATAAGAACTTAAATCATAAAAAAAATGAAAATGGGGTAAATATAAATGAGGGTGGAATGTGAAAATTCAAGATTTACATAAAAGTGTAATCTTATTTCTGTTCTCCAAGGCCCTAAGACCTATAACACAAAAATGAGTGGTAAATTCCAGGGAACATCCAAAATTGTTCAAAATATGCTCTTTTATTCTTTTTGGGGGAGAGAAGTATTACCAGTGACACCTAAGCAGATTTAGCCAAAATAAGATTCTCTGTATGATGGTTTCACAAAAACAGTGCAGTATTAAGTTAGGACTCTAAGTGTCGCTGTTCACTAACCCGGGCAAGGAAAGAAATGAGAACTGGAGTTACATCCCCAGCGAAAACCAGATCAGACATAATAGCTCTCCAGCTGCACAGGAATTCTAATCTAAAATGCTTCTCATCTGAACTACTTGTTTATGGAGCTTGGCTTCCAATTCTGAGAAGCATAAAAGTGATTGCGAACCTGTTCCCCATACTCATAATCCCAAGGAAGTCCGTAAGGAGCAGTAATGGCTGCTCTGCAAAAGCGCGGGCGCCACAGCGGGATAGTGGTGCTCTTTATTCTCCTAGGGACTCTGTGGGAGGCTGGGGCCAGGACAATCCGTTATTCCGTTCTTGAGGAGCTAGACAAAGGTTCCTTCGTGGGGAACATCGCCAACGATCTGGGGCTGGAGCCCCGGGAGCTGGCGGAGCATGGCGTCCGCATCGTCTCCAGAGGTAGGACGCAGCTTTTTGCTCTGAACCCGCAAAGCGGCAGCTTGGTCACCGCGGACAGGATAGACCGGGAGGAGCTCTGTGCTCAGAGCACGCCGTGTCTGGTGAGTTTTAACATCCTTATTGAGGATAAACTGAATCTTTATCCCGTTGAAGTGGAAATAGTGGACATTAATGATAATACACCACGATTCTTCAGGGAAGAATTGGAAGTGAAAATTCTGGAAAATGCAGTCCCATCCTCTCGTTTTCCACTAATGGAGGTCTATGACCTGGATGTGGGAATGAACTCTCTTCAGGGCTTCAAACTCAGCGGGAATAGTCACTTCTCAGTGGATGTGTGGGGCGAAGCTAATAGGCCCAAATACCCGGAGCTGGTGCTGGAGCGAGCCCTGGATCGGGAGGGAGAGGCCATTTACCACCTGGTCCTTACTGCTATGGATGGCGGTGACCCCATCCGCTCAGGCACTGCACAAATTCTGGTAATTGTCCTAGATGTGAATGACAATGCTCCAGTGTTTACTCAGCCTGTCTACCATGTGAATGTTCCTGAAAATCTGCCAGTAGGTACACCAGTATTGTCGGTAAATGCTACTGACCAGGATGAAGGAGTTCATGCAGAAGTAACGTATTCCTTCCTGAGGGTAACAGAAAAGATCTCAAAGATTTTCTGCTTAAATGTTTCCACTGGAGAAATATCAACTTCTGCAAATCTAGACTATGAGGACTCAAGCTTTTATGAGCTGGATGTTGAAGCCAGGGATCGGCCAGGTCTACTAGACAGAGCAAAAGTCTTAATAACTATCTTGGATGTAAATGATAATGTACCAGAAGTGGTAGTTACATCTGGAAGTAGATCAGTTGCTGAAAGTACACCTCCAGGAACAGTAATTGCTCTTTTTCAAGTGTATGATCGAGACTCTGGACTGAATGGCCTGGTAACATGTTCCATCTCAAGAAGTCTGCCATTTGAACTGGAAAAGTCAGTAGACAATTATTATCAATTAGTGACCAATACAGTACTAGATCGAGAACAGGTATCCTTGTACAACATCACTATAACAGCTACAGACAAAGGAATTCCACCTTTGTCTACGGAAACGCTTGTCTACCTAAATGTGGCAGATATCAATGACAACCGGCCTGCCTTCCCCCAGTCCTCCTATTCTGTCTACATCCCTGAAAACAACCCCAGAGGTGCCTCCATCTTCTCTGTGACTGCACATGACCCGGACAGCCATGAGAATGCTCAAGTCACTTACTCCCTGTCTGAAGACACTCTCCACGGGGCTTCCTTATCCTCCTATGTGTCCGTCAACTCTGACACCGGCATCCTGTATGCGTTGCATTCTTTCGACTATGAGCAGTTCCGTGACCTGCAGTTGAGAGTGACTGCGCACGACAGCGGGGACCCACCACTTAGCAGCAATGTGTCCTTGAGCATATTCATTCTGGACCAGAATGACAACACACCAGAGATCCTGTACCCCGCCCCCCCCACCGATGGTTCCACCGGTGTGGAGCTGGCGCCCCGCTCCGCAGAGCCCGGCTACCTGGTCACCAAGGTGGTGGCAGTGGACAGAGACTCGGGCCAGAACGCCTGGCTGTCCTACCGCCTGCTCAAGGCGAGCGAGCCAGGGCTCTTCGCGGTGGGGCTGCACACGGGCGAGGTGCGCACGGCGCGGGCCCTGCTGGACAGAGACGCGCTCAAGCAGAGCCTGGTGGTGGCGGTGCAGGACCACGGCCAGCCCCCTCTCTCGGCCACCGTCACGCTCACCGTGGCCGTGGCCGACAACATCCCGGACGTCCTGGCGGACCTGGGCAGCATCAGGACCCCCGCCGACCCGGACGATTCGGACCTCACGCTGTATCTGGTGGTGGCGGTGGCGGCAGTCTCGTGCGTCTTCCTGGCCTTTGTCATCGTGCTGCTGGCGCTCAGGCTGAGGCGCTGGCACGCGTCGCGTCTGCTCCAGGCTTCCGGAGGCGGGCTGGTGGGCGTGCCGGCCTCGCACTTTGTGGGCGTGGACGGGGTGCGGGCTTTCCTGCAGACCTATTCCCACGAGGTCTCCCTGACCGCGGACTCGCGGGAGAGTCACGTGATCTTCCCCCAGCCCAACTACGCGGACACGCTCATCAGCCAGGAGAGCTGTGGGAAAAGTGAGCCTCTTTTGATTCAGGAAGATTCAGGTTTTTGTAAAGAGGAAGACTCCCTTGTTCAGGTGAGGTTATTCCTTTTATTAGTTTTATTTGAACAGGAAAGTTTAAAATTTTCTTTGGTCACTGCTTAGTTTTCTTAGTCTTTGCATTGAATCAATTTTCAGAAGTTTCTTTTTTATATCAGTAGAGCTCTATTAAATCTTAGTACTCTTAGTACTTTCCAATTTCACGAAAAAATTCTTAGTAATGTATGCTGTAGATTTTCTTTACTTTTCTCCTGCTGGCAAGGTCTTCGTGCCTTGGGTTACATCTCTTTTGTTAGGGTTCCCCCCCCCCCGAATTGTGACATCTGTAAGATTCTTTTCCTAATGGGGCACCTGGGTGGCCCAGTCGGTTAAACTCTTGATTTAGGCTCAGGTCATAATCTCAGGGCCCTCATATCAGGGTAGTGATTGAGCCCCGGGCTCTGCACTCAGCCCGGAGTCTGAGATCTGTGAGAGATATTTTCCCCCTTTACTACTTAGGAATCAAAAATTATTTTTATGAAAGATAAAAGTAATTGATGTCTGTAGCAGAGAAGACCTGATCTTTGGTGTTAGAAAACCTGAATAATATTCCTGGGATTATCTGTTATTCATCTCGGGCTAGTCACAATATCTATAGTTTTTAAATTAACATGTAAATTTTTTAAAGATTTTGTTTATTTATTTGACAGAGAGAGACACAGTGAGAAAGGGAACACAAGTGGGGGGAGTGGGAGAGGGAGAAGCAGGCTTCCCGCGGAGCAGGGAGCCCGATGCGGGGCTCGATCCCAGGACCCTGGGATCATGACCTGAGCCGAAGGCAGACACTGAACGACTGAGCCACCCAGGCGCCACCAAATTAACACATAAATTAAATAGACTTGTCTTACCTACCTCACACAAGTTCTGAGACAATATAGTTTATTATTTTTTCAACTATAAAGCAGTATAATGAACAAGTATTTGTTGACATCACCAGTATTATAATTTTGATTGTTACCAAATATAAGCACCTGATGTTGTATGCCTACTACAATGTCTTCTGCAATCTATGTGCTTGATAATATTTAAAAATGAAAGTGAATTTTTAAATACGCTTATTAGTGTCCACTTACAAGCCCATATCCCTAAAAAATAGAGGACTGAATAGTGAATGGGAGAATGAAAGATTAACAGTGTTCAAATAAGAATTTAAATAATTTAGCATATTTAACCCAGATAAAATAAGGCTTCTGTCATGTAGAAACTCTATTCAAATATTTAAGGAAAGGAGAGGGTTATCATTAGAAGAATGATTAGTCTAATTCATTATGGCTCAAAGGTGTGGATGAAACTGTGCCTTGGTGAGTAGAAAAAAAGTTTTGATTTGTTGAAGTTGTTCTAATGGAAAATGGATTGCCTAGAAGGTAGGAGGTTCTATTATTAGCTCTTTCCAAAAGTAAGTTGATGGCCCTGAAGTTAATATAATATAGAGAATAATAGTATTTGATGAGTTGTTGAAGTACATGATAGCCAAGGTCTTTGCAGTCCTGAGCTGGAGGATTCTATGATCTGATAATGCAATAGATTGGCCAATTCTGCTTCTAAATTTGCTATGCACATTTAACATAAATAATTGAAAAGATCTCTTGAAAATAAATGTAACCTGGATTTGTCAGTCTTCTTTAATATTGAGTTGATGCCTTTAAATTAGGTACTAAAGGTAATGTATGTTTCTCTAAGTCAATATTGTGATATTTACATCTCAGCGATTATTGTACCATTATTTATTTCAAGATTCCAAATGTATATGACCAAGAGATTCCAGTCACACACATTTTCAAATCTGATTTGTTTGGACATTTGTGATATAATCCTTTGGTGGTTTTAATCAAAATGTAATAGTGAAGAAGGTGCCTAGTGGCACAGGTGTTGTCAGTTAAGCATCCGACTTTTGGTTTCAGCTCAGGTAGTGACCTCAGGGTCTGGAGGTCGATCCCTAGTCGACCTCCACACTCAGTGCAGAGTCTGCCTAAGACTCTCTCCCCTCTTCCTTTGTCCCTATCTGCTGTGCTCTCTGTCTCCCAAATAAATAAATCTTTTTAAAAAGAACTTAATAGTAAATAATTTTCAAGAACTTTAATCTTGGATATTGGTCATGGAAGTCAGATTGTCTCATACAAGTATTAAAATTTGTTTCATATGATCCGAGAGTATAAATGTTATTTTTTATATCACCAATTCTGGATGATTTAAACCACATTTTGAAAAAAAAAAAACAAAATAAACTATATCCATTTATAAGCAAAGCTCACTAACTGGGTTTTATGGATAGTAGGCTGGTTTATTTTATTCTCTTATCTGCTCATTCACTAACTGGGGTAGTATATGACGGTTTATTTTATTCTCTTATCTGAATTACCTATGACCATTTCATTTAAATAAATAAAGTATTTTATTGGGAAAGCTATCAGATTCTTCTCTCAGTAATAATCATTCATTCGTGTGGACTGACCAAGTGTTAAATCCTAGCAGTCATGGAACTTACTAAATTCTGACTAACTGAGGCTCTCCGATTTACATACCATATAGATCATTGTTAATAAGATAAACAGTCTGAGATTTTGAGTATATACTGAATTTTGAGGCATCGGGAAAAAAGCCTACCAAATTATTGGGCTAGTTTATCATCTGTGAAAACAACCCATCTGATCAAACTTCTGTTGAGGTAGCAGTTGTCAAAGGGAAGGAGTAAAATTTCAGAGAGAAATAGAAAATACTTGCATCTTTGCCTGGGAATGAAAACCCAAACAGAACTCCAAACAGATGTTTTCTCATTAGAAAAAAGTTCCATTGGGACACCTGGGTGGCTCAGTCATTTAAGCATCTGCCTTCGGCTCAGGTCATGATCCCAGTGTCCTGGGATTGAGCCCCGCATCAGGCTCCCTGCTCAAGAGCCTGCTTCTCCTTCTCCCTCTGCCTACCTGTCTGCCTGCTTGTGATCTCTCTCTCTCTGTCAAATAAATAAATAAAATCTTAAAAAAAAAAGAAAAGAAAAAATTCCATAAAGAAAGGTGAGAAGATTGGGGCGCCTGGGTGGCTCAGTCGGTTAAGCAGTTAAGTGTCTGCCTTCAGCTCGGGTCATGATCCCAGGGTCCTGGGATGGAGCCCCTCGTCGGGGGTCCCTGCTCAGCAGGGGAGCCTGCTTCTCCCTCTCCCTCTGCCTGCCACTCCCCCTGCTTGTGCTCTCTCTCTCTGTAAATAAATAAATAAAATCTTTAAAAAAAAAAAAGAAAAAGAAAGGAGAGAAGATGCATAACTTAATGTCTGGGAAGTCAATTAGACTTTCCACAGAATTTTTTTCCATAGAATTTTTTTATGCAAGTATAAAAATGAAGGTCGATTCTTCCCAATAACTCAATCAATAATAATATACTTCCTTTAAAACTGTAAACTTATTTCAATTTTATATAGTAGGCTTATGTTATATTTAATATATCCTAGTGGTCTAGTAGAGATCTTTAATATTTAAATTTATGTTGTAGAATAACTTAGAAAATTTGATTACTAGAGATAATACAGCCAGTTACTTCCTAAAGTACACTTTATGTTCAGAGTATGTTCATAATCTTATTTATCTAGATCTTTAATTATTCTTTAAGATAATTAACTCCAAAGAAGTTATCCAGAAGTAATCAGTTGAGACTTTTTTTTAAATAGTAAGAATAAGAAACAAATGTGAGATGACCCTATGAATTTTGAAGTGTTAGGTAGAAAAAGATCACAACATTGGGAACCATAATATCTAGACCGAAAATTTTGTTTGAAAATGTCTGCAAGTACTCATGATCTTTAATGACTTTGCTTACATCAACAGAAGGTTCAAAATTACTACTAAACAAATAGTATTTGACTAATGGAATTAATCTGTAATACTCATATTGGCTCCTTTGAACAAAAGTTATTTTATCTACTTGGTGAAAGCAAACATGGCTATAAATTGATAGATTGAAACAGCATTTCATTCAAAGTATTGCCTATATTTTGGACCAGTGCCATCAGAGAGCAGAAATAGATCACTTAGGAAATCCCCAGCAACTAAGCTAAGAAGCATTTTTCAATGTTACTTCTGATTTCTCCTCCTGGGGCTGCTATCTACTCCCCTAGGGCTTAAAATAATTTACAAAGCAAGGTATTTCTTTTTTTAAGTTTATTTATTTATGTAAGTAATCTCTACACCCATCATGGGGCCTGAACTTACAACCCTGAAATCAAGAATTGTGTGCTCTTTCTGACTGAGTCAGCCAGGCACCCCATAAGGTAAGTTTATTTCTTGCCAGGGTCTTCATTTCAGGACAGGTAACTCTTTTCTCCTGCAACTATGTGGAAAGAATTTTATTTTTGTCAGCTAAGGGTACTCAGATCCATCAACAATTCAGTTTTACTTAATTAACATCATTGGAACAATTGGTACCTCTAAGGATCTTCTCAGGACAGTGTATGCTCAAAGGCTATCTGGAGGCCCAACTTTTTTCAATTATTCTAGAATCGGGTAGGATGATTATTTGAATTGCATAATGAAAAGAAGCAGTCAACACCCACTTTCTTATGAATACACAGGTGGTAGAATCTGCAAACTCCTGCCTTCTATGCAAAATGAGTTGCTTCTATAGCTGATTGTTGTTGCTTGGGTTCTTACCTCCTCTCTAATGGCACTTTTTGAGCATAATTAAGCATCAGCCAAGGCAAATGATTTTCCTTTTTCTTCTCAGAACACTGAAAGTGAGGATATTTGTATTCCAACAATGGTTTTACTATTATATAGTCAAGGACAAGGCAATTTCCTCTCATTTTTAAAATCATTAAAATGGAGGTATTAGACTAAATCATCTCTAAGTTTCCCTCCAATCAAAAACTTTATTAAATTACCTCTCTGTATTCTAAAGAAAATTTTGACTTTCTGAGTCTTACATGGTGGCATCTAGAACATAGTCGGTGTTCAATATTATTGAATTAATTTGTTATACTCTGACATACCTTTTCAAAATAAATCACACTTTTTTTTTACCTGCAAACACTGATTTTACTGTGTTCTATGAAGCCTGAAGCAGTACCCAACATCATTTCAAAGTTGAAATGCAAAACAGAAAATAAAAGTTATCTGGAATTAGTAAGCACCCATCATGAACATTGTTGCATTAATTCATTTTCTTGAAATATATTTTTAAATAATATCAAAGATATATAAATCGGAGAAATATAAATGGAAAGATTTTGAAGGATAAAACAACTTTCTGAAAAATCAGTTATTTTGCTTCAATATGGTGCAGTAACTTAGTAAGGACTCTGAGCGCCGCTGTTCACCAACCAGGGGGAAAATGGTGCAAAAGATCTGCCAGAACCACTGAGCTTTTACCGTACAAAGAAATACCAGATTGAGATAAACTCTCTTCCAAGCTGCATCAAACTCAGTTCTCTTATACTAGATTCTGGGCTTCTTTTACGAATACAAAAGATTCCACACTGACACACTGGCATCCAGAAGCACAACGGGAGATAGCCCAGTGTCTAAACAAGATCAGCACAACAATGGCGGCTCCGCAGAGGGGTCGGGACTACAGAAGATTCATCCTGCTCTCCATCCTCCTGGGGACCCAGAGGGAAGCTTGGGCAGGACATCTTCTCTACTCCGTGCCGGAGGAGACAGACAAAGGGTCTTTTGTGGGTAATATTGCTAAGGATCTGGGCCTGGAGCCCGGGGAACTGGCGGAGCGTGGAGTCCGCATCGTCTCCAGAGGTAGGACGCAGCTTTTCGCTTTGAATCCGCGAAGCGGCAGCTTGGTCACCGCAGACAGAATAGACCGAGAGGAGCTCTGCGCTCAGAGCGCGCGGTGCCTGGTGAACTTTAACATCCTGATGGATAAAATGAACCTTTACCCTGTAGAAGTGGAAATAATAGATGTTAATGACAACGCTCCTAGATTCTTGACGGAAGAAATGACTGTAAAAATAACGGAGAACACAGCTCCTGGGGTGCGGTTTCCGTTAAATGAGGCTCGGGATCCAGATGTGGGCACTAACTCCCTCCAGAGCTACCAGCTCAGCCCCAATCAGCACTTCTCCCTGGTTGTGCAGAATGGAGATGACGGAGCTAAATATCCGGAATTAGTGCTGGAAAGGGTGCTGGATCGGGAGGAAAAGGCGGTTCACCACCTACTCCTTACAGCCTCTGATGGTGGCCACCCACCGAGATCCCAAACCGCCCGCATCCAAGTAACAGTGGTGGATGTGAACGATCACGCGCCAGTCTTCTCTTTGCCTCAGTACCAAGTAACTGTCCCTGAGAACGTGCCGGTGGGCGCAAGATTGCTCACGGTACACGCTGTTGACCTGGATGAGGGAGTCAATGGGGAAGTGACATATTCTTTCCGGAAAATAACTCAGAAGATTCTACAGATATTCCGACTGAACCCTCATACAGGAGAATTATCAACTTTAGAAGGCCTAGATTATGAAGAGTCCAGCTACTATGAAATGGAAGTTCAGGCTCAGGACGGTCCTGGTAGTATGACGAGGGCTAAAGTAATTATCACAGTTTTAGATGTGAATGACAATGCCCCAGAAGTGACTGTAACATCTGTAAGCAACTCAATCCCTGAAGACACTCCTCCTGGAACCGTAGTTGCTCTTTTCTACCTTCAAGATCGAGATTCTGGCAAGAATGGTGAGGTGACCTGCACTATTTCAGAAAATCTTCCTTTTAAATTAGAAAGATCAATAGACAATTATTATAGGTTGATGACAGCGAAAAACCTAGACCGGGAAAAATGCTCTGTGTATAACATCACACTGAAAGCCACAGATGGTGGAACCCCACCCTTGTCGTCAGAAACTCATATCTCCATGAATGTGGCAGATACCAACGACAACCCGCCTGCCTTCCCCCAGTCCTCCTATTCTGTCTACATCCCTGAAAACAACCCCAGAGGTGCCTCCATCTTCTCTGTGACTGCACATGACCCGGACAGCCATGAGAATGCTCAAGTCACTTACTCCCTGTCTGAAGACACTCTCCACGGGGCTTCCTTATCCTCCTATGTGTCCGTCAACTCTGACACCGGCATCCTGTATGCGTTGCATTCTTTCGACTATGAGCAGTTCCGTGACCTGCAGTTGAGAGTGACTGCGCACGACAGCGGGGACCCACCACTTAGCAGCAATGTGTCCTTGAGCATATTCATTCTGGACCAGAATGACAACACACCAGAGATCCTGTACCCCGCCCCCCCCACCGATGGTTCCACCGGTGTGGAGCTGGCGCCCCGCTCCGCAGAGCCCGGCTACCTGGTCACCAAGGTGGTGGCAGTGGACAGAGACTCGGGCCAGAACGCCTGGCTGTCCTACCGCCTGCTCAAGGCGAGCGAGCCAGGGCTCTTCGCGGTGGGGCTGCACACGGGCGAGGTGCGCACGGCGCGGGCCCTGCTGGACAGAGACGCGCTCAAGCAGAGCCTGGTGGTGGCGGTGCAGGACCACGGCCAGCCCCCTCTCTCGGCCACCGTCACGCTCACCGTGGCCGTGGCCGACAACATCCCGGACGTCCTGGCGGACCTGGGCAGCATCAGGACCCCCGCCGACCCGGACGATTCGGACCTCACGCTGTATCTGGTGGTGGCGGTGGCGGCAGTCTCGTGCGTCTTCCTGGCCTTTGTCATCGTGCTGCTGGCGCTCAGGCTGAGGCGCTGGCACGCGTCGCGTCTGCTCCAGGCTTCCGGAGGCGGGCTGGTGGGCGTGCCGGCCTCGCACTTTGTGGGCGTGGACGGGGTGCGGGCTTTCCTGCAGACCTATTCCCACGAGGTCTCCCTGACCGCGGACTCGCGGGAGAGTCACGTGATCTTCCCCCAGCCCAACTACGCGGACACGCTCATCAGTCTGGCGACGTGTGAGAAAAAAGATCCCTTATTAACCTCCATAGATTTTCGTGAATGTAAGGATGAAACCGAAAATATTCAGGTGAGTTCACTAATTCCTTTATCTTCATATTCTTACGGAATTATATTTTGTGTAATTTTCTTTATTGTTTTGTGGAACAAGTGTTTTTGAAGATGTGGTGAAAAACCTTTAAAGAGGTAAACCACGTTCAATAATTTATTTCTGTGGTGATACTTTAATATAGAACAGTTGTTGGCATAGGTTTTGGTGTCCTTTCCATAGTGAAAGCCTGTGGAGAAGATTGTGAATAAGTGGACAATCACATTTTTATACCTTCCATCTATTTTCTACTCAGTGTTCTTAATTCATGTGTTTTATAAATGAGAACGAATTGTTACATCTTTCCCATTGCCCTAGGTTATCAAGAGGTTACCCACTAGGTTATCTACCTCCCCTCTGGTAACCGTCAGTTTGTTCTCAATAGTTAAGAGTCAGTTTCTTGGGGGTGCCTGGGTAGCTCAGCCAGTTAACCATCCAACTGTTGATCTCAGCTCAGCTCTTGATCTCAAGGTCATTAGTTCAAGTCCTGCCCAGCATTGGGCTCCATGTGGTCATGGAGCCTACTTAAAAAAGAAAAAAGAGTCGGTTTCTTGACTTGTTTCTCTTTTTTTCCTGGTTCATTTGTTCATTTCTTAAATTCACATATGAGTGAAATCATATGGTATTTGTCTTTCTCTGACTGATTTATTTCACCTAGCATTATAATTTCTAGCTCCATCCATATCATTGCAAATGGCAAGATTTCATTCTTTTTATGGCTGAATAATATTTCATTGTATATATATACACACATTTATCCATTCATCAATCAATGGACACTTAGGCTGTTTCCATAATTTGGCTAGTTTAAATAATGGTGCTATAAACATAGGAGTGCATGTATCCCTTTGAATTAGTCTTTTTGTATCTTGGTAAATACCCAGTAGCACCATTACTGGACCATACAATGGTTCTATTTTTAACTATTTGAGGAGCCTGTGTACTGTTTTCCACAGCAGCTGCACCAGTTTGCATTCTCACCAACAGTGTAAGAGGGCTGCTTTTTCTCCACATCCTCACCAATACTTGTCATTTCTTGTGTTTTTGATTTTAGCTATTCTGACAGGTGGGAGGTGATATTTCACTTCCTGACGTATTTAAACATAATCATCTATTAAAGTTAGTTTCTGCTAGAAGGTTAGACTAATGCCTAAAGAATGAAATGTGTGGGGCAGCTGCATGGCTCAGTCCCTTCGGCTCAGGTCATGATCTCAGGGTCCTGGGATGGAGCCCTGTGTGGGGCTTCATGCTCAGCAGAGAATCTGCTTTTCCCTCTCCCTCTGCCCCTCTCCTCCCACACTACCCCCCCATGCTCTTTTTCTCTCTCTCTCCCTCAAATAAATAAAATCTTAAATAAAAGAATGAAATGTGTGCATCAAGCTTCACTAAGATCTATATCAGTGACATGGATCTAATGCAACAATAAAGGTTATTGTCTGAAGCCAATAAAATATTACATCAAATAAAATGTCATTTCAAGTGGCACTTGTGAAATAAGCAGTTAGATGTTTTAAAATGAAATTCTATTGTGTTATTTTATGGTACAGCCATGTGAAGTGTGTTTGTGGGCTCTCCTAGTGGGAGATTGGGGATGCTTGCTTTATGAAACAACCATATACTCAAGTCCTAAACCAGAAATTGGTTCAATTTATTGGATCTTCTGAAAAATTTAGTTACAAATAACCCAATCTGGGTTTAACTACTTTTATATTCGTTACATAACATTTTAGTAAAGGCCAGTATATCAGTTGATTAGCAACTAGAAGGGGTTGATGACAAGTAATCTTGTTTACTTGGATTGACTTCTTTACTAGGAACTATGCAAAATATTATTCCCCTTGTAACTTTGAAGATTGATGTTATATTTTGTAACCAGGAAAATAATTGTGCAGTAGGAAGGAGGGGGATAGGCTAACTCTTTCTTGGCTATGTTTAAACTTTCGATTATTAAATAAAAGGACTTTTTTTTTTTAAACTTAGCATTGTGTTTGGTGGTATTTTGCATAAGAGGGGATGTGCAATAGTGTGGAGGTATGTTTCATATATTTTGCAGTGTTAAGATGTATAATCACTTTGGAAGAAGACAATATGACTGACACTTTGTAAAGCAGAAATATGATTATCGGGTATTTTGAAAAGGAAAATCCCCCAACCAGATTCATTAGATACTTAAATATATTTTTTAAACAAAGGAAAGAAGCCACCACTAAACTCAGTATGCTATTTCAAATGAATATTCTAAGGACTATTTCATCCACTGAGGTCATCATGAGATGTTCTATTTAAGCACACAAGTGAGAACCAGTACCTCACTGTAGTAGGCCAGAGTTAGCTACTTTGTGTTCGAAGGCAAAATATATCTCTCTGGTAACTTTGAAGGTTGATGTTATATTTTATAACCAGGAAAATAATTGTGCAATGCAAAGGAGAAGGAATAGGCCTACATTCTTCTAGCTATCATTTCCTTAACTGATACAAGTGTACGTCAGATAGTATTACTGTAAAGAAATTATTGAAACTATTTTGAGGGGCGCCTGGGTGGGTCAGTCGTTAGGCATCTTCCTTCAGCTCAGGTCATGATCCCAGGGTCCTGGGATCCAGCCCCATTTCAGGCTCCCTGAAGCCCTCTTCTCCCTCTCCCACTCCCTCTGCTTGTGTTCCCTCTCTCGCTGTGTCTCTCTCTCTGTCAAATAAATAAATAAAATCTTTAAAAAAAAACTATTTTGAAGGAAAGAAGGATTTAGAGATAAGTATAAATTGTGCCCTTTTGGAGACAATTTCAGCATTACTGATGCTTTCTAAAAAATTGAAATGAACCAGCATAGAGGTACCCAAAAAAGAAAGAAATCATGAAAAATAGGAACAAGGAAAGAAGGACAACAGACTTTATTCGTATACTGCTAATTAATAAGTATTCAAAATTACTGTACTCTGAGATCGGTTAGGCGAAGTCTGTGTTATAGTCATCTATTACAGTGTGGATTTGAAGATGGAGGAATAATTATGTCAACATATTGACTACCCTGAAAACCTGGAAATTTGGGATATTTGTGTAGCTAATAATACGAATCAATCATCATTAAATATATACACATATAAAAGTAATTTGTTCAATTAGGCACAGGATTTTTTTTTTAAGACTTTATTTATTTGACAGAGAGACACAGCAAGAGAGGGAACACAAGCAGGGTGAGTGGGAGAGGGAGAAGCAGGCCTCCCGCCGAGCAGGGAGCCCGATGTGGGGCTCGATCCCAGGACCCTGGGATCATGACCTGAGCCGAAGGCAGACGCTTAACGACTGAGCCACCCAGGCGCCTCAGGATTGTTATTTTTGTAGATGGTTAAACTGAAGCAGCAGAGGCTGCAGTTCCCCAGTGCGGACTGTGGGCGCCGCTGTTGGCCAAAATGGAGAGCTTGGGCACCGGCGATCTCCTCGCGCAGCCGCAGCGCACTTTCCCTATCAGACTCGCTAGCCCGATCCTTTACACCACTTCCTCCTCCGGAAAAGAAGAAACCCTGACCCTCACACAGGACTTACAGCCTGTTCGGAGCTCCGGACATCTGCAGCACAGAGAGTATTTGTAATCCGGCGTCTCCAGGCCGGTGAGCAATCTGAGGGAAGCAAGAGGGATGGGGAGCGGCGCTGCCGAGAGGGGCTGGGCTGAGAGGCGGCCGGTGCTCTTTCCCTTCCTGCTGTCTTTGTTCGGCCCGGCGCTCTCTGAGCAGATCCGCTACCGGATTCCCGAGGAAATGCCCGAGGGCTCGGTGGTGGGGAACCTCGGCAAGGATTTGGGACTCAGCGTGCAGGAGTTACCGACTCGACAACTGCGCATCAGTTCGGAGAAGGCTTACTTCACCGTGAGCGCCAAGAGCGGGGAGTTACTTGTGGGCAGCAGGCTAGACCGGGAGCAGATATGTGGGAAGAAGCCAGCCTGTACTCTGGAATTTGAGGCTGTTGCTGAAAATCCGTTGAACTTTTATCACGTGAGTGTGGACATCGAAGATATTAATGACCATAGCCCAAAATTCACCCAAACTTCTTTTGACCTGCAGATAAGCGAGTCTACAAAGCCCGGGGCACGATTTATTTTAGGATCTGCCCATGATGCAGATATTGGTACCAACTCACTACAGAATTACCAGCTCAACCCCAATGATCATTTCTCACTCGTGAATAAAGAGAAACAAGACGGCAGTAAATACCCTGAGCTGGTACTAAAAACGCCTTTAGACCGGGAAGAGCAGAAATCCTACCAGTTGACCTTGACTGCATTGGACTGCGGGGATCCACCCCTTAGTAGTACTGCCCAGATACAGGTCCTAGTGACTGATGCCAATGATAACCCTCCAGTGTTCAGCCAAGAACTATACAGGGTGAGCATTCTGGAAAACGTGCTTCCAGGCACCCCTGTGCTTCGAGTGATGGCCACTGACCAGGATGAGGGTGTCAATGCCCAGATCACCTTCTCTTTCACTGAAGCAGGCCAGATCACTCAGTTTGACCTGAATTCTATTACCGGGGAAATTACCATCCTAAATACGTTAGATTTTGAGGAAGTCAAAGAATATTCCATAGTTTTGGAAGCAAGGGATGGTGGAGGAATGATTGCTCAATGTACCGTGGAGATAGAGGTCCAAGACATAAATGACAATATCCCAGAAGTGGTATTCCAATCTCTGCGGGATATTATTATGGAGGACACCAACCTGGGAACACACGTTGCTTTGCTTAAGATCCGTGACAAGGATTCTGGACACAACGGAGAAGTTATTTGTAAATTAGAAGGTGATATTCCATTTAAAATAGTCTCTTCTTCGAGAAACACCTATAAATTAGTGACAGATGGAATTCTAGACCGTGAGCAGACCCCTGAGTACAATGTCACTATCACAGCCACCGACAGGGGCAAGCCGCCCCTTTCTTCTAGCTCAAGCGTCACCCTACGCATCGGCGATGTCAACGACAACGCGCCGGTTTTCGAACAGCCTTCTTACGTGGTCCATGTGGCTGAGAACAATCCTCCTGGAGCATCCATCGCACAAGTCAGCGCCTCGGACCCCGACCTGGGGCCCAACGGCCGCGTCTCCTACTCCATCGTGGCCAGCGACCTGGAGCCACGCGCGCTGGCGTCCTACGTGTCCGTGAGCGCGCAGAGCGGGGTGGTGTTCGCGCAGCGCGCCTTCGACCACGAGCAGCTGCGCGCCTTCGAGCTGACCCTGCAGGCGCGCGACCAGGGCTCGCCCGCGCTCCGCGCCAACGTGAGCCTGCGCGTGTTGGTGGGCGACCGCAACGACAACGCGCCCCGGGTGCTGTACCCGGCGCTGGGGCCCGACGGCTCGGCGCTCTTCGACACGGTGCCGCGCGCCGCGCAGCCCGGCTACCTGGTCACCAAGGTGGTGGCGGTGGACGCCGACTCGGGACACAATGCCTGGCTGTCGTACCACGTGCTGCAGGCCAGCGAGCCGGGACTCTTCAGCCTGGGGCTGCGCACGGGCGAGGTGCGCACGGCGCGCGCTTTGGGCGACAGGGACGCGGCCCGCCAGCGCCTGCTGGTCGCTGTGCGGGATGGGGGACAGCCGCCCCTCTCGGCCACAGCCACGCTGCTCCTGGTTTTCGCCGACAGCCTACAAGAAGTGCCGCCAGATGTCAGCGACCGCCCGGCGCCCTCTGACCCCCAGGCTGAGCTGCAGTTTTACCTGGTGGTGGCTTTGGCCCTGATCTCGGTGCTCTTCCTCCTCGCGGTGATTCTGGCGGTTGCCCTGCGCCTGGGACGCTCCTCCAGCCCTGCCTCCTGGAGCTGCTTTCAGCCTGGTCTGTGTGTCAAGTCAGGACCTGTGGTTCCTCCCAACTACAGTGAAGGGACTTTGCCTTATTCCTACAATTTGTGCGTTGCCCATACTGGAAAGACAGAGTTTAATTTTCTAAAGTGCAATGAGCAATTGAGTTCAGAACAAGACATACTTTTCGGTGATTCATCTGGGGCCTTATTTCCACTTTGCAAATCCAGTGAGTCAACCTCCCATCTGGTGAGTTTCTTTTAAGCATAACCTGCTTCTTATGATCTACCCAATTCTTTATGTTCATGGGGAAAATATACAATTTGTAGATCTAAAAGTTTCTCTATAAAGTAAAAAAGCTATCATGAGAAGTTGAAGTAGGACCAGTTATGTCTCTTTTAGGGATGTCTTACCAGGCTCAGATCTATGAAGCAGTTAGAGTGTGGTTTTATCGAGGAAGGGAATCAATGTTATAGGCTATCTCCTAAAAGCTAATGAGATTTTTCCTAAGTTTTTCTTCTTATTACCTAATATACTTTTTTTTTAGCTGGATATACTATAAATGTAAAAGTGGGTGTCATTTAAATAAACCTTTAAAACAAAAAAAATTAAGCTAAAATTGAGCATTTTTCATAACTGATTTAACTGTTTTCTTTTATTTACTTCCTTTTGTTTCAAAGCCTCCTAGAATAAAATATCTTAACCTGGATTTTTATGTAGATGGACACATTCCAATTATATGCAATGAACTGTATGTGTGTTTAAAAGCATTTTACTGGGGCGCCTGGGTGGCTCAGTCGTTAAGCGGCTCGGGTCATGATCCCAGGATCCTGGGATCGAGCCCTGCATGGGGCTCCCTGCTCACTGAGAAGCCTGCTTCTCCCTCTCCCACTCCCCCTGCTTGTGTTCCCTCTCTCGCTGTGTCTCTCTCTGTCAAATAAATAAAAATCTATATAAAAATAAAAATAAAAGCATTTTACTTACCAGTAAGACCAGTATGCTCACCAGAAGATAAAAACATTTTCTTTAATTTGCAGCATAGGTTTTTCACACACACCTATATAATTTAATTTGTCTTTTTTGCAGCCCAAATATAGCCAGAGGTCTTCTAGTCATTCTACTATCTCTAGGAGAAAAATAGAGTCTTGAATTCTTCAAATTTTAGACAAAATTGCCAATCTGATGTGCATACAAGTATATATATATAAGATAATGCATTTGTCATCTTCAGCTAGATTTCTGTTAGCAAATGCTCAGTTACTGGCCACTTTACAAACTGCTGAAGAAAAGAGACAATTTTTTTCATAGTGACACTCTTTGACTGCTTGGTGATAATTATGTGTTCCCTTTTTGTGGTTTTCTTGATCAAAATACTACTTAAGGGGGCACCTGGGTGGCTCAGTCAGTTAAGTGTCTGACTCTTTTTTTTTTTTTTTTTTGACAGAGAGAGAGATAATGAGAGCAGAACACAAGCAGGGGGAGTGGGAGAGGGAGTAGCAGACCTCCCGCCGAGCAGGGAGCCCGATGTGGGACTCGATTCCAGGACCTCGGGATCATGACCTGAGCCGAAGGCAGCCAGGCGCCCAAGTGTCTGACTCTTGAATTCGACTCAGGTCATGATCTCAGGGCATGAGATCCAGCTCCACGCTCAGCAGGGAGTCTGTTTGAGATTCTCTATACAAAAATACTAATTAAGGTAAAATTAACTTTAGAATATATGTCTTTCTTAGGAAATTAAGTCTGCTTTAAAATGTAATCATCTCTCATTTGTGGAAGATTAGGATGGAGATTTGCTTTTCATTGTGTATTCATTTGTATTTTTTAAATAGTTCCTATTCAAATAGGAAAAAATACATAATTTAAATAAAGTAGTAAATCAAGGGTGCCTGGGGCACCTGGATAGCTCAGTTGGTTAAGTGTCTGCTTTCAACTCAGGTAATAATCTCAGGGTCTTGGGATCAAACCCCCATGTTGGGCTCTGTGCATATCGGGGAGTCTGCTTATCCCTCTCTTTCCTCCTCTGCTCCTCCAGCACTCTCACCCTCTCAAATAAAATAAAATCTTAAAACAAAACAAAACAAAACAAAACAAGGGTGCCTGACTGGCTCAGTTGGTAGAACATGCAATTCTGGATCTTGGGGTTGTGAGTTTGAGACCCACCTGGGTATAGAGATTACTTAAAAATAAATAAATAAATGAAATAGCAAATAATATAATCTCTGATGAAATTTGAAAGTAAAAGCATTTATCCTGTTAAAATTTCACAATATTAATTTGAAAACATAATCAATATGTAATTAAAATGGCATTTTAAAAAGAAAAATTAAAAAGCAACAACTCTACTGAAAGCTTACTATAATGATTTACATCATTATAGTTTACATCAAATACAGCACCTTCTGAGTCAATCATGTTCAATAGTTCTACTTTAGTCTAAAAATGAATTTATTTCCAGTGACAACTAAGAGGTCTTATTTGATAATAGACTTACAATAAAGCTTAGAGCATAGAAAGGAATGACATTTTAATGATTTACCTTTTAAGAGTACATGTATTCAGAAATTTGAGTAATGTGAGACTATCCCATAAATCTATGGGGATCATTTAGTAATCCTTTGTAAAACTTTAACCCTACTTAATCCCGTGCTTCTTGGCAACAACTTTTAAAATATGAATTCAGGGACAAATTAAATAAATTCAAAACATATTATAAAAGGCAAGTATTTTTTCCTCTCTCACTAACCTTGTATACACTATTACATATCTAAGTGGGTGCAGTAACTGCTTAGGACTCTAAGCGCCGCTGTTCACCTATTTGGAGATAAATTTAACCAAATGCCATCTGGTTACTAAAGGCTCAGATCTCGCCGCAGATCCCACAAACCAACTGCAGGGCTGCAGCGAAATTCTGTCCCTACATCTGAGACACTCCAGTTTTCTATAAGATGATCTCCATAGCTGCAGCAAAAAGGTAAACAAGACACATATGCCCAATGAGGATTCTGAATGGATTCAGTAGTGAAAGAACAATGGCCGCTCCAAAGAATTACCAGAGACGCGGAGAGCTGGTCCTGCTGTGCGCGCTCATGGGCACGCTGTGGGAAATCGGGAGAGGACAGATCCATTATTCGGTGCCAGAAGAGAGCGACAAAGGATCCTTCGTGGGTAACATCTCCAAGGACCTGAATCTGGAATCACAAGAGCTGGTGAAGCACGGAGTCCGCATTGTCTCCAGAGGTAGGACGCAGCTTTTTGCTCTGAACCGGAAAACTGGCGGCTTGCTCACCGCGGGCAGGATAGACCGGGAGGAGCTTTGTGCTCAGAGCATGCAGTGTCTAGTAAATATCAACATCCTGATTGAGGGCAGAGGAAAACTTTTTGGGATAGAAATAGAAATCACTGATATCAATGATAATAACCCAAAATTCCAGGTCGAAAATCTGGAAATGAAAATTAATGAAATCGCTGCGCCTGGAACACGTTATCCGCTCCCAGAGGCTGTTGACCTGGACGTGGGCATGAATTCCTTGCAGAGCTACCAGCTCAGCCCCAATCACCACTTCTCCCTGGACGTACAAACTGGAGGCGACGGAACTCTACACCCAGAGCTGGTGCTGGAGAAGGCCCTGGACCGCGAGGAAGAGGCTGCGCACCACCTGGTCCTCATTGCCTCGGACGGCGGTGACCCGCGTCGCTCCAGCACAGTGCACATCCACGTGACAGTGCTGGATACAAACGACAATGCCCCGGTTTTTGCTCTACCGATTTACCAAGTGAAAGTCCCAGAGAACGTGCCCCCGGGCACCCGGCTGCTTACTGTGAGCGCTAGCGACCGGGATGAGGGAGCCAACGGAGAAGTAGCCTATAGATTCTGGAAAATTAGTGAAAAGCAGTCTCCGCTATTCCAGCTGAATGAAAATACTGGGGAAATATCAACGGCAGAGAGTCTAGACTATGAAGAATGTGCATTTTATGAAATGGAAATACAAGCTGAAGATGTGGGGGCACTTTTGGGGAGGACCAAAGTGCTCATTTCAGTGGAAGATGTGAATGACAATAGACCGGAAGTGATCATTACATCTCTGTTTAGCCCAGTCTTGGAAAATACTCCTCCTGGAACAGTAATTGCCTTCTTGAATGTGCATGACCGAGACTCCGGGAAGAATGGTCAAGTTGTCTGTAACACACCTCATAATTTACCTTTTCAATTGGAAAAATCAATAGATAATTATTATAGATTGGTGACATGGAAATATCTGGACCGAGAAAAGATCTCTGTGTACAATATCACAGTGATGGCCTCAGATCTAGGGGCTCCTTCTCTATCTACTGAAACTTATATCACCCTGTATGTGGCGGATATCAATGACAATCCCCCCACTTTCCCTCAAGTCTCCTATTCAGCCTATATCCCAGAGAACAACGCCAGAGGTGCCTCCATCTTCACTGTGATGGCTCATGACCCCGACAGTGGCAAAAACGCCCAGGTGACTTACTCTGTGACTGAGGACATCATCATGGGAAGCCCTCTCTCCTCCTATGTTTCCATCAACTCAGACACTGGCGTCCTATATGCGCTGTGTTCCTTTGACTATGAGCATATACGAGACTTGCAGTTACTGGTGACAGCCAGCGATGGCGGGGACCCTCCACTCAGCAGCAACGTGTCACTGAGCTTGTTTGTGCTGGACCAGAATGACAATGCGCCTGAAATCCTGTACCCCGCCCTCCCCACCGATGGTTCCACCGGCGTGGAGCTGGCGCCCCGCTCCGCAGAGCCCGGCTACCTGGTCACCAAGGTGGTGGCGGTGGACAGAGACTCGGGCCAGAACGCCTGGCTGTCCTACCGCCTGCTCAAGGCGAGCGAGCCAGGGCTCTTCGCGGTGGGGCTGCACACGGGCGAGGTGCGCACGGCGCGGGCCCTGCTGGACAGAGACGCGCTCAAGCAGAGCCTGGTGGTGGCGGTGCAGGACCACGGCCAGCCCCCTCTCTCGGCCACCGTCACGCTCACCGTGGCCGTGGCCGACAACATCCCGGACGTCCTGGCCGACCTGGGCAGCATCAGGACCCCCGCCGACCCGGACGATTCGGACCTCACGCTGTATCTGGTGGTGGCGGTGGCGGCAGTCTCGTGCGTCTTCCTGGCCTTTGTCATCGTGCTGCTGGCGCTCAGGCTGAGGCGCTGGCACGCGTCGCGTCTGCTCCAGGCTTCCGGAGGCGGGCTGGTGGGCGTGCCGGCCTCGCACTTTGTGGGCGTGGACGGGGTGCGGGCTTTCCTGCAGACCTATTCCCACGAGGTCTCCCTGACCGCGGACTCGCGGGAGAGTCACGTGATCTTCCCCCAGCCCAACTACGTCGACACGCTAATCAGTCTGGAGAGCTGTGAGAAAAATGATTCCTTGCTAACATCCGTAGATTTTCATCAATGTAAGGATGAAGCCGCTTCTGTTCAGGTGAGTTCAGTTCTTTGTTCACGTTTAATTCTCAAAGGAATTATATTTTTTATAAATTTATGTTTTAAAACGCACATTGTGGAGATAGTTTAAAATATTTTTTAAAAGTGTAGCCCAAGGTTTTTGGTTTTAGTGGTCATACTATAAAATTGAGCTCTAATCATGATAGTTTGCTTCATTTGCTTTCCAAAGTCTTGGACAAGATTTTTTACATGTCAACTCTCAACCTTTTAAAAATCTTACATATGTGGAGACTGGCTGGCTCAGTCAGTCGTGCGTGAGACTCTTGATCTCAGGGTAGTGAGTTCCAGCCCCACTTTGGATGTAGAGATTACTTTTAAAAATACAAAAAATAGGGGTGCCTTGGTGGCTGGGTCTGTTGGGCCTCAGATTCTTGGTTTCTGCTTGGGTTGTGATCTCAGGGGTGGTGCGATCAAGCGGGGGGTGGGGCTTCTGGCTCAGTGGGGAGTAGGCTTGATAATTCTCTCCCTCTGCCCCTCCCTCTACTCCTGCTCACACTCTCTCACTCAAATAAATAAGTCTTTTTTTTAAAAGAAGAGAAAGGGACGCCTGAGTGGCTCAGTCGGTTAAGCATCTGCCTTCAGCTCAGATCATGGTCCCAGGGTCCTAGGATCGAGTCCCGCATCGGGCTCCTTGTTCCGCGGGGAGCCTGCTTCTCCCTCTGCCTCTGCCTCTCTCTCTCTATCTCTCATTAATAAATAAATAAAATCTTTAAAAATAAATAAAAGAAGAGAAAAACATAAAAAATGAAATTTAAAAATCTTCCTTATGTTGCTATAATTATCCCTTATCACTCATTCACTTAAGAAGTAGTTACCCAACCACATATGGTAAGTTTGTTTTATATTTAGGAAATATATATATGTATTCCTAATTAGAGGTGAGAAAAAAAATAACTGAGACTTTCATTTTTTTTAAGATTTTATTTTTTTATTTGAGAAAGAGTGAGTATGAGCAGTGGGAGTGGCCGGCAGAGGGAAAAGCAGACTCCCCACTGAGCAGGGAGCCTGACTAGGGGCTCCATCCTGCGACTCCAGGATCAGACTTGATTCCAGGATCATGACCTGAGCCGAAGGCAGTTGCCTAACCAACTGAGCCACCCAGGCGCCCTAACCAAGACTTTTAATCCTTGTATTAGCTTAGTAAAAGTAAAATACATCTCACAATTTTAAGATTCTGTTTAGGGTTTGGGTCTTGAAGGTCTGAAGTTTTCTAGGCTTTTGGAGATTTCTTCACTTTAAACCCCTTTTATGAGCCTTGTATTGGCATCAGTACCCTTCAAAACTTTAATACTTATTATATTTCAAAAGATAAATACATTTGAAAGGGTGGAACTTGGTAGTAGGTGAAACAGGTTCCCTTATGTGTCAATGGTCTCCAAGAGCTCATACTAAAGAAGACATAAAATCTAGGGGCGCCTGGGTGGCTCAGTCCTTAAGTGTCTGCCTTTGGCTCAGGTCATGATCCCAGCTTCCTGGGATCTAGCCCGCATTGAACCCCGCATCAGGCTCCCTGCTCAGTGGGGGGGGGGGGGGGGCCTGCTTCTCCCTCTCCAGCTCCTCCGTGCTTGTGTTCTCTCTCTCCCTATCTCTCTCGTCAAATAAATAAATAAATAAAATCTTAAAAAAAAAGAAGACATGGAATCTAAAGCCTAAAATGTCCATCACCCCCCACAAAAAAACAAAAATAAAAACAACAAAATCATATTTGAAATAAAATGTCATTTTGAAAAATACCGAAAACATGTTTTTGGTAAGTTCCAATGAATTGTTTTGATTGGACAGGCATGTGAAATGTGTTGTGTTCTCATGGTGAGAGAGTTTGAGAATGTTGGTTTTAAGAAAAGAAGTTTCAGGGGCACCCGGATGGCTTGGTCATTAGGCGTCTGCCTTCAGCTCAGGTCATGATCCCAGGGTCCTGGGATCAAGCCCTGCATCGGGTTCCCTGCTCTGGGGGAAGCCTGCTTCTCCCTCTCCCACTCCCCCTGCTTGTGTTCCCTCTCTCGCTGTGTCTTTCTCTGTCAAATAAAAAAATAAAATCTTAAAAAAAAAAAGTTTCATATAAACAGATTCTAAACAAGCTGATCAATTCAATTAAAAATGATTATATATCTCCTGGGGCGCCTGGGTGGCTCAGTTGGTTAAGCGACTGCCTTCGGCTCAGGTCATGATCCTGGAGTCCCAGGATCCAGTCCCGCATCGGGCTCCCTGCTCATCAGGGAGTCTGCTTCTCTCTCTGACCCTCCTCCCTCTCATTCTCTCTGTCTCAAATAAATAAATAAAATCTTAAAAAAAAATGATTATATATCTCCTGTATTCCTTGTTATAGCATCTTAGCAGTGCTAACTCTTTTTTTTTTTTAAAGATTTTATTTATTTATTTGAGAGAGAGCACATGAGAGGGGGGAGGGTCAGAGGGAGAAGCAGACTCCCTGCCGAGCAGGGAGCCCGATGCGGGACTCGATCCAGGGACTCCAGGATCATGACCTGAGCCGAAGGCAGTCGCTTAACCAACTGAGCCGCCCAGGCGCCCCAACAGTGCTAACTCTTGATTTGTCATCACATGAGAATGAAAAACACAATAAAGCATTTGTTAGGTATAAAAAGGGCATTTCCCAAGGGTTTTGTAGTGTTTCCTCCTATTTTGCATGTACTGTGGTTGGGATTTAACTTTTTTGGCAGTGTTTGGATGTACAGACATTTGAAGGGACAACTATATTATTGATAATTTACAATTTTTAAAAGTGTTTGGAAACTTGCCCTGATAAAAAACCTTATTCTTGTTCAAAACCTTCACTGATTGTTAAAAAAATTTCAACAGATGGAGTAAAATAGCTAGAACAAATGTCATTTGCCCAGGAAATTTATGTGAATAAACTTACCATGAGCTCAATTCTAAAGTCATTACTTCAGTATAACATAGATACATAGATAAGAAAGTAATGTAATCTACTGAAATATCCTTTTGTGACTGTGTATTGAAGAATAGATAAACATTTCCCCAGTGAGTTTTTTTAAAAGATTTTATTTATTTATTTGGGAGAGAGAATGAGAGAGAGCATGAGAGGGGGGAGGGTCAGAGGGAGAAGCAGACTCCCCGCCGAGCAGGGAGCCCATGTGGGACTGGATCCTGGGACTCCAGGATCATGACCTGAGCCGAAGGCAGTCACTTAACCAACTGAGCCACCCAGGCGCCCCCCCCCCCGCCAGTGACTTTTAAGAATGAATTAATGTACTATTTATGTACTATATTGGGTATGACATAATCCAAGTAATTTTTAGACATGAAGAAGAAGGTAAGGTAAATCATCTCTTGGCTACATCATAGGGACAGGGTTTTTTTTTTTTTTTAATGAATACTTCCTTAGATAGTCAAAAGAGTAAAAAGAAATTATTTTAAAAGAGGGTGTTGATATTATCAGATGTTTGAGGATGTATGAAATTGCACCACTTTACAGAATAATTTTCAACAGTGTTAGTATTCTCTAATATATGGGATATGAAAACAGCATTAATAATATAGAAATGTTGGGGGGGAAATTTAGGAATCAATGAAAGAAGATTAAAATTGTTTCACATATTATACCTAATAAAGAGAAATGATTTTGTGAAGTCAGAAGATGATAAACTCGCTGAGGTCAAGACCTCTGTTGTACTCATTTTTATGTCGCCACTGACAAGGGCAGTACTTAGCACAAGGCAAGAGTTCAATGTATGTTTGTGGTAGGGTGAAATGGATGGACCAGTATATGTAGGTTTCTATAAAAACTCAACATATTTCTAATAATTTGGAAACAAGAGAAAGGATGCCTTAAAAAGGCTTTATAATTTAAGATATTAAATATATTAACATAAAAACGTGGCTTGTTCAGTTAGGCACAGGATTGTTATTTTTGTAGATGGTTAAACTGAAGCAGCAGAGGCTGCAGTTCCCCAGTGCGGACTGTGGGCGCCGCTGTTGGCCAAAATGGAGAGCTTGGGCACCGGCGATCTCCTCGCGCAGCCGCAGCGCACTTTCCCTATCAGACTCGCTAGCCCGATCCTTTACACCACTTCCTCCTCCGGAAAAGAAGAAACCCTGACCCTCACACAGGACTTACAGCCTGTTCGGAGCTCCGGACATCTGCAGCACAGAGAGTATTTGTAATCCGGCGTCTCCAGGCCGGTGAGCAATCTGAGGGAAGCAAGAGGGATGGGGAGCGGCGCTGCCGAGAGGGGCTGGGCTGAGAGGCGGCCGGTGCTCTTTCCCTTCCTGCTGTCTTTGTTCGGCCCGGCGCTCTCTGAGCAGATCCGCTACCGGATTCCCGAGGAAATGCCCGAGGGCTCGGTGGTGGGGAACCTCGGCAAGGATTTGGGACTCAGCGTGCAGGAGTTACCGACTCGACAACTGCGCATCAGTTCGGAGAAGGCTTACTTCACCGTGAGCGCCAAGAGCGGGGAGTTACTTGTGGGCAGCAGGCTAGACCGGGAGCAGATATGTGGGAAGAAGCCAGCCTGTACTCTGGAATTTGAGGCTGTTGCTGAAAATCCGTTGAACTTTTATCACGTGAGTGTGGACATCGAAGATATTAATGACCATAGCCCAAAATTCACCCAAACTTCTTTTGACCTGCAGATAAGTGAGTCTACTGTGCCAGGCACTCGGTTTATCTTAGAAACAGCTGAAGATGGAGATATTGGTTTAAATGCCCTGCAGCTTTATAAACTCTCTCTTAGCCCTATTTTCTCATTGATAAATAAAGAGAAACAAGATGGCAGTAAATACCCAGAACTGGCATTGGAGAAACGTTTAGACCGGGAACAACAGAGTTACCATCGTTTAGTTCTGACTGCCTTGGATGGTGGAGATCCTCCGCTCAGCGGCACCACTGAGCTCCGGATCCAGGTCACTGATGCCAATGATAACCCCCCTGTATTCAACCAGGACGTTTACAGAGTAAGCCTTCGAGAAAACGTGCCCCCAGGCACCGCAGTGGTGCAGGTATCAGCCACTGACCAAGACGAGGGCCTCAACTCTGAAATCACTTACTCCTTCTACAGGACCGGGCAAGTCTTCAGTCTGAATTCAAAGAGCGGGGAAATTACAACTCGAAAGACTCTGGATTTCGAAGAAATCAAGGAATATTCTATAGTGGTGGAAGGGAGGGATGGTGGAGGATTGGCTGCACAATGTACAATTGAAATTAACATTCAAGATGAAAATGACAACCGTCCAGAAGTTACATTCCATTCTCTAGCCGAAATGATTCTGGAAAACGCACGGCCAGGAACGCTAATTGCTTTGATCAAAATACATGATCGAGATTCCGGGGAGAACGGGGAGGTTAATTGTCGATTAGAGGGTGAAGTTCCTTTTCAGATAATCTCTTCATCTAAAAATTCATATAAGTTAGTAATAGATGGGACTCTGGACCGAGAACAGACCCCAGAATACAATGTCACCATAACAGCCACTGACAGGGGCAAGCCGCCCCTCTCCTCCAGCACTAGTGTCACTTTGATCATTACTGACGTCAATGACAATGCTCCAGTTTTTCACCAGGCCGCCTACGTGGTTCACGTGATGGAGAACAACCCTCCTGGAGCATCCATCGCACAAGTCAGCGCCTCGGACCCCGACCTGGGGCCCAACGGCCGCGTCTCCTACTCCATCGTGGCCAGCGACCTGGAGCCACGCGCGCTGGCGTCCTACGTGTCCGTGAGCGCGCAGAGCGGGGTGGTGTTCGCGCAGCGCGCCTTCGACCACGAGCAGCTGCGCGCCTTCGAGCTGACCCTGCAGGCGCGCGACCAGGGCTCGCCCGCGCTCCGCGCCAACGTGAGCCTGCGCGTGTTGGTGGGCGACCGCAACGACAACGCGCCCCGGGTGCTGTACCCGGCGCTGGGGCCCGACGGCTCGGCGCTCTTCGACACGGTGCCGCGCGCCGCGCAGCCCGGCTACCTGGTCACCAAGGTGGTGGCGGTGGACGCCGACTCGGGACACAATGCCTGGCTGTCGTACCACGTGCTGCAGGCCAGCGAGCCGGGACTCTTCAGCCTGGGGCTGCGCACGGGCGAGGTGCGCACGGCGCGCGCTTTGGGCGACAGGGACGCGGCCCGCCAGCGCCTGCTGGTCGCTGTGCGGGATGGGGGACAGCCGCCCCTCTCGGCCACAGCCACGCTGCTCCTGGTTTTCGCCGACAGCCTACAAGAAGTGCCGCCAGATGTCAGCGACCGCCCGGCGCCCTCTGACCCCCAGGCTGAGCTGCAGTTTTACCTGGTGGTGGCTTTGGCCCTGATCTCGGTGCTCTTCCTCCTCGCGGTGATTCTGGCGGTTGCCCTGCGCCTGGGACGCTCCTCCAGCCCTGCCTCCTGGAGCTGCTTTCAGCCTGGTCTGTGTGTCAAGTCAGGACCTGTGGTTCCTCCCAACTACAGTGAAGGGACTTTGCCTTATTCCTACAATTTGTGCGTTGCCCATACTGGAAAGACAGAGTTTAATTTTCTAAAGTGCAATGAGCAGTTGAGTTCAGGACAAGATATACTGCTTTGTGGTGATTCATCTGGGGCCTTATTTCCACTTTGTAATCCCAGTGAGTCGACTTCCCATCCTGAAACTCTAACGCCGGTGAGTTCTATATAAGTATCTACTCCTTTTCATCATTTATCCAGTTTTTCATATTTATATGAAAATCTATTACATTTCTAAGTAGTAAGTTGTCTTAAGGATATTATAGCCCATCGGAAAGCTGTACTTCCATTTTTTAAGGAGAATAGTGAGCTGGGAGTAGTTATGTGACATATAATAGAGTTATCACACCTAGTTCAGATTTATGAAGTAGTGAGTTTCCTCCTTGCTTCACAGCAGAAGTATTATATCAATTTCTTATATCTTTTTTCATAGGTAATGAAATTTACCCAGATTGCCTCATTTATTTAACATATTTGAGTTTTTTTACATGTAAGTAAACATTAAATTTAAAGTAGGCAATCATTTAATTCGTTCTTTAAAGCAAAGAAACTATTAGCCTTCTTTCTTCACTGATTTCACTAGTAGACTTTCCATCTTTTTAAATGTTTATTCCTCATGTCTAGTTCCTTATATCTACTTAGTCATGACTGTTTGAGTACTTTTAAATTGTAAGAAAAATCGTGTGGGGGGAGGAGCGGGGGAGAGAGACTCAGTGAATTCATCAGAAGGTCCAATCATTATCTAAATTCCTTCAAATTTTCTTGAATATAAAATCCTCCTCTTCCTCTTATAGTTACTAGAAGACACTTGACAAAAGAAAAGGAAATGCTATTGCCTCTATCACTTGCTCTCATTCCTTACCTATATTTTTTGAAGAAAGGGGGGAAAGTCACTGGATTTGTGTTATTATTTGGAACTCTAAACATTTGTAATTAGAGGTTTTCTCATCATTCTTGTATCTGTAGGAGGGAAGGAGAATCCCGAATATTCCATTTAATGGCAAAAATTACTAATTTCATGCTCAAAGTTGCCATTTCTTAAGAATCAGTCTTTTGCTTTGTCTTCCTTAGTAACTGCTTCAGTAAATGGTATCTTTACAAATTGCTGAAAGAATTCTTTTTTAACATAAGCTCTACGTCCATTGTGGGGCTTGAACTCACCACCCTAAGATCTAGAGTCGCATGCTCAACTGATGGAGCCAGCCAGGTTCCCCTGAAAGAATTTCTTGTATTGGCACTCTTTGCTTTTTAATGATAATAATTTGTTCTACATCTTGTATTCTTTTTCTCTAATTATCACAGAGGTTTAAGTGACCTTTACAAAAAAAAGTTTAAGACTACTTTATTTTTTAAAAAATATTTTATTTATTTATTTGACACAGAGAGAGAGATAGTGAGAGCAGGAACACAAGCAGGGGGAGTGGGAGAGGGAGAAGCAGGCTTCCTGCTGAGCAGGGAGCCCGATGTGGAGCTCTATCCCAGGACTCCCGGATCATGACCTGAGCCGAAGGCACACGCTTAACAACTGAGCCACCCAGGCGCCCCAAGACTACTTTAAAACTGCGTAATTTCTTTATGGAAGGACTGAAATGGAAACTTGCTTTTCATTGTGTGTTTATTTGAATATTCCAAATGCCATAGCCAGTGTATGCATTATGTATTCACATAGAAAATTTAAAAAAAATCGAAATAGCATAAAAGTGTAACATTCACAAATATGCAACTTTAAAAAACAATCCTTTCAAGATTTAGCAATATTAGGTGAGAAAATCTATTACTGTTGCCTAATTAAAATTATTTTTGTGAGTGAAATTTTAAGGAAAACTTACTCCAGCAAATTTACTATCTGCATAAATTAACCTTATAAAATAATTTCAAAGTGAATAATCCATATGTATTGTACACTGTAGTTACTTCAGAAAATAATGACATATAGAAAAATTTTGAAAGATTATAAAAAGGGAATTAGAATAATTTACATATGTAAAAGGAGAGCAAAATTCTACCAAGAATAAGTTAATTTGATATTAAGAAAAAACAGTGAGGGGCACCTGGTGGCTCAGTCAGTTAAGCCTCCGACTCTTGATCTCAGCTCAGGTCTTGATCTCAGGGTCGTCGGAAGTTCAAGCCCTGCATTGAGCTCTACGCTGGGTGTGGAGCCTACTTAAAAAAAGAAAAAGGGGTGCCCGGTGGCTCAGTTAGTTAAGCGACTGCTTTTGGCTCATGATTCTGGGGTCCCAGGATAGAGTCCCTCATTGGGCTCCCTGCTCAGCAGAAAGTCTGCTTCTCCCTCTGATCCTCCCCCCTCTCATGCTGTCTCTCTCAGTCTCTCTCTCTCAAGTAAATAAATAAAATCTTTAAAAAAAAAAAAGAAAAGAAAGAAAAAATGTCGATTTAACAGTACACTTAATAGAAGTTTCATTCCACTTCATTTTCAACTAACATATCCAGAATGGTAATTGCTTTTGAAATGAGAATGCAAGAAACAGTGAGACAAGTCTACAATTATGGTTAGAAGAGAGTATTTTCTTTTTCAGTCATCTGTAATCAAGTATTATCTCAATGGGTGTAGTGACGGATTAGGACTCTAAGCTCGCTGTTCACCAGCTCTAAGAAAAGCTCAGGCAGCTCTCTATCCTATCCCGATGTTAGGATCTGCAACTACACAAAGCCTCACAGATCCCACAAATTGTAGCAAAAGCTGCAACAAAACTCATCCTCTTAACCTGGGGCACTTCGGTTTTTCCTAAGAAAAAAGATCATCATAATTTGAGGGAGGAAAAAAGAACCTAAGGAGTCAATTTGCACAGAAAGCATTCCGGAAAAAAATATATATCCATAATGAAGCAACAATGGCCGCTCCACTGAATCTCCCGCAAGGCAAAAGCCTGGTTCTGCTGTGCCTTTTCCTGGGGAGGCTTTGGGAGACCCGGCCAGCCAGATACGCTATTTGGTGCCTGAAGAGACAGAAAAAGACTATATTGTGGGAGAATATCTCCAAGGACCTGGGGCTGGAGCCCCAGGAGCTGGCGGAGCGCGGAGTCCACATTGTCTCCAGAGGTAGGGCGCAGCTTTTTGCTCTGAACCCCCTAAGCGGCAGTTTGGTCACCGTGGGCAGGATAGACCGAGAGGAGCTCTGTGCTCAGAGTATACAGTGTCTGGTTAACTTTGAAGTCCTGGTGGGGGCGCCTGGGTGGCTCAGTCATTGAGCATCTGCCTTCAGCTCAGGTCATGATCCCAGGGTCCTGGGATCGAGCCCCACATCGGGTTCCCTGCTCTGCAGGATACCTGCTTCTCCCTCTCCCACTCCCCCTGCTTGTATTCCCCCTCTTGCTGTGTCTCTCTCTGTCATATAAATAAATGAAAAAAAAATCTTTGAAGTCCTGGTGGAAGAGTAAAACTTTACGGAATGGAAGTAGAAGTAACTGATATAAATGACAGTGCGCCAGAATTCCAGGCTGAGAATCTGGAAGTAAAAATTAATGAAATTGCTGCACCTGGAACACGTTATCTGCTCCCAGAGGCTGTTGACCCGGACGTGGGCATGAATTCCTTGCAGAGCTACCAGCTCAGCCCCAATCACCACTTCTCCCTGGACGTACAAACTGGAGGCGACGGAACTCTACACCCAGAGCTGGTGCTGGAGAAGGCCCTGGACCGCGAGGAAGAGGCTGCGTACCACCTGGTCCTCATTGCCTCAGACGGCGGTGACCCGTGTCGCTCCAGCACAGTGCACATCCACGTGACAGTGCTGGATACAAACGACAATGCCCCGGTTTTTGCTCTACCGATTTACCAAGTGAAAGTCCCAGAGAACGTGCCCCCGGGCACCCGGCTGCTTACTGTGAGCGCTAGCGACCGGGATGAGGGAGCCAACGGAGAAGTAGCCTATAGATCTGGAAAATTAGTGAAAAGCAGTCTCCGCTATTCCAGCTGAATGAAAATACTGGGGAAATATCAACGGCAGAGAGTCTAGACTATGAAGAATGTGCATTTTATGAAATGGAAATACAAGCTGAAGATGTGGGGGCACTTTTGGGGAGGACCAAAGTGCTCATTTCAGTGGAAGATGTGAATGACAATAGACCGGAAGTGATCATTACATCTCTGTTTAGCCCAGTCTTGGAAAATACTCCTCCTGGAACAGTAATTGCCTTCTTGAATGTGCATGACTGAGACTCCGGGAAGAATGGTCAAGTTGTCTGTAACACACCTCATAATTTACCTTTTCAATTGGAAAAGTTAATAGATTATTATAGATTGTTGACAGTCCAAATTCTTGACAGTGGAAGAAACCTCTGAATATAACATCACAGTGACAGCAACAGACAGAGGAATGCCACCCCTGTCCACAGAAATTTACATCAACGTACACCCTAGACATCAATGATAACCCAGCTTCTCTGGAAACTCCTACTCAGTCTACCTCCCTGAGAACAACCTTAGAGGCATCTCCATCTTCTTGGTGCCAGCCTATGACCCTGACAGGGAGAGAACACCCAGGTGTTATTTACACCTTGGCTGAGGACACTATCCAAGGGTTGCCTTTTTCCTCCTATGTCTCCATCAGCTCTGACACTGGTCTGGTATATGTTCTGTGCTCCTTTGGCTTTGAGCAGTTTCATGATCTTCAAATGCAGGTGAGGGCAAGCTATAGTGGGAACCAACTGCTCAGCAGCAATGTGTCACTGAACTTGCTTGTGCTGGATCAGAAGGACAGTGTGCCAGAAATCCTGTACCCCACTCCCTCCCACTGATGTTTCCACTGGTGTGCACTCTGCCGAACCTGGTTACCTGGTCACCAAGGTGGTGGCTGTAGAGAGAGACTCAGGTCAGATTGCCTGGCTGTCCTACCACCTGCTCAAAGCCAGTGAGCCTGGGCTCTTCTCAGTGCAGGCCCTGCTAGACAGAGACAGGCTCCAGCAGAGCCTGGTGGTGGTGGTGGTCCAGGACCACGGCCAGCCCCCTCTCTCGTCCATTGTCACACTCACTGTGGCCTTGGCTGACAGCATTCCAGATGTGCTGGCTGACCTCAACAATCTGGAGGTCCCCGCATACCCAGAGACCTCAGACCCCACCTAATACTTTGTGGTGGCAGTGGCTGCAGTCTCCTGCATCTTCCTCACCATTGTCGTTGTGTTGCTGGTGCTCAGGTTGTGGTGTCGGCACACCTCACATCTACTCCAGGCTGTGGGGGTTGGATTAGCTGGTGTGCCTACTTCTCACTCTGTGGGTGTTGACAGGGTGTGGGCTTTTCTGCAGACTTAGTCCCAGGAAGCCTCACTCACGGCGGACTCCTGGGAGAGTCATGTGATCTTTCCCCAGCCCAAGTATGCCAACGTGCTGATTAGCCAGGAGCGCTGTCCGAAAAATGACCCTTTGTGTGTTTCAGATGATTCTAGGTTTCCTATAGAAAACCTATAGGAAACTTTGGTTCCAGTGAGTTCCATTTTTCCCTTATTTTCTATTATAACTGTTTTTTAAGGTTTGCACTTAAGGTGTGATACACTGATGTTAACGTATTTCACACCATTCAAGTTTTCGCTGGGCCTAATTATTGCTCTAACATTATAGCAGGCATTTTTGGTTACATCACTGATAAAATTTTCACTTTCTCATGATCAATTTAACCTATGGTCAATGGAAACCTTCATGGGGCTGCTCTCATTATTGAGCATTGATATGGGTATTTGGGTGTGTTTGCTTGGTTATCAGTTCACAACTAATCCTTAGGGGTGGTTTTCCATTCCTGAAATTTATTATTGTTATCTTCAGTGGCCCCATTGTGAACTTCTTACATACTGCTGCAACATAACTACATCTGATACTGATTTTGTAAAGGTAAATTAATGACAAAACACATCTGTTCTTCTTGAAGAAACTAAAAGCCCAGACTTTTCTGCTTCTGCTTTTCTGTTTCTATGATAGGACAACACCCCTTTGAGGTTATGTTTTTCAGATCACATGTTAGTAGAGGTTGTTTGAATTTAAAGATCACTGTTGAGGAAGAATGACACTTCACTTAAAGGGGTTTCTAAGAATGAACACTGAGAGAGGACAAAACAAGGGAGATAAAAATTATTCCTCAACTGTCTGTTATTTGTGGCTCAATTCTCCAATCTACAGGCTAGAAATAAATAAGGGAGACAATTTAGGAAAATATTCTCAGGACCTGCTGGACAAGGTTCTAAAAATATTTTACTGGCTTTTAGCTATAAGGAAAACAATATTTTATTTGATTTTAAACATAGTGTCATTTCAAGTAAAAAATGACATTCCAGGAGACTTTTTTTTATTATTTATTTTTTGAGAGAGAGAGTGAAGAGGGGAGGGGAGGGACAGGGAGGGGGGAGAGGATCTTAAGCAGACTCTGCACTCAGTGCGGAGCCTGAAGGGGGTCTGGATATCATGACACTGAGATCATGACCTGAGCCGAAATCAAGAGTTGGAGGCTTAACCAACTGAGCCACCCAAGCACCCCTCCAGGAGAATTTAAAAATAAGCTTTGAAGTTGACTCAAAATTCTATTCTAAACACGCTGGCTATAGGGTTAGCAAGTCTGGAAAGCCATTATGACATACAGACATAATTATTTCAAATACTCTATTCCTAAGCTAGTAAGAAAAAAATTAAAGCATCCTTCAGGTTATTTTTTTTAAAGATTTTATTTATTTATTTGACAGAGAGAGAGAGAGAGATAGCGAGAGCAGGAACACAAGCAGTGGGAGAGGGAGAAGCAGGCTTCCCGTGGAGCAGGGAGCCCGATGTGGGACTCAATCCCAGGACTCTGGAATAATGACCTGAGCCGAAGGCAGCTGCTTAACGACTGAGCCACCAAGGCGCCCCCAGGGTCATATTTTTAACTGTGCATTTGGGAAACTGTCACTTGAAGTTTCTGTCCTGGGGAATAACCATTGGTACTTAGTATTCATAGATATTAAATATGCGTTAATTTGGGAAAAGATAACAGATACTGATGAAGGCTTGTATATCATGATAGGTTACTACTTTTCTCTACCATTAATAATATCACTTGCAAGCTCACTGCATGGATAACTGGGCAGAGTGGGGAAAACGCTGAATTCTACTTTTCTCAAATGAGATAGGACTTTTACATTGGTAGCATTTTATATAACAAAATAGGATAAAATCTTTGCTTATCTTAATGTTTCATCTTAAGAGTTAAAATATCTTGGATTTGCTTCAAAATAATGAGGGGGTACAATATATATGTTGAATGAAGATGGCCTTGTGTTGATCGTTATTGCCATTGGGTGATGAGTATATGAAGATTCAATAATAATACTCTCTACTTTTGAATAAGTTTGAAATTTTTGCATAATAAATTTCTTTAAAACACTACATACAACTGTAAAACTTGAGTAAAACTAAAATTTTGGGCTCTTATATAAGTGCATTTTCAAATAGCAATGTATACATATTCTACATATATAGAGAAAAATATATCATTATATATATATTTCTCTATGTATACAATTGGCCTCCAAGTCCTCTCTATTGCAGTGACAGCCACTGACTAGGATGAGGGGGTCAATGCAGAAGTAAACTACTACTTCAGGAGCACTTCTCAGAGTACAGGGAATTTATAGAAATTTATATAGGAGTTTCGAAGAGCAATATTTATATTCTAGAGATAATCTAGAGAAAAATTGGATTCAAGAGGAAAACATCCTCTGGAATGTGGACTGCGGTACCACACGGGGCCTCTGGGCGCCGCTGTCGGCCAGTACAGGGCAAGTGCTGTCGCCCGGGATTCCTCAGCCTCTAGCCTGGGTTTTCCTGCTCAGTCACCAACACAAACGGAAGGAAACCCGCTCACACACTGAGGCTCCTGGCCGCGCAGGCTTTGCCCAACATACACAGATTTCCAGCTCCGCCTGTCATGGTCGGAATGTTCTTCCAGTGATCCCGTGGATTGCAGTTTCTTCAGCTTTCCGGAAAGACTAGGACCCAGCGAGAACTAGAGCGCGCAATGGGAGGGAGCTGCGTTCAGAGGCGCCCCGCCGGCAGGCTGCAGGTACTGTTTCCCTTCCTGCTACCTTTGTTCTACCCGGCGCTCTGCGAGCCGATCCGCTACTCCATTCCCGAGGAACTGGCCAAGGGCTCGGTGGTGGGGAATCTCGCCAAGGATCTCGGGCTCAGCGTCCTGGATGTGTCGGCTCGGAAGCTGCGAGTTAGCACAGAGAAGCTGCTTTTCAACGTAGATGCGGAGAGCGGGGACTTACTGGTGAAGGACCGAATAGACCGTGAGCAGATATGCAAAGAGAGAAGAAGATGTGAGTTGCAGTTGGAAGCCGTGGTGGAAAATCCTTTAAATATTTTTCATATCATTGTGGTTGTTGAGGATATTAATGACCATGCCCCTCGATTCCATAAAGATGAAATAAATTTAGAAATCAGTGAATCTGTATCCGAAGGTGCACGAATATCCCTTGACCCTGCCACCGACCCCGATATAAACATGAACTCAGTTAAAGATTATCAGATAAATCCTAACCCTTATTTCTCATTAGTGATTAGAGTTAATTCCGATGGTGGTAAATACCCAGAGTTATCTTTGGAGAAGCTCCTAGACCGGGAAGAGCAGCGTTCTCATCGCTTGATACTGACTGCCTTGGACGGGGGAGACCCACCACGAAGTGCCACCACTCGAATAGAAATCTTTGTCAGGGATGCCAATGACAACTTCCCGGTGTTCAGCAAAGATGAATATAGAGTCAGTGTTAGTGAAAATCTGCCCCCCGGATCCTCCGTGTTGCAGGTGACAGCCACTGACAAAGACGAAGGGGTCAATGCAGAAGTAAACTACTACTTCAGGAGTACTGCTCAGAGTACAAGGCACATGTTCTCACTGGATGAGAAGACAGGTATGATTAAGAATAACCAGTCATTGGATTTTGAGGATACAGAAAGATACACCATGGAAGTGGAAGCAAGGGATGGAGGTGGTCTCTCTACCCAATGTAAAGTAATCATAGAAATCCTAGATGAAAACGACAACAACCCCGAAATAATCATCACTTCTCTCTCTGATGAAATTTTGGAGGATACTCTTCCAGGAATGGTGGTGGTTCTCTTCAAAACACGGGACAAGGATTTCGGAGAAAATGGAGAAGTTGTCTGTAACATAAGAAGGGATATTCCTTTCAAGATTTATTCCTCTTCTAAGAATTACTACAAGCTGGTGACATATGGACCCCTAGACCGAGAACAGACTCCGGAATACAATGTCACCATAACAGCCACCGACAGGGGCAAGCCGCCTCTCTCCTCCAGCACTACCATCACCCTGCACATCACCGACGTCAACGACAACGCGCCGGTTTTCCACCAGGCCTCTTACGTGGTTCACGTGGCCGAGAACAACCCTCCAGGCGCCTCTATTGCGCAAGTCAGCGCCTCGGACCCCGACCTGGGGCCCAACGGCCGCGTCTCCTACTCCATCGTGGCCAGCGACCTGGAGCCACGCGCGCTGGCGTCCTACGTGTCCGTGAGCGCGCAGAGCGGGGTGGTGTTCGCGCAGCGCGCCTTCGACCACGAGCAGCTGCGCGCCTTCGAGCTGACCCTGCAGGCGCGCGACCAGGGCTCGCCCGCGCTCCGCGCCAACGTGAGCCTGCGCGTGTTGGTGGGCGACCGCAACGACAACGCGCCCCGGGTGCTGTACCCGGCGCTGGGGCCCGACGGCTCGGCGCTCTTCGACACGGTGCCGCGCGCCGCGCAGCCCGGCTACCTGGTCACCAAGGTGGTGGCGGTGGACGCCGACTCGGGACACAATGCCTGGCTGTCGTACCACGTGCTGCAGGCCAGCGAGCCGGGACTCTTCAGCCTGGGGCTGCGCACGGGCGAGGTGCGCACGGCGCGCGCTTTGGGCGACAGGGACGCGGCCCGCCAGCGCCTGCTGGTCGCTGTGCGGGATGGGGGACAGCCGCCCCTCTCGGCCACAGCCACGCTGCTCCTGGTTTTCGCCGACAGCCTACAAGAAGTGCCGCCAGATGTCAGCGACCGCCCGGCGCCCTCTGACCCCCAGGCTGAGCTGCAGTTTTACCTGGTGGTGGCTTTGGCCCTGATCTCGGTGCTCTTCCTCCTCGCGGTGATTCTGGCGGTTGCCCTGCGCCTGGGACGCTCCTCCAGCCCTGCCTCCTGGAGCTGCTTTCAGCCTGGTCTGTGTGTCAAGTCAGGACCTGTGGTTCCTCCCAACTACAGTGAAGGGACTTTGCCTTATTCCTACAATTTGTGCGTTGCCCATACTGGAAAGACAGAGTTTAATTTTCTAAAGTGCAATGAGCAATTGAGTTCAGGACAAGATATACTGCTTTGTGGTGATTCATCTGGGGCCTTAATTCCACTTCAGGGTGGGCATGATTTGACTGCACATCCTGAGACTCTCACACCGGTGAGTTCCACTTTTGTGTCTTCTGAAATATTCTACTTGTTTCTCTTATTTCAGGCATACTACTGCATTTTTATATATAGAATCGTATTTAGAAAATGTGTAACCAATCACCTTTTTGTCTTCTCAATGTTTACTTTTTGCTGATTATATTTTTCAAGATTTACTTGGTTCATAAGTTGCTCTATAATTCAGAAATAATGTCACTAAATTGGGGGTATCTAGTCAAGTTCAGATTAGCAAAACAGGCAGTGGCTTCTTACCAAATACATTAATAGTTAATTATTCAAATCTGATAAGATTTAAGATGAATTTTCCATATCCTACTTATATGTTTGAGTTTAATAATATTAAGCAATGCATTAAGTATCAAAGCAAGTGCTTGTTTCAAAGAAACATTTATTGCAAATAATATCCTGGGTACATTTAGGTATCTTTCTTTATCTTAATAGTTTAAAAAACTAAGCATTTGAGGGGAGCTGGTGAGCAGATCCCAAGTCTCTGAAATGCTATGAGAAGTTGTAGATGTATGTATTTTCCTTGGATGATGAGTCAGAACTTGTTTTCCATTGCCGAGTTTTCTATGGTCCCCAGAACTTAATACTAACTACCCTAGAAGAGTTTTTCTCTTCTACTTTTGGTTTTTCTGGTTGTTTTCTTATATTTATCTTTTCTTGGAGTTTAAATCGTCTCTTTCCTAATCTTTTTTTTCTTCTACATTGCAAGATAACGAATTTCCAAGAAAGCAAATGAAACGTCATTGCCTTTTGCATGCACTCTGTCTCTGATTGATATAAAACCTTTGAAGACAAAATATAAAATCTTTGAAGAGTTCCATACTTGGGGGGTGTAGTGACATAAACAGTTCTGAACTTGTTCTCTGAATGAAAGATGTGAACCTAGGGGCGCCTGGGTGGCTCAGTCAGTTAAGTATCTGCCTTCAGCTCAGGTCATGATCCCAGTGTCCTGGCTCTTCTCAGCGGGGAGTCTGCTAGTCTCCCTCTCCCTCTGCCCCTCCCCCTACTCATGCTCAATCTCACTCGCTCATTCACTCTCTCTTTCTCAAATAAATAAGTAAAATCTTAAAAAAAAAAAAAAGATGTGGACCTCTCAACTCCTCACCTTTGAGGAGAGAACTGCTTCTGGTTTGATAGGCACATACAATTGAAGATGTGTGAACCACTTTACTTTGGGCTTCCATACAAAATGCCAAAAGAAGAGATTGTGTTGGCATCAATGTTCTGATGAAAACAGGTCATCTGAGTAAATATTTATTTTTTTTAAAAACATACATCACGAGTCTAACTTTGTCTTTAAAATTGTAGCTTGATATTTTTCTTTGCATTACAACACAGGCATGTTGTGTTTCTTTTAGTTTGTGGTTACTTGCTCAATTCATTTAAATAGTCAAATTAACTTCTAATTATATATGCCTATAATAAACATTTTTTCAAAAAATTTACAAAGGCTCAATAAAACTATTTTAGAAAGAAGAATATTTTGAAGACCTTTTCCACAATATTAATGCTAAACAAATTTAATTAATTGGTTAATTAGTTAAAGCTAAAATAAAAATTATAAGTGAATTACAAGGGATATATCTCATATAGTTTCTAAATGAATGTCTACTAAACATAATGGGAGGGATGCCTGGGTGGCTCAGCCGTTTAGCGTCTGCCTTTGGCTCAGGTCATGATCCCAGGGTCCTGGGATCGAGCCCCACATCGGGTTCCTTGCTCGGCAGGGAAGACTGCTTCTTCCTCTCCCACTCCCCCTGCGTGTGTTCCCTCTCTCGCTCTCTCTCTCTGTCAAAAAATAAATAAAAATCTTAAAAAAAAATAAACAACAAAAACCTATTAAAAAATAAACATAATGGGACCATTTCAGCCAAAATTTCAAATAAGATTGTAAGACTTTTCTGAATATAGCTAGAAGCTTATAAGAAATAGACTAGACATTACTTAACCTTTAAAAAAATTTTTTTTAATTTTATTTATTTATTTGGCAGAGAGAGGGAACACAAGCAGGGGGAGTGGGAGAGGGAGAAGCAGGCTTCCCGCTGAGCAGGGAGCCTGATGTGGGGCTTGATCCCAGGACTCTGGGATCATGACCTGAGCCGAAGGCAGACGCTTAACGCTTAACGACTGAGCCACCCAGGCGCCCCCATTACTTAACCTTTTAAAGTGGGTACGTTTCTAGTGAAAAAATAAGTGTTACAGATGTGTACTTGACCAGTTATTTTCATGTAATATTTTATAGTACTTTCATTCCATTTATCCTACTCAGTAAGAAACCTACAAATAGTTGGCTTAAGGGATATCAGTTGAGAAACCAAAGAAGTATTGTAAAATAAAATAAAATATCCAACAAAGAGTAGCGTTTGTTGTCCATTGCATACACAGTGGGTGCAGTAACTTCTGAGGACTCTGAGCGCCGCTGTTCGCCTGCTAGGAGAGAAACGCAGCCCGCGCTCAATCCGGATTCTCAGGGCTCTGACTACGCAAATCTCCTCAGTTCCTACGAACCGGCTGCAGAGCTGCAGCAAAACTCACTCCAGAATTTAAGGTGCCTAGGCTACCGAGGCTCCCTGAAGCCAGGGAAAGAGAAAGGAATCGGTCAAAACACACAACGTGCCCAGGGAGTATTTGGCGAGAATTCCTTGACTAGACAACAATGGCTGCTAAAACGAACCGCTCCAACCGCACCGCGCTGGTTCTGCTCTGTCTTGTTCTCGGTCTGTCATGGGAGGCTCAAGCCCGGCAGATCCGCTATTCCGTTCCTGAGGAGCTGGAGAAAGGCTCTTTCGTGGGCAACATTTCCAAGGATCTGGGGCTGGAGCCCCGGGAGCTGGCGGAACGTGGAGTCCGCATTGTCTCCAGAGGTCGGACGCAGCTTTTCGCTCTGAACCCGCGAAGCGGCAGCTTGGTCACCGCAGGCAGGATAGACCGGGAGGAGCTCTGCGCTCAGAGCGCGCCGTGTCTGGTGAGTTTTAACATTCTTGTGGAAGATAGGGTGAAACTTTTTGGGATCGAAATAGAAGTAACTGATATCAACGATAATGCCCCAAAATTCCAAGCAGAAAATGTAGATGTAAAAATTAATGAAAATGTTGCTCCAGGGATGCGATTTCCTCTCCTGGAAGCTGTTGATCCGGATGTGGGTGTGAACTCCCTCCAAAGCTACCAGCTTAGCTCCAATAAGCACTTCTCCTTAGCAGTTCAGACTCATGCCTATGGAGTCAAATACCCAGAGCTGGTGCTGGAACATGCCCTGGATCGGGAGGAACAGGCAGTGCACCACCTTGTCCTCACTGCCTTGGACGGGGGCGACCCTCTCCTATCCGGTACGGTTCTCATCAGTGTGACTGTCTTCGATGCAAATGACAACGCACCGGTCTTCACATTGCCAGAATATCATGTGAGAGTTCTAGAGAACTTGCCTGTGGGCACACAGCTGCTGACAGTCACTGCCACAGACAGGGATGAAGGAGCCAATGGAGAAGTAACATATTCGTTCCGAAAATCACCTGACACGCAATTGTTGAAATTCCAACTAAACAAAAATACTGGGGAAATAAAATTATCAGCAAATCTAGATTATGAAGAAACAGATTTCTATGAATTAGAAATACAAGCGGAAGATGGCGGAGCATATCTTGCAATGGCAAAAGTATTGATTACAGTAGAAGATGTAAATGACAATAGTCCAGAGGTGACCATCACATCTCTGTTTAGTCCCCTGATGGAAGACTCACCTCTTGGGACTGTTATAGCCCTTTTAAACGTGCATGATCCAGACTCTGGGCAGAATGGACAGGTCACCTGTTCCATATCAGAGAATCTACCATTTAAGTTAGAAAAATCCATCGACAGTTATTATAGACTGGTGACACACAGAACCCTTGACAGGGAACAGGTATTCTCTTACAATATTACAGTGACGGCCACAGATGGAGGAAATCCACCCCTATTAATGGAAACTCACTTCACCCTGCACGTGGCAGATATTAATGATAACCCACCCACCTTTTCCCACATCTCCTACTTCACCTATATCCTGGAGAACAACCCTAGAGGTGCCTCCATCTTCTCAGTGACTGCACATGACCCGGACAGCCACGAGAATGCTCAGGTTATTTACTCCCTAGCTGAAGACACTTTCCAGGAAGCACCTCTATCCTCCTACATCTCCATAAACTCTGACACAGGAGTCCTGTATGCACTTCGATCCTTTGACTACGAACAGTTTCGTGATCTACAGATTCAGGTGATTGCCACTGACAGTGGGGACCCACCACTTAGCAGCAATGTGTCACTGAGTATATTCGTGCTGGACCAGAATGACAACACACCAGAGATCCTGTACCCCGCCCTCCCCACCGACGGTTCCACAGGTGTGGAGCTGGCGCCCCGCTCCGCAGAGCCCGGCTACCTGGTCACCAAGGTGGTGGCGGTGGACAGAGACTCGGGCCAGAACGCCTGGCTGTCCTACCGCCTGCTCAAGGCGAGCGAGCCAGGGCTCTTCGCGGTGGGGCTGCACACGGGCGAGGTGCGCACGGCGCGGGCCCTGCTGGACAGAGACGCGCTCAAGCAGAGCCTGGTGGTGGCGGTGCAGGACCACGGCCAGCCCCCTCTCTCGGCCACCGTCACGCTCACCGTGGCCGTGGCCGACAACATCCCGGACGTCCTGGCCGACCTGGGCAGCATCAGGACCCCCGCCGACCCGGACGATTCGGACCTCACGCTGTATCTGGTGGTGGCGGTGGCGGCAGTCTCGTGCGTCTTCCTGGCCTTTGTCATCGTGCTGCTGGCGCTCAGGCTGAGGCGCTGGCACGCGTCGCGTCTGCTCCAGGCTTCCGGAGGCGGGCTGGTGGGCGTGCCGGCCTCGCACTTTGTGGGCGTGGACGGGGTGCGGGCTTTCCTGCAGACCTATTCCCACGAGGTCTCCCTGACCGCGGACTCGCGGGAGAGTCACGTGATCTTCCCCCAGCCCAACTACGCGGACACGCTCATCAGCCAGGAGAGCTGTGGGAAAAAGGATCCTTTGTCTTTGTTAGATGATTCGAAGCTTCCTGTAGAAGATACCCCTTTGGTTCCAGTGAGTTCTAGTTTTCCTCTCCTTCTTTTAAGAATTATAATTGGCATTACTTTTAGGTTTACAGCATAATGATAGAAAATGCCGATCTTTATTGTTTCACTTCTCCGTTTTAATGTTATTTGTTTCTTGCTAAAACAATGAAGAGTAGAACTTGATGGTTATTGAGATTGGTATGTTTTTATTTTCTGGTCAATATTCACCTAATCCCAATGAAGGCCAATGTCACAGACTGTTATGATTTGCCTTGCAGAACCTTCTATTTTATAGTTTTGTTGAATACAATATGACAGTTCCTGAGAGGATTTCCATACAGAAGTGTCTTTCAATTTATGTGCACTTCTCTTGGCCACGTGTTGAAATCCTAGCCCCTTAGGCAACCCTAGCTCTTGTTTTGAAGGCGGGTCTGGTAAGAATTGGTGAATATCAGAAACAAATGCATTAGCTTCACTGGAAACAATGCCAATACAAGGCCCCTCAATGTTGTTGGAGAAGAACAACACCACTTCTCAACACCTTTGTGGTTTTATTTTTCAAACTATACCTTGTAGCGACAATTACAGTTGAATATGCGTCCTGGAGAGATTTGAATTTTTCATTAATATTTTATTAACATTTGATAACACCGTGTGCTTAAATTTTTCCATCATTGGTAAAAATGCAGCATCCTTTTTGATTGTGATTCTAATTGCATACTGTTATGTGAAAGACATAGCATTTTAATTTGACTTTCCTTGCTCAATATGGATTCTAGAGAACCTACAGAAGGTTAAATGAAGCAAATTTGGGGTTCTGCTGTCACCATTTTTTGTTAAATTCTCCGATCTCTAAGGCTGAAAAAATATAGACTGGGGAGACAGATTTGTACATGTTCCCAAGAAGAGCAGCGAAAGATGTGTGCCAACAATATTTCAGTGGCTCTTCAATGTAGAAGAAAGAAGACTGACCTGAATATCTGAAAACTCTGAAATTAAAAGTCACAATAAACTTAAAGTCAAGAAAGAAATATCACTTCTGTGGGAGATCTGAATATAAGCAGAGAAGTACACAAAATTATTCTAAACAAATGATCAGTAGCGTTACTAATGAGCCCATTTAGTGATGATGGTGATGTATTTGGTTTGATATCTTACTTTTATCTTATTTTATTTATTTATTTGACAGAGAGAGATAGTGAGAGCAGGAACACAAGCGGGGGGAGTGCGAGAGGGAGAAGCAGGCTTCCTGCCAAGCAGGGAGCCTGATGCGGGGCTCGATGCCAGAACCCTGGGATCATGACCTGAGCCAAAGGCAGACACTTAACACACCCAGGCACCCCTGATATCTTACTTTTAACTTATTACTAATATTCTTGTAAACTAATATGGTAGCATAAAGTCAAAGAATGTCCTACTGTGTCTCAAAATACTTATGAGACCATGACATGTCATCCAACATTTGTTGAACAATAGGTCTGTGGAAGGAGAGCACATCCTTTTGGGTTGTAGTTATTAGCTTACATCATGGACACAGACATTTTAAATTTCTGGCTTTGGGAGAGTCAAAATTATTATGCATCTATCAGAAATAATTTTATTGTTCTGAAAAACCCAGGTTTTTTTTAAAAAAAAAAAAACTTTTGACATGGTAGCTATTGTAACCAAGTGTTTTAAAATATTATTACATCAAAGCAGTACAGAACACTCTAGATGATTGTAATGAATATGGAAATGACTGCCTTCTAGTTCCTCAATATGGAGGATGGATTAATACTTTCTTGCTAAATATAAGCTAGGATTGAAGATGAAAAAGTTTTTTGCTTATCTTCAGTACTAGCCTTTGTGGATAATTACTTTTAAAAGGAACAACAATGATTGCCTCTGGATGGAAGAACTGGATAGCAACGAGCCATGGGATAGAAGACCTACTTTCCTCTCTATATTCTTCTGTGCTTTTTTGAATTTTGAAAAATCATTTTACCTGTTCAAATTTTATGTAAATTTTTAACATATAAAACATATGATAGTTTTGACCATGTGAAACATGTTTCATGATGAAAATGAAATCAATGAGAAAGAAGATTCAATATTTTAGCTGATATCATCTAACATTTAAAAAAAAGATTTCCTGGGGCGCCTGACTGGCTCAGTCGGTAGAACATGCAACTCTTGATCTTGGGTTTGTGGGTTCGAGCCCACGTCACGTGAAGAGATTACTTAAAATATTTTTAAAAATTAAAAATAAAAAGATTTCCTGAAATAGAGGAAAACTATATTGCGGTTCCACACAAAGCCTCTGGGCGCCGCTGTCGGCCAGTACAGGGCGAGTGCTGTCGCCCGGGATTCCTCAGCCTCTAGCCTGGGTTTTCCTGTGCAGGCAACAACATAAAGAGAAAGAACCCGCTTCCACACCGGGTTCCGGGCTGCGCAGACTTTCCCCAGCACACAAAGATTCCCAGCCCCAAGACTGGAGGGTCTGTATGCTCTGGGCCGAATGCTACCAGTGTGATAGCGTGCACTTTCTCCAGCTCGAGAGACTGGGACCCAGCGAGAACTATAGCGCGCAATGGGAGGAAGCTGCGTTCAGAGGCGCCCCGCCGGCAGGCTGCAGGTACTGTTTCCCTTCCTGCTACCTTTGTTCTACCCGGCGCTCTGCGAGCCGATCCGCTACTCCATTCCCGAGGAACTGGCCAAGGGCTCGGTGGTGGGGAATCTCGCCAAGGATCTCGGGCTCAGCGTCCTGGATGTGTCGGCTCGGAAGCTGCGAGTTAGCACAGAGAAGCTGCTTTTCAACGTAGATGCGGAGAGCGGGGACTTACTGGTGAAGGACCGAATAGACCGTGAGCAGATATGCAAAGAGAGAAGAAGATGTGAGTTGCAGTTGGAAGCCGTGGTGGAAAATCCTTTAAATATTTTTCATATCATTGTGGTTGTTGAGGATATTAATGACCATGCCCCTCGATTCCATAAAGATGAAATAAATTTAGAAATCAGTGAATCTGTCACCCTGGGGACTGGAACAGTTCTTGAGTCTGCAGAAGACCCTGATATTAGCATGAATTCACTGAGCAAATACCAATTAAGTCCTAATGAGTATTTCTCCTTGGTGGTGAAAGACAGTCCTGATGGTAGCAAATATCCAGAATTAGTACTGAAGAAGACCCTGGACCGAGAAACACAAAGCTCTCATCATCTGGTGCTGACAGCCTTAGATAGCGGGGATCCACCACGAAGCAGCACAGCTCAAATCCAAATCCTGGTGGTTGATGCCAATGATAACCCCCCAGTGTTCAGCCGAGATATGTACAGGGTCAGTCTTCGGGAAAGCGTGCCCCCTGGCACTTTGGTGGTGAAGGTGAGCGCCACTGACCGAGATGAAGGCTTCAATGCTGAGATCACCTACTCATTCCTTGGTGTAGCTAATAAAGCCCAGCACGTGTTCTCTCTGGATTCTGCTACAGGAAACATTATGACACATCAACCCTTGGATTTTGAAGAAGTAGAAAGATATACCATGGATGTAGAAGCCAAAGACCGAGGATCCCTCTCTACACAGTGTAAAGTAATCATAGAAGTTCTAGACGAAAATGACAACAACCCTGAAATAATCATCACTTCTCTCTCTGATCAGATTTTGGAGGATTCCCATCCAGGAATGGTTGTGGCTCTCTTCAAAACACAGGACCAGGATTCTGGGGAAAATGGAGAAGTCACATGTAATTTAAGCAGAGATACTCCATTTAAGATTCATTCTTCATCTAATAATTACTACAAGCTGGTGACAGATGAACCCTTAGACCGAGAACAGACTCCGGAATACAATGTCACCATAACAGCCACCGACAGGGGCAAGCCGCCTCTCTCCTCCAGCACTACCATCACCCTGCACATCACCGACGTCAACGACAACGCGCCGGTTTTCCACCAGGCCTCTTACGTGGTTCACGTGGCCGAGAACAATCCCCCAGGCGCCTCTATTGCGCAAGTCAGCGCCTCCGACCCCGACCTGGGGCCCAACGGCCGCGTCTCCTACTCCATCGTGGCCAGCGACCTGGAGCCACGCGCGCTGGCGTCCTACGTGTCCGTGAGCGCGCAGAGCGGGGTGGTGTTCGCGCAGCGCGCCTTCGACCACGAGCAGCTGCGCGCCTTCGAGTTGACCCTGCAGGCGCGCGACCAGGGCTCGCCCGCGCTCCGCGCCAACGTGAGCCTGCGCGTGTTGGTGGGCGACCGCAACGACAACGCGCCCCGGGTGCTGTACCCGGCGCTGGGGCCCGACGGCTCGGCGCTCTTCGACACGGTGCCGCGCGCCGCGCAGCCCGGCTACCTGGTCACCAAGGTGGTGGCGGTGGACGCCGACTCGGGACACAATGCCTGGCTGTCGTACCACGTGCTGCAGGCCAGCGAGCCGGGACTCTTCAGCCTGGGGCTGCGCACGGGCGAGGTGCGCACGGCGCGCGCTTTGGGCGACAGGGACGCGGCCCGCCAGCGCCTGCTGGTCGCTGTGCGGGATGGGGGACAGCCGCCCCTCTCGGCCACAGCCACGCTGCTCCTGGTTTTCGCCGACAGCCTACAAGAAGTGCTGCCAGATGTCAGCGACCGCCCGGCGCCCTCTGACCCCCAGGCTGAGCTGCAGTTTTACCTGGTGGTGGCTTTGGCTTTGATTTCGGTGCTCTTCTTCCTCGCATTGACTCTGGCCATTGCCCTGCGCCTGCGAAGCTCTTCCAGCCCCACCGCAAGGGGTTGCTTTGGGTCTGCTCTCTGCTCCAAGTCTGGACCCGAGATTCCCCCTAACTACAGTGAGGGAACATTGCCCTATGCCTATAATTTATGTGTGCCAGGGGATCAAACTCATCCGGAATTTAATTTTCTCACATCTGTTGATCATTTTCCAGCCACACAAGATATTCTTAACAAAGATAGCCCTTCGGGGCTATTGGCTAGCATTTTAATTCCTAACGTTGAAGCAGATAAGACTTTTAAACAGGTAAGTATTTAAAATAATGCCTTTTATATTATAATATGCCAAAATATTCCAATACAGCATTGTTATTTTTAAAAATATTTTATTTATTCGAGAGAGTGTGAGCGAGCGAGAGAGAGAGAGAGAGAGAGAGCATGAGCAGGGGGAGGGGCAGAGGGAGAAGCAGACTCCCCACTGAGCAGGGAGCCCATATTTGGGGGCTCCATCCTAGGACCCCTGGCTTATGACTGAGCTGAAGGCAGACAATCAACTGAACCACCCAGTTGCCCCTATAGCATTGTTATTTAAAGATTCTAGATTCAGGGGGCCTGGTTGGCTCAGTTGGTAGAGTATGCGACTCATGATCTCAGGGTTATGAGTTCAAGCCCCACTTGGGCATAGAGCTTACTTAAAAATAAATAAATAAAAATAATGATTCTAGATTCAATCTCTTGATAAAGTTCCAAAAAGTAAACCTAGGTCAAACCTAATGGTATAACTGTTTAGACTAAAGTTTACAATGCTGCAGTACTTCTGCTATGCAATGTAAAGTAAAATATATGTAGAAATCTCAGGCAAATTTTCCATGAAGTTGAATACTTCTTAATTAAGAATATGGAACACAATTATAGTTTTATGCCATGGTATTTTAAATGACAATCCTAATGCCATCCAAATTTTCCATCTTTATTTTACTCAATAAAGAAATATTGGTAGGGATTATAGTCATGCGGTCTCGCGATATTTTTTTGGAACTTTGCTAGTTCCACATCCACAAATGCTGTTCCCTTCAGTAGGTAAAAATCAATAGGAAGCAAATCTAACCTGCAAGTTTTCAGTTCCAGTAGTATTTGAAAAAAAATTTTTTTAATTAAGCAAGCTCTTTTAATAATTACTCCTTTTATTAAGTTCTATTGTTTAACCTTTAACATCACATTATACAACTCTTTATTGTGTGCAATTTTCAGTGTTACAAATATGTGTAATTCTCGAAGAAGTGTGTAATAACTTCTGGAAAAGACATATTATTTGGGTTTTCTTACTCGTTGCAATAATAAGATTCGGCTCTAGGCGCCGCTCTTCACCAATCAGGGAATGGGAAGCTGCAAGCGGCAGTCCCTCCCTCCCCCATCTCTACAACACAAAGCCGAATAATAGGGATACTCACAGATCCTGATGCTGGAAACTTAAAGTAGTTCGCTCTCGGATATATTTTGGATGCAGTCATTCCGGAACTTCGTAGATACATAAGCTGATTCAGAACAAAACAGTTCGAGAAATCAGGGAATATAGGCTCAGCTTACTGCTATGGGGAATCGGCTACTGCGCCTGGACCGCAGCGGGCTGGTCCTCCTGTACATTTTCCTGAGGACGCTACAGGAATCTGGGGCAGGGCACATCCGATACTCGGTGCCCGAAGAGACAGACAAAGGCTTCTTCGTGGGCAATATTTCCAAGGACCTGGGGCTGGAACCTTGGGAGCTGGCGGAACGCGGAGTCCGCATCATCTCCAGAGATAGGATGCAGCTTTTCGCTCTGAATCCGCGAAGTGGCAGCTTGATCACTGCAGGTAGGTTAGACCGGGAAGAGCTCTGTGAGACACTGTCTTCCTGTTTTTTAAATATAGAGATACTTGTGGAAGATACCCTGAAGATTTACGGAGTGGAGGTGGAAATAATGGATGTTAATGATAACGCCCCCAGCTTCCAGGAGGCGGAAATAGAGATAAAAGTCAGTGAGCACGCACCTCCGGGATCCAGATTTCCCCTTCCTAGCGCTAGGGACCCAGATGTAGGAATGAACTCCCTCCAGAGCTACCGGCTCAATCCTAATAGTTACTTTTCCTTACAAATGCGAGACGGAACGGGTGGGGCCAAGAATCCCGAACTAGTGCTGGAGGGGAGTCTGGACCGAGAGAAAGAGGCTGCTCACCGGCTGCTCCTCACAGCCTTCGATGGAGGAGATCCCATCCAACAGGGTGCTGTTGCCATTCGTGTGGTGGTCCTCGATGTAAATGACCATGTACCAAAGTTTACACAGTCTGTATATCGAGTGAGTATTCCTGAGAATCTCAGCTCTGGAACTCGGGTGCTCATGGTAAATGCAACTGATCCAGATGAGGGAATCAATGGGGAAGTGGGGTATTCATTCCAGAATATGGAAAGCAAAACTTCTGAAATATTCCAGTTGGATTCTCAAACTGGAGAAGTCTTAATACGAGGGTCTCTGGATTTTGAGAAATATAGATTCTATGAGATAGAAATTCAAGGTCAAGATGGTGGAGGTCTCTCCACCACTGCTAAGATGTTGATCACAGTTGTGGATGTCAATGATAATGCTCCAGAAATAACTATCACATCTTCTACTAATTCAGTTCTGGAAAGCTCTCCTCCAGGTACAGTTATTGCTCTTCTAAATGTGCAAGATCAAGACTCTGGGGAAAATGGTCAAGTCTCATGTTTCGTTCCTAACAGTCTACCTTTTAAGTTGGAAAAAACTTACGGAAATTATTACAAGTTGATAACAACCAGAATGCTAGACAGGGAGCAGGTCCACAGCTATAATATAACCTTGATAGCCACAGATCAGGGATTTCCACCCTTGTCTACAGAAACTCACATTTCACTAAACGTAGCAGATGACAATGATAATCCTCCGACTTTTGCTGACTCATCTTACTCCGTCTACATACCTGAAAACAATGCCAGAGGAGCCTCCTTCTTCTCAGTGATGGCGATTGATATGGACAGCAGTGAGAACTCCCAGGTCACTTATTCCTTGGTGGAAGATACCCTCCAGGGAGAACCTGTATCCTCCTACATCTCCATCAACTCAGACACTGGCACCCTGTACGCACTGCGCTCCTTTGACTATGAACAGTTCCGTGACCTGCAACTGTGGGTGACAGCGCAGGACAGCGGGAAGCCGCCACTCAGCAGCAATGTGTCTGTCAGCATATTTGTGCTGGACCAGAATGACAACACACCAGAGATACTGTACCCCACCATCCCCACCGATGGTTCCACCGGTGTGGAGTTGGCGCCCCGCTCCGCAGAGCCCGGCTACCTGGTCACCAAGGTGGTGGCGGTGGACAGAGACTCAGGCCAGAACGCCTGGCTGTCCTACCGCCTGCTCAAGGCGAGCGAGCCAGGGCTCTTCGCGGTGGGGCTGCACACGGGCGAGGTGCGCACGGCGCGGGCCCTGCTGGACAGAGACGCGCTCAAGCAGAGCCTGGTGGTGGCGGTGCAGGACCACGGCCAGCCCCCTCTCTCGGCCACCGTCACGCTCACCGTGGCCGTGGCCGACAACATCCCGGACGTCCTGGCGGACCTGGGCAGCATCAGGACCCCCGCCGACCCGGACGATTCGGACCTCACGCTGTATCTGGTGGTGGCGGTGGCGGCAGTCTCGTGCGTCTTCCTGGCCTTTGTCATCGTGCTGCTGGCGCTCAGGCTGAGGCGCTGGCACGCGTCGCGTCTGCTCCAGGCTTCCGGAGGCGGGCTGGTGGGCGTGCCGGCCTCGCACTTTGTGGGCGTGGACGGGGTGCGGGCTTTCCTGCAGACCTATTCCCACGAGGTCTCCCTGACCGCGGACTCGCGGGAGAGTCACGTGATCTTCCCCCAGCCCAACTACGCGGACACGCTCATCAGCCAGGAGAGCTGTGGGAAAAGCGAGCCACTCTTGATAGCTGAAGATTCAGCTGCTGGTTTAGGCAATCTTGACTCCACGAATAATCAGGTGAGATTTATTACCTGAGTTGCTAGTATCTCCGCACAAGTCTTTTAAATGGATTTTTCAAAACAAAACAACATAAAAAAACCAAAACCAAAACCAAAACCAACCCTGTTTTGAGTGTGGGGGGAGGGGACATATTCAGTTCATACATATTTAGAGCAATACATGTGAGTTCCTGTACTTTATCTTTCAACAAATTACCATCATTTTTCAGAAAGTTTTTTCCTCCCCTGTGGTATATTCTCTTTTGATTCTAAAGGTCTAGTTCAACTATCATGGCTTGCTTTATAATAAGTTAAATTTTAGTCATATTTTTCTATCATCAGTGTCTGTGGCTATCAATGTAAACTGGTTAGGATTCAAATTAATGATTCACAGTTTTTATTTATTTCCCTATTATGACTTCACATTGCCTTCCCTAATTCATAATTATATTCTACCATTATTTGCTTTACTTCTAATGTTCAAATTTGGCCCTCTTCATTCAGTGGGATACACTCTGTAGCTCTTTTCCTTATCTATACACACATATACACACACTTACATGTAGGTGTTTACAGATGTAAGCTCTTCTCTGAGCATGAAAGAATTCTATTTTGATCTTTGATGGGTGGTGATATGTTTAAATTATGTTGATTATTTCAACTTTCTTTTATTTATACTACCAAAACAGATATATTGACTACCTTTTTACTACTAGATTCTCTTGGGAGAGAAAATGTACACTTTTTTCCCCTCAAGTTCTAGACATCTTTTCTGTTTCTACAGTGCAGTCATTTGATTGTTCTGAGTAGTTGAATTGTTGAACTGGTATTATTTCCTTTTATTCTTTTACTGGTACTTTAGTGTGTGTTCATGATTCTTTAATGTGGTAAATTCACTTGCAGAAATAATTTTGATCCAGTGCTTCTCAAAAAGCTATTTACAAATTGGCTAAACATGCTTACATTTTTGAGATTTACTGATGTGGACCAGCTTGTAAATATAAGAGATGCAGTAGTTATTTGGACCTTATGAGACTGATTTAGCTGGTATTCCTATTTGGTATTTCCTTTTTTTGTTCTGTTTTCAATATGCCTGTGAGTCATGGATTCCTTTTTTATTTCCTTTGAAAATTCATTTTGTATTATATGTAAGTATATTCAATCCTTATATTCAGAACCAACTTGTAATTGAAGCCCTGTAGTTACCTAATGACCTACATGTTATCTGAAACAATGTCGAGGAAAGTCAAGTGAGGAAAGGAAATTTTTGAGGATATTTGATCACAGGAATCATCACAATCAATTCAGCTTAGCACTCTTCATACCGCTTTGAAACGTTTGACCCAGATTATTTACATGTTCAGGTTCCCTTTCAAGTTTTCCTTTCTCATTTAGGGATTGACCTTAATATATTTAACTATAATTGAGTGTCTAAAGTTTGGGTAAAAAGAATTTCAACTGTAGGAAAGGGAAATCCTGCAACAGATGCCTAAATTTGTCCCAACGTCAAGAAAAATGTCAGAGTGCCTTAAGCATGTAGGGATAAATTTTATGCCTATGGAATTCCAAACAGAAAAAAAAAAAAGACTTAAGGCATTTTACTTGAATTGAAATTAGATGAATAAAAAGGATATGAGGTATTTGTGGGGAGAAGGAGGTTGTTCCATATATATATTTTTTAAAACACTGAACAGTTAGGAGCTGGCAACCAAAGTCTTGGAGAACAAAAAGGAAAGGTTAGCTTTGAAACTTGAGATTAAGACAGTTATTTTGACTCAGAGGTAGTGATAAAGTTCTGTTATGGTACAACATGTGGTCCAGTTAAAGAGAAGGATAAGGGCGCCTGGGTGGCTCAGTCGTTGAGCGTCTGCCTTCGGCTCAGGTCATGATCCCGGGGTCCCACATCGGGCTCCCCGCTCTGCGGGAAGCCTGCTTCTCCCTCTCCCACTCCCCCTGCTTGTGTTCCTGCTCTCGCTATGTCTCTCTCTGTCAAATAAATAAATAAAATCTTAAAAAAAAAAAAGAGAGAAGGATAAAAATAGAACACCTCACATTTTTGCATGTCATTAAATTCCTATGGTAACCTACTAGGGTATGCTTTTATATTCTGTTTATGGTGAAGGTTTACAATAGTTGATAATCCCTTTCATAAATCTATTTTAGAAGTAGCAAGGAAGGCTATATGTCATTGGTCATCCTTATCCTGATTATGCCTTTGAGCTGTCCTCCAGTTGCTCTGGAAAAAGGAGAAGAAAAATTATCTGCACATAAGATTGAAGCTAATACTGGGTATTATTTCATGGCTGTAAAAATTTCCCCATATCATTTGGTGAGGTTATTTTACCATGTGGTCTTTGTTCTACGTTTGGAGAGAAGACTTTGCTTTATTCCTCCAGTATATGCCCTGCCTCTGATTAGAAAAAGATAAACTTTTCTATACTGGGTTAATGACTCTTCTATAGAATCAAATCTCTAAGGAACCTTCTTTGATAGTAAACACTAGAAAATAGACACATCCAAAACTCATTTATTGCCTGGTTCCCTATACATTAGTCCAACAAATCTGTCAGAATAGCTAATCTCATTATTTGCAAGGCTTCGGACTGCAGTTTTCTAAGTAGACTCCGAGCGCCGCTGTTGGCCAATGCGCTGCAAGAACTGGAGTCCACGATCTACCTAAGTGGTTTTCTGCGCAGTCACGGAAGCAGTTCTGAAAGGAGATAAAGTCCAGTTTCGGGCTCTCTGCTCAGCAAATGATTTTGGAATATGGAATGGAATGCCTTGAAACAGAGTGTTGAGTTTTCTACGCGTTAGCAGTAAATATTTTAAACACAATTTGTAAAGCATCTTCTCGTTACATCTGAGGCTGCAGCAGTGAAGAAAAGGATGGGAACTAGGGCGAAGCAGAGGAGCCATACCGGGCAGCGGCAAGTACTCTTTCCCTTCCTGCTGCCTTTGTTCTGTGGGGGGCTCTGTGAGCAGATCCGCTACTCTATTCCTGAAGAAATGGCCAGGGGCTCAGTAGTAGGGAACCTTGCTGAAGACCTGGGGCTGCATGTACGGGATTTACTGAACCGCAACCTCAGAGTTAGTGCAGAGAAACAATACTTTACCATAAACAGGGAGAATGGCAACATACTTGTCAGTGACAGAATAGATAGGGAGTCGCTCTGTCCCCAAAGCACCCTGTGTGTTGTGCCCCTAGAGATCGTGGCAGAGAATCCTCTAAATGTTTTTCATATAACAGTGAGGATAGAAGATATAAATGACAATCCACCGTATTTCCCCCAAAATAGCATTGTTTTACAAATCAATGAACTTGCAATTCTAGGAACTCAGTTTGGTCTGGAATCTGCTATAGATGCAGATGTAGGACCTAACTCTCTCCAGAGTTACCAACTCAGCTATAATGAGTATTTCTCTCTGATGGTGAAGGATAAGATTGAAGGCAAGAATGCCCCAGAATTAATATTGGAGAAGCCCCTGGACCGGGAACACCAGAGCTCCCATTTTCTAGTCCTGACCGCAATGGATGGGGGTGACCCAGTCCGAAGTGGCACCATTCAAATCAGGATTGAGGTCACTGATGCCAACGATAACCCCCCAGTGTTCAGTCAGGATGTGTACAAAGTTAGCCTTCCAGAGAACTTGCCCTTGGGCACCTCTGTGCTCAAGGTGACAGCCATCGACCAGGATGAGGGCATCAATGCAGAGATCACCTACTCCTTCAAAACACTAAGAGATATTGGAAATATGTTTATGCTAGACCATCAAAATGGAGAAATTAAATCCAAAGGTCCTATAGACTTTGAAATTAGGAGTAGTTATACCATGAGCATAGAAGCCAAGGATGGTGGAGGCATGGCCACTGAATGTAAAATTATAATAGAAATTTTAGATGAGAATGACAATGCCCCAGAGGTTATTTTCACTTCAGTGTCTAATTCCATAACCGAGGGTGCAGAACACGGGATGGTGATTGCTCTGTTCAAAACACATGACAAAGATTCCGGCCAAAATGGAGAGGTCACATGCCTCATAAAAGAAACAGTTCCTTTCAGAATTGAATCTTCTGCCAATAATTACTACAAGCTTGTAACAGATGGGTCCTTGGACCGGGAGAAGACCCCTTCGTACAATGTCACTATCACAGCCACTGACAGGGGAAAGCCACCCCTTTCCTCCAGCTCAAGTATCACTCTGCACATCGAAGATGTCAACGACAATGCTCCAGTTTTTGAACAGGCTTTCTATTTGGTCCACATTGCCGAGAACAACCCTCCGGGTGCCTCCATCGCCCAAGTCAGCGCCTCGGACCCCGACCTGGGGCCCAACGGCCGCGTCTCCTACTCCATCGTGGCCAGCGACCTGGAGCCACGCGCGCTGGCGTCCTACGTGTCCGTGAGCGCGCAGAGCGGGGTGGTGTTCGCGCAGCGCGCCTTCGACCACGAGCAGCTGCGCGCCTTCGAGCTGACCCTGCAGGCGCGCGACCAGGGCTCGCCCGCGCTCCGCGCCAACGTGAGCCTGCGCGTGTTGGTGGGCGACCGCAACGACAACGCGCCCCGGGTGCTGTACCCGGCGCTGGGGCCCGACGGCTCGGCGCTCTTCGACACGGTGCCGCGCGCCGCGCAGCCCGGCTACCTGGTCACCAAGGTGGTGGCGGTGGACGCCGACTCGGGACACAATGCCTGGCTGTCGTACCACGTGCTGCAGGCCAGCGAGCCGGGACTCTTCAGCCTGGGGCTGCGCACGGGCGAGGTGCGCACGGCGCGCGCTTTGGGCGACAGGGACGCGGCCCGCCAGCGCCTGCTGGTCGCTGTGCGGGATGGGGGACAGCCGCCCCTCTCGGCCACAGCCACGCTGCTCCTGGTTTTCGCCGACAGCCTACAAGAAGTGCCGCCAGATGTCAGCGACCGCCCGGCGCCCTCTGACCCCCAGGCTGAGCTGCAGTTTTACCTGGTGGTGGCTTTGGCCCTGATCTCGGTGCTCTTCCTCCTCGCGGTGATTCTGGCGGTTGCCCTGCGCCTGGGACGCTCCTCCCACCCCGCTGCCTGGGGCTGCTTTCAGCCTGGTCTCTGTTATAAGACTGGACCAGGGGTTTCTCCCAACTACAACCCGGGAACTTTGCCTTATTCCTACAATATGTACGTTGCCTCTGATTCTCAGAAAGCAAGGCTTAATTTTCTCACTATGACGTCAGAAATGGGCCTCCAACAAGAACTCTCTAATGAAGCTTCTTTGGTAATAAGTTTCACTGAGGAGAATAACCAATTAAACTCTCACACTGATGCTTCTGCTCACGTGAGTGTCAATAAACAGGTTTGGTTTAATTTTCAAAATAGTTTGGCAAAAGAAGTCCTAAACAGATCCTATCTACTATCACTTCATTTGCTTACCCACTCTCAGTATTTTCTTTTCCTTTTTCTGTGGGCCAGTAACTTCATTATTAGCCCTCAAGTATTTTGAAATATTTTGACAATTTTACCTGAGATAGTCTTTATCCACGTACACACAACATCTCCTTTATGGTGACAAGTGGGTATTATGATGCTGTTGCCACAGAAATATTTGTAACTGAAGCATAAATGTTTTCTTTCTGTGGGTGTTTCTCAGAACATCAATATCTTGAGTATATAAGGCTTTTTCTTTATAACTACAAAGTGAGAGGAAAATGCACAAGAAGAGTTTTATTTTTTAAAGATTTTATTTATTTATTTGAGAGACAGAGAGAGCACTAGCTGGGGAGAGGGCAGAAGGAAAGGGAGAAACAGACTCCCCGTTGATCAGGGAGCCCAACTCAGGGCTCAATCCCAGGACCCTGGGATCATGACCTGAGCCGAAGGCAGATGCTTAACTCACTGAGCCACCCAGGCACCCTGACAAGTTTTATTTTTAAAGGACAGAGTAATATTTTGATAATACTCCATTACATTTGCTAGGGATTCTTTGAATCTCACTGAATAGGCCAATTTTATTCCCAGTCTTTTATCAGAACTACCTGTAGATTTCCTCCCAGTTTTAAAATATGTTGTGGTATGCCTGTCAAATATGCTTATCCTCAGAATCCAAACATTTACATTCATGAAAGCAGAATAGTGAGAATTTTTTCCTATATTTTGATGGGCTTTCAAATGTATTACCAGTCATTTTCAGTAAATGGAATTGGGTTTGTTACTCAGAAAAAGGTAAGCTTATAATATTCTTTGGATTGCTAATTTTCTCAAACATGATTTTGAAATATAATGTATTAGTAAGTTGTAAGGTACTACCCTTATTTCCAGTAAATGCAAGTTGAAATGCTTCAATTTTGTCCTAAAAATGTTAATGGGTCTTACTCACTTGACTTCTTGTCAGTGTGCTTCTGATAATGTATACAATTGCATTTCTTATTTTTAGATTTCCATATTGTTGTGAAATTTTGATTTCTAAATATTAAGTATTGACAACCTTTTAAAATAGCTCCTCTATTTAGGTATATTTAAAAATCTAAAAATCTGCCCCCTATTACAGCCACGTGAGAAAGTTTAATTTATTCTATTATATGATTTCTCAAAATAGGAAACGCCTAGGAAGATATCCCATAATAGGTATTTTTTTGGGGGTGGTGATATCAAATTAGGTGCACTAAAATTATACGGTTAAAATTACTTTGTATGGAAACTTCACATTCATTTAAAAGCTCATTGGAAAAACAGAATACAGCCACAGAAAATAATCTCAAGAAAGCGGCTCTGTATGAAAAATTTTTGAAAAATACAAAGAAGTTGACTGAAATTTCTATTAAAAGGAACACTGTAGTTTTTTAGTTGGCTCTACTTACATCCCTATTTGAAGAACAGTAGGTGGAGCTATTTAAGGTACAAAAACCAAAAATCCTTCCTGGAGTTCAAGATTGTGCAGTAATTGGTTAGGACTCTGAGCGCCACTGTTCACCAATCAGGGAGAGAAAAACAGAGATCCTGCTCGCCTCCTGCTTGCCCTGCAGGCGCCTGAAGCACAGCCCAGATAGAAACTAACCATCTCTGGCACTCTGAAGAAACTGCTGGATTCTGAAGACGGGGAAAACTGGTCCTGACTTCGGTGGTCTAGGGAAGAATTGGAAGTAATATCCTCCAGGAAAGTGACGATGATTCCTGAGCGACTGCATCAGGACTGCAAAGGGCTTGTCCTGCTGGGAGTTCTCCTGGGGGTTCTGTGGGAAACCGGATGCGCCCAAATTCACTATTCAGTTCCTGAGGAGCTGGAGAAAGGCTCTAGGGTGGGAAACATCGCCAAGGACCTGGGGTTGGAGCCCCAGGAACTAGAAGAGCGTGGAGTCCGTATAGTCTCCAGAGGTAGGACTCAACTTTTCGCTCTGAACCTTCGAAGCGGCAACCTAATCTCCGCAGGCAGAATAGACCGGGAAGAGCTCTGTATGGGCGTCTTAAAGTGTCAATTAAATCTGGAGATTCTGTTGGAGGATAAAGTAAAAATATACGGGGTAGTAGTAGAAGTGAGAGACATTAACGATAATGCCCCCTATTTCCGGGAAGATGAATTAGAAATAAAAGTGAGTGAAAACGCAGCCACTGGGTTGCGGTTCCCTCTTCCCCACGCTTGGGATCCGGATATCGGGAAGAACTCTCTCCAGAGCTATGGACTCAGTAGTAATACTCACTTCTCCCTGGACGTGCAAAGCGGAGCGGATGGTAACAAGTACCCAGAATTGGTTTTGGAGTGCGCCTTGGACCGGGAGCAGAAGGCTGTTCATCACCTTGTTCTCACCGCCTCCGACGGGGGTGACCCAGTCCGCACAGGCACCACGCGCATCCGTGTGATGGTAGTTGATGTGAATGACAACGCACCAGTATTTGCTCAGTCTGAGTACCGCGTGAGCGTTCCAGAGAATGTGGCCGTAGGCACTAAGCTGCTTCTGGTAAGTGCCACCGACCCTGACGAAGGAGCCAATGTGGAAGTGATGTATTCCTTCCGTTATGTGGACAACAAGGCAGCCCAAGTTTTCAAACTAGATGCTAATTTAGGGACAATTTCAACAATAGGGGAGCTGAACCACGAGGAATCAGAATTCTACGAGATGGAAGTGCAAGCAGTTGATAACGCAGGGTATTCTGCACGAGCCAAAGTCTTGATCACAGTATTGGATGTGAATGATAATGCCCCTGAAGTAGTTGTCATCTCTCTCTCCAGCTCCATTCTGGAAAACTCTCCCAGAGGGACATTAATTGCCCTTTTAAATGTAAATGATCAAGACTCTGGGGAAAATGGACAAGTGATCTGTTTCATCCGAGGGAATCTGCCATTTACATTAGAAAAGTCTTATGGAAATTACTATAGTTTAGTGACAGACACACTCCTAGACCGGGAACAGGTTCCTAGCTACAACATCACGGTGACCGCCAGTGACAGAGGAAGTCCGCCCCTGTCCACGGAAACTCCTATCTCACTGAAAGTAGCAGACACCAACGACAACCCGCCCGCCTTCTCTGACGCTTTCTACTCCGCCTATATCGTGGAGAACAACCCTAGAGGAGCCTCCCTAATGTCCGTGACCGCCTGTGACCCCGACTATGGAGTGAACGCCCAGGTCACTTACTCATTGGCCGAGGACAGCCTTCCCGGACCGCCCATATCCTCCTACATCTCCATCAACTCCAACACTGGCGTTCTGTATGCGCTGCGTTCCTTCGACTATGAGCAGTTCCAAGACTTGCATCTGCAAGTCACAGCGCAGGACAGCGGTGACCCTCCGCTCAGCAGCAACGTGTCTCTGAACTTGTTCCTGGTGGACCAAAATGACAACGCGCCAGAGATCCTGTACCCCGCCCTCCCCACCGATGGTTCCACAGGCGTGGAGCTGGCGCCCTGCTCCGCAGAGCCCGGCTACCTGGTCACCAAGGTGGTGGCGGTGGACAGAGACTCGGGCCAGAACGCCTGGCTGTCCTACCGCCTGCTCAAGGCGAGCGAGCCAGGGCTCTTCGCGGTGGGGCTGCACACGGGCGAGGTGCGCACGGCGCGGGCCCTGCTGGACAGAGACGCGCTCAAGCAGAGCCTGGTGGTGGCGGTGCAGGACCACGGCCAGCCCCCTCTCTCGGCCACCGTCACGCTCACCGTGGCCGTGGCCGACAACATCCCGGACGTCCTGGCCGACCTGGGCAGCATCAGGACCCCCGCCGACCCGGACGATTCGGACCTCACGCTGTATCTGGTGGTGGCGGTGGCGGCAGTCTCGTGCGTCTTCCTGGCCTTTGTCATCGTGCTGCTGGCGCTCAGGCTGAGGCGCTGGCACGCGTCGCGTCTGCTCCAGGCTTCCGGAGGCGGGCTGGTGGGCGTGCCGGCCTCGCACTTTGTGGGCGTGGACGGGGTGCGGGCTTTCCTGCAGACCTATTCCCACGAGGTCTCCCTGACCGCGGACTCGCGGGAGAGTCACGTGATCTTCCCCCAGCCCAACTACGCGGACACGCTCATCAGCCAGGAGAGCTGTGAGAAAAAGGATTTTCTATCAGCACCGCAGTCTTTACTTGAAGATAAAGAAGAAACATTTTCTCAGGTAAATTCCCTTCACAATATACTTAGTAGCTATTACTAAAATAAACATTTATTTACTTAGCTGCCTCCATTGTTTACCACATCTTTTCTATTTCTCATATTTCCTTGTGAATATATCAATTCTTAGGAAATGAGTCCTGGTGAACTATTTCTCAATAGTTCTAAGTGCTCACACCCTGTAAGGGGAAGAGGGGCTAGAATCATTGTATCATGAGTATAAATCAGGAGTTAGTATGGGGTGAATATTATTTAGGTCATCAAAGAACATTCCATTAGGAACTGGTATATCTGGTTTCTCATACTTTCTTTCCCATCCCTGGAGAAATCATCTCATCTACCTGGGTCAGTAATTCTTTCTGTCTTAAAAATACGAAGGTTGAGGGGCCCCTGGCTGGCTCAGTCAGTGAACCATGGGAGTCTTGATCTTGGCGGGTCATGAGTTTGAGCCCTATGTTGGGGGTAGAGTTTACTTTTTAAAAAATAAAATAAAAAGATATTTTTTAAAAATGAAAGTTGAATTTTATGTTTACTCAAATGCTTTAAAATTCATGGTTTTTGTTTTATATTTTAATCTATGAGTAATGAAACACGTTAGTTTCTTCTCACTCAATTTTAATATTTTTCCTTCAGTTTGGCAGTGAGGTTCTTCATTTTATTTGATTTGTATGACCTTCCCTATTTAAAAAATGGAAATTTAGAAATAAATATGCTTCACTGTGTTTTAGGAAGGTATGTCTTGGTATCTCAGCTTAGCTAAAAATCCTAATGACTTCTAAAGTAGTTGTTGCTTAACAGCTACTACTTCAAAGTGATTGAATTATTGTTTGCTCTATAATAAATGGATAGTGTAATAGTAAATATGTTTCTCTTTGATGTTTTTATTTTTTCATATCTGGAAACCACATGTACTTCCAAACATTAAAAATAATATATATCCTCAAGGGATTCAGAGACCATATCAAATAATTGTCCCTAAAAATGCTCCTTATACATTTCTCCTCTCAAAGATTCCTAACCATAGCAGTTTTAAAAATATTTCCAGTCCCTCACCTAATCTTAGTCTCCCTCACAACCACTGTCTTCCTTCCTTATTCCTTTTTTCAAGTTAGCTTTTAGTATGTTCGTTATGTTTTTAATAATGAAGAACAAAGACTACACTAATATTCTATATAACTGGGATCATTTTAAATTTTGATTTGGAAGTAATCATATACTAACCGAGTCTTATGTTTAATGGTATTATCATCTTTCAAGGTGCTGTGATTTTTTATTATACTTAAGGGCATTTGAGGAGAGCTGATCTAAGCCAATGTGTCTCTTGTGTTTTATTACTATTACATAATTCTCTAGGAGATAAAACTGAAACTTATTGTGGAATAATACATCATAACATCTTTACTTCTAGGTAATAAATAAAGTATAGACTGAGAAAAATTAAAGACAGAGTTCCTTATAGTGTTTATACTATCTCTTCATAAGAATAAATGCCTTATGGATAAGTTTATAACAGTACATGCTTGAAATGACAAATATATTTCTATTTCTGTGCTTGGAGAGAAAAACAAATACAGAGAAAGCATTTCTGGAACACAAAACAAAAGTTTATCCCTACTAGTTTCAGTTTGGGTTTTTAAAAAACACCCTCACTCTAGATTTAGGCAAAGTGAACTACTTCCAGTACCCTGAAGTTCTTTGGTTTCTCTCTCACATCTAGACATTGCCATACCGTTCTCTTTCACATCCAGGCCTTTTCCCTGATTCACTCCTGTCATGTTTCTTGGGAGAGCCTTTGCTAACCTCCAAGGCCAGGTTGGAGGCCCTCCCATCACCTTTGGCTTCACCCATTTTGGTAGCTTTCTCAATGCACTGGAATTCCTTGTTTGATTGTATCTTCATAGCTTTGGGGCGAGGGAGTGGTTATGTTCATATCATTTACCTTAAATCCCCACATATCGTCTAACATCCAATTATATTTTTAATGAATGGGTTAAATTAAAATATTGAAACTAAGATGTCAGGCTATCAATGACAAACTTTGATAAATATAATTATAAATATGGCTGATTTTTTTTTGTGGTTTTTAAATTTTGAACATTTCAAAACAGTAACTCCAGCATATTTAAAGCAATATTAGTGGTGTTAAGGTTAGAGCATGGCTTCCCAAGGAAGTTGAAGTTACATACTTTAACATATAGCAATTCAGCTGTGGGAAATAAACACCAGTCCCATTACCTCTGATAAAGATGATTTCAGGTGTTGGGAAACTTAAAAATTACTAACTTGGGTTTGTCTGAGAGGGTGCAGTAAACCATTAGGCCTCTGAGTGTCGCTGTTGACCATTCAAGGAGGAAAACGGAGCTTGAGCGCTAGTCCACCATTTCCTTGTTCCTAAAAAGCAAAGAACCAGTCAGTCGGATTCCAGAAGATCCGAGGCTGCTACAAAGCTCAGTTTGTCAGTCAACCAGCTCTGTGACACATAAATTAGGACCAAAGAAGCCTTAGTTCCTTGAGAAAAAATAAGATTTGAGTCCGTCGTGGGCACTTGGAACCGAATTCACAGAAAATAATTCACCAAAGAGGAAATGACAAAATATCTGAGATTCAAACACCACAGAGGACTGACCCTGCTGTGCATGCTTCTGGGGACGCTGTGCAAGACTGGATCCGGGCAGATCCACTACTCAGTGCAGGAGGAGCTGGACAAAGGCTCCTTTGTGGGCAACATCTCCAAGAACCTGGAACTCGAGCCCTGGGAGCTGGCGGAGCATGGAGTCCGCATCGTCTCCAGAGGTAGGATGCAGCTCTTTGCTTTGAACCTGCAAAGCGGCAGCTTGGTCACGGCAGGCAGGATAGACCGGGAGGAGCTCTGCGCTCAGAGCGCACTGTGTCTGGTAAAATTTAACATCCTGGTTGAAGACAAATTGAAAATTTTTGAAGTAGAAATAGAAATTAAAGACATTAATGATAATGCTCCTGATTTTCTAACAGAGGAATTGTTAATAAAAATTGGTGAACTAACGGCTCCTGGAACTCGATTTCCACTTAAGACTGCATTTGACCCAGATGTGGGCATGAACTCCCTTCAGAACTACCACCTCAGCCCCAATGACTACTTTTCCCTGGCTGTGAAGCATGTCTCTGATGGGGCCAAGTACCCAGAGCTGGTGCTGGAGAGGGCTCTGGACCGTGAGCAAAAGAAAGTTCACCAGCTTGTCCTCATTGCTTCTGATGGTGGAAACCCTGTCCTCTCTGGCAACTTATGCATCCAAGTGGTAGTTCTGGATGCAAATGACAACCCACCAGTATTTACTCAACCTGAATATCAAGTAAGTGTTCCGGAGAACTTGCCAGTGGGTACCACGCTGCTCACAGTGAATGCCACTGACCCTGATGAAGGATTCAATGCTCAAGTGTCCTATATTCTAGATAAAATGCCTGGGAACATCGCTCAGATGTTTGATCTCAATTCAATGACTGGAGATATATCAATTTTAAAAAGTCTAGATTATGAGGATGCTACATTCTATGAAATTAAAATTGAAGCACAAGATGGACCTGGTCTCCTTTCAAGAGCTAAGATATTAGTCACAGTTCTGGATGTGAATGACAACGCCCCAGAAATTATTATCACTTCTCTTACTGGATCAGTCCCAGAAGAGGCTACTGCTGGAAGAGAAATTGCCCTTATCAATGTACACGACCGGGATTCTGGGCAAAATGGGCAAGTCACAGTTTTTGTCCTGGGAAATATGCCATTTAATTTAGAAAAATCAATAGACCAATATTACCGCTTAGTGACAGCCAGATCTCTAGACCGTGAACAGGTGTCTGAATATAACATCACTCTCAGAGCCACAGATGGAGGAAATCCCCCACTGTCCACGAGTACTCATATCACTCTGCGTGTTGCAGACATCAATGACAACCCGCCTGCCTTCAGTCAGTCCTCCTACTCTGCCTACATTCCTGAAAACAACCTCAGGGGAGCTTCCATCTTCTGTGTGACCGCCCAGGATCCTGACAGCATCCACAATGCCCACATCACTTATGCACTGACTGAGGATACTATCCAGGGAGCGCCTCTCTCCACCTATGTCTCCATCAATTCTGACACCGGTGTCCTGTATGCGCTCCGTTCCTTTGATTATGAGCAGGTTAGAGACCTACAGCTATTGGTGACAGCCAGTGACAGTGGGAACCCTCCACTCAGCAGCAACGTGTCACTGAGCTTGTTTGTGCTGGACCAGAATGACAATGCGCCTGAAATCCTGTACCCCACCCTCCCCACCGATGGTTCCACAGGCGTGGAGCTGGCGCCCCGCTCTGCAGAGCCCGGCTACCTGGTCACCAAGGTGGTGGCGGTGGACAGAGACTCAGGCCAGAACGCCTGGCTGTCCTACCGCCTGCTCAAGGCGAGCGAGCCAGGGCTCTTCGCGGTGGGGCTGCACACGGGCGAGGTGCGCACGGCGCGGGCCCTGCTGGACAGAGACGCGCTCAAGCAGAGCCTGGTGGTGGCGGTGCAGGACCACGGCCAGCCCCCTCTCTCGGCCACCGTCACGCTCACCGTGGCCGTGGCCGACAACATCCCGGACGTCCTGGCCGACCTGGGCAGCATCAGGACCCCCGCCGACCCGGACGATTCGGACCTCACGCTGTATCTGGTGGTGGCGGTGGCGGCAGTCTCGTGCGTCTTCCTGGCCTTTGTCATCGTGCTGCTGGCGCTCAGGCTGAGGCGCTGGCACGCGTCGCGTCTGCTCCAGGCTTCCGGAGGCGGGCTGGTGGGCGTGCCGGCCTCGCACTTTGTGGGCGTGGACGGGGTGCGGGCTTTCCTGCAGACCTATTCCCACGAGGTCTCCCTGACCGCGGACTCGCGGGAGAGTCACGTGATCTTCCCCCAGCCCAACTACGCGGACACGCTCATCAGCCAGGAGAGCTGTGAGAAAAGTGAGTCCTTCCTGGTATCTCAAGATTTACTGGAAACGAAAGGAGACCCTAGCCTACTTCAGGTAAGTTTATTTCTTTCTTGGAATACTATGAAGAACAATTATGCCAGTGTGGCTAATATAAAGATTTAATGCACATTTATTTGAAAATAAAACAATGTGGTAGTCCTTAGTTCTGTTGCTTAAGTATCTGTTTCTTCTTCTGGGCCTATGGTAGAGCTGATCTTCCTGACCTGGTTATGACTGAATGGGCCTAAGTAACCAGTTCTGGCCAATATATTGTAAATGCAAGTAATATGTGCCTCTCTCTGG